CTTATCTGTCGGCAACTTTCATGGTCGTTTTCTGCGTTCTCTCTCTCTCTCTCTCTCTCTCTCTCTCTCTCTCTCTCGCTTATCTCTCTCTCTCTCTCTCTCTCTCTCTTTCTCCCCTTCTTGTCACCCCATACCACAGTTTTTTGATAAAAAAAACCCGGGCGATCGCCTTTTTCTCAGAGGTGATCGTCACGTAATCGGCTACTTTTTGTTTTTCTCCCAATTTTTGGTTTTACTTTCAGATCCATTTTTAAAGGAATTAGAGGTTATGTTAACAAAAATTTTCTTTTTCCCTTTTGAATAGATTTTTGCGAAAACAGATCAATTTAACCTTTGGAAAAGTTAGAAAAATGTTATTGGTAATTTGTAGCCGTCAAAACATCAAAATTCCTGTTTTTTACAGGGTTCAAAAGTTTTCGATTCGCAAAGCTTTTGGGTTATTTAATGACGTAATATGAAAACGTAAAGGTCCGATTTAAGGGTTTTTACACACAGTTGGCTAGTAAAAAAGTTTCATTGAAATTTAAGGATTTCTCTGACGGAAAAATGCGATTTTATTTGTCCAAAACTTATTTCTGAAGACAATTAAAGTTTCACGTTCGAGCTTGTGGTTTTTTTTAGGGTTACATTTTGATTTTCTATCAATGAAAAAAGGAAACTGCTTATTTGACCACCTTTCGGCTGCCCGGTGAGAAATCGGGAAGAATAGGCCGAAGTAAAAATCCTCCCGATTGAGTGGGTGCGAGCAAATAAAACACCCGCCTCGCTTTTACTCATCATTTTTTCCGTGAAAACTATAGTTTTTTTTTTGCTGCTTGTTTTGCTTCTGTTACAAAAATCTTTGGGTTTATCACGGTTTTTAGGCAAATTTGTTCTCAAAAACGTCGCTTGAAACTGCGACTTTTCTGAAACATGGTCAAGGTAAGCTTTTGGGAAGCATTTTTGGACGTATTTGGGCGTACGGACGCATTTAGCATGGCTTAGCACCCGATAAGCATCAATTTAGGTCGGCATCATCGGGGGCTCGGGGCTGGAGGACCCGCAGATTCTCCAGAATCCCCGAAAAATCGAGGTCGACACCCCGTTTGGGAAGCCGAGTGACGTCCTCATCGAGGGTAAGTAAAAATGAATATTTTTACTAGAATTATTTATCAGCAGTTTCAACGCAAAAAAAACGAACTTTTAGGAGAGATCGGCGGGGTTCCGTGCGTGCTGCTGTCCCGCCACGGCCGAAACCACGAAATCATGCCCACCAACGTCAACTACAGGGCAAATTTATGGGCATTGATGGAGAGGGGTGGGTCTCTTTCTCCCTCTCTCTCTTTCTCTCTCTCGCTCTCTCCATCTATCCCTCTCTCTCTCTCTCTCGCTATCTATCGATTTCTCGCATTCCCACTCTCATCCCTCTCCTGCTTTCACTCTCTCACTCTCACTCTCGCTCTCTCTCTCGCTCTCTCTCTTTGATCTATCCCCTCTCTCTCTCTCTCTCGCTCTCTCTTTCCCTCTCACCTATTCAAATTCAGGCGTCACTGTCATCATCGCTTCCACAGCTTGTGGTTCGCTTCAAGAAGAAGTCCGGCCCGGCGAGCTCGTCTTCCCGACCTCCGTCTTTGATAGGTATCTTTTAATAATCTTTTGTTAAAGTGGTATAACTTCTTTTTTACAAAAACGACGTTGCTTTGGAAGACCCATGCCTACTAGCTAATTCAGAACTCATCGTCGCGTCCAGACATTCTTCGACGGGGAACCCGGCCACCCTCCAGGCGTCATCCACCTTCCGTCAGAGCCCGTATACTGTGAAAAGCTGCGCCAGGTAAATTTTAAGGGGGTGAAGAAGCGCCACCAATTGAGTTACGGTCCGGAAACCCGAGCTTTTTACGTCGAAGGCCTTTGTACGCCCAGGACTAGCAAATTTGAAAATCCCTGTCGTCACTCCCAAATCTCTTTTTCGGCTGTCTCTGGCCCAGAATCGGTAATTAGAACACGAAAGCTATTTCAAATTTAGACAGTTTTAGAAATTAGCTCAAAATGTGCGAATTATAGTGTCGGTTCCGGTTCAAAAACGGTTCCGCGCAAAAATCCAAGGAGGGAACGCTTTAAAGCGCACGTTCAGGGAGGGGCCGTGTACTCGTCCCAACGTGTACACCCTATGGACGTAGGGACCGCGCGCACGGCCTGCCCGTGCTGTGACAGGCCATTCCCCTCCTTTGCGGCGTGGGGCGTCCCTCGCCCCCTTGCCAGGTTGTAGCTGTGGCTGACTGGTATCCATCCGCGCCTCCCGAGCGGGGGGGCCCGGGTTCGACCCCCGGCCGCGGCAAAAGCCTTTGCTTTTTTCCAAAAAAACGTCCCTGAACGTGCCCTTTAATGAGTCCCACCGACGGCATAGGTCGATGACCTCTGATCGACTTTTTGGCACGTAGCCAACGGGTCAGAGAACTCGCGAAGGGGCGAGACGCAGAAACGGTTTGTTCCCTTGCGTCACCGGCTACTTATGTCGTCGTTATCCCTTTAAGCTTCACGACTCGGCGGCTGGCAATTTGCCAGAAATACAACGCCCTTCTCGAAAGGGCTCATATTTGGCGTTTCCGTGCCGGCTTTAACGCAGACCTTTCCAGCTGTTAATGCAATGCGCCAAGGATCTGGAGTACAAACATCACGACGGCGGCTTCGGGGTTTGCATCGAGGGACCGAGATATTCGACAAAGTAGGTATCGCTTTTTGCAAGCTATTAAAACCTGTTTTCTTTTTGTCAAGCAAGTTCGTGACAAATGCCTTTCAAAAATTCGTAATAAATACCTTTAGAGCCGAATCCCTCGTCTACAAAAGCTGGGGCGCGTCGTTGGTGTCGATGACGTTGATCCCGGAGGTAGGGTTGCGAACGGAATATTTTTCATTCGTTGCCTAGGGTCTCCTCGCCAAAGAACTCGGAATCCCGTACGCGAACGTGACCCTCGTCACTGACTATGACTGCTGGAAGGACGACAGCCATGTACGTTTTACTTGCCAGACATTTTGAACTGGCAATCAATAACAGTTGCTTGCTCCTTTAACCACCTTACTTCAGGTAACCATGGAGGCCGTGATGGAGACGTTCGCCCAGAATGCCCACAAGGCCATCTCCATCTTCATGAGGGCCGTGGTGCAGATCGGGAAGGAGGACTGGACCGAGGAGATTCGGGCGGCAAAGGCAGGACATTAGATATTTTCGCGTTAGGGCTGCGAGAGAGAGAGGGAGAGAGAGAAGGAGAGAGTGAGAGAGATAGAGAGGTAGCGAGAGCGCGAGAAAGAGTGAGAGAAGAAGAGAGGGATAGAGAGTGAGGATGAGAGAGCGAGAAAGAGGGAGAGAGAGGGTGTGATAAACGGACAGCAAATTCCGAAGCCTTCACGGACGCTTTAAAGTTTGAAGAACCCCGTAATAAGGATCACTCCAAATTTTACATCCATTTTTTCAGAAACTGGCCCGCGAAGCGGTGATGGTCGCGAAAGAAGTTAAGATTCCTCATCTCGAGCCGGATCTCTGAATCTTCGCACAATGTTGATTTTTCGAGACTTCAAGCACGGCTAAAACTAAATAAATGGCTCCATACAGAATTGATGCGTTTCCAAGACAGAAAGCAGAACATTTTTGCAACCTACAGGTTATAAACATAAACATATCCAACGCATTTTGGGTTTTTTTTTAATTTTTTTTTTGCAGGGATGAACGGCACCTGGAAGCCAATTGAAAACGCCAGATTTTAGATCGCTAAAGAAAACGATCTTTCAAAAATCGAGCCGACAGATCCGATTTTCGACCCAAAATGTCGACTTTTTCAACTTTTTAAAAAGTTTTTAAATAGTTTGTCTAGCTAAAATATAATTATATATTGCTAAAACACTATTAAAACACTGTCTCTTAACTTAAACCTTACGCAAAACTAACGCCGGCACAAAAGCTCGATGTTGCGCGAATTTTATGTCAAGTTTTTTGTGAAAGTATAATTTTCCTGGTACTCTAGGGAGTACCCCTCACTTTTTGACACATAAGCTGACCTTTGACTATAATTTTGACTGATTGGCTCCTTTAAACTCCGTTTGCACTTTGTTTTTGGACCCCAAGGTGATATCAAGCACTCCAAAGAGTTCGGGCAACACCCCGCGAGGCGAAAAAAAAACAATTCAAGAAGCACCGTGTGTGTTCACCCGGTGTTTCACGGGCAGGTGTTCCGCTCTTCTCCTGGCAAATTAAGGTCTTCTCCACAGCCTCGAATAACATTTCTGGAGGGAGGAAGGAGAGCCGAGTGGACGGCTTCAAACTCCGCTGCTATTTCGGGCAATTCCTGATCCAGCTGCCACCACCTTCTAAGAGTTCTCAGCCAATTCTTGGTTTGATTTAATCGGTTTCCGGTTCCGCCTACGGTGTCATTTTGCTGGAGATGCTATATTTTTCGCCGAGTGGCGCCCAATTTTGTGGCACGATGTATACGGTATTCGCGTTGTTGGATTTCGGTGAGGAGTCTGGCTTTAGATGTCTCTCTCTCTCTCTCTCTCTCTCTCTCTCTCTCTCTCTCGCTCTCTCTCTTGCTATCTGTCTCCCTTCCACTTTCTCTCGCTTACTTTCTCACTCTCTCACTCGCACTGTCACTCTCCCTCGCTCTCTGTCGCCCTCTCTCTCTCTCCATCTCCCTTTAATGTATCGTTCAGACTTTCTCTCTCCCTGTCTGCCTCTCCCTCTATCTCTCTCTCTCTCACTCTCTCTCTCTCTCTCTCTCTCTCTCTCTCTCTCGTTCTTCTCTGACTGAAAATATCGATAATCAAAATCATCGAGCATCGAGAATTGTTCGAAAAAATGACAGGTGGCGCGCAACGGTCACTCAAATTAATTGCATTTTGTGTGACCAGAACAATGTACCATTGCCCAGAGACCAAGCCAAAAACACAAACCTCCAAAAATTAACAGAGACGATTTAGTGTGGTGCTCGATCACGGTCTACGTGGTGCTCAAATATTCCCCAAATCATATGGTGGTCTACAAATGGGCCCTCGTTAATACTATCGTAAGTTTAGTGGCAATTAAAGGCTCTGGGAAGACGAAAATTTACTCTATCCCCCCACTAGGTCTTGACAGCTAGCTACGCGACACGCCAAAAAAACGTGCAAGTCGTTTGAAAGGGACGGTCGAGGTTTTGGAAACTGCGTTGCGTGGCGCGGCGCGGCATAATGCTTAAAAAGTCCAGAACGAAACTCCCTAACCATGTCTTGTATGTCCGTCCGTCGCCTGAAATAATTTTCGTTAGTGTTTTTGAAGTACTTTTCGGGGCTAGCTGTCGACACCTAGTAAATAAAGGGTTTCCCAAAAAACACCCCTCCGTCATTTGGCCGCATTACATCCGATGGCCGCATTACATTACATCCCTTCTGGACCGATCGCTCCAGTCGTTCTCCAGTTACTGCCAAAATACGGTTTTCTCAGCGATTCTAACAGTTTTATCGGCTAGCTTTTTGGACTTTGCATTATTTTGCATCGACTTCCGGTCATGAATCTATCTTGAGCTCCGAGTTGTTTTTGCTTTTAAAAACATTAAAGGCGTTTATGAGTTAAATTTTTGTCATGAAAAATTTTTAGGGGAAAACAGGCTTGCCGCACCGTTTTCACTGAATATTCTACGGGTCGAATCCGGCGAAAACCTTATGAAAAATGCATTACAAAGTTTATTTTTGTTGTAGCTCGAAAACTGCTGTAGCTGGCCGTCTATAAGTCCGGATTGTGGATATATAGGGTCCGATACACCTCTGGTCCAATTTTGGGACTGTTCGGATGTAGTGTGTCGAAATGCCGGAAGGGTGCTTTTTTGGGACACCCTGAATAAAGGGGTCGATTCTTGTGCTTCATAGTTCCTTTAACCCAAAAATCCCTCAATGAAACCAATTTTTTAGGTCAGCGGCTTGTTTTGCGACGTGACATCTGGTTTTTTATCCCCAGTGCTAATCGAGCCGTATTTCGGTCTTTACAGCATCTCATTCCTATCGTTGAGCCCGCTGGTGATGCACATCACTTTTGTAAGTTTCTGAAAAGGCAAGCCAGTAATAAACAAAATCTCTAGTGTCTGTATTTCATCAGCCTTTTCTGTATACTCTATGCTATTTCGATCACTTATTACTACCGTATCGGTCTGTCGTTACCTGCGGAAAAGGTATCGCAAAATTACGGGCCCCGTAAGAGCCACTCCCAGGCCGCGTCGCTCCTCAAATACGCTAAAATCATCCTGGTCACCTGCTATTGCCTGGGCCCATTTGGGGCCCTAACCCTGACGATTGACTATTTTGGGCAATTGCCGGAGTATACGGCCCGTAAGGTAAGCGAATATGGTCCTTAGTGGTTAACGGGACCGGGGTAGAGGATTTTTCGGTACCGCGACACTTGCGCCGCGGACACTTGCGCCGCGACACTTGCGCCGCGACACTTGCGCCGGCGACACTTGCGCCGCGACACATGCGCCGCGACACTTGCGCCCGACACTTGCGCCGCGACACTTGCGCCTGACATTTGCGCCGCGACACTTGCGCCGCGATACCGAGTTTCAGCTACTTGAAGATGCAATTTTTCGCGCGGAGTATTCTGGTTAAAGAAACGATAGAAAGATGTTTTTGCGCTAGGAGTCACTCGATTTGGAGGGAAGGTAATTGCTACTTCTTCCGCTCTGCGACTAGAAAAAGGCTTCGTGCCACCCGGGGCCTAGTCGCTTCGGATGGGTGCGAGCTCGTACAGGGTTTCGAGATCGGGGCGCCCGAGGCGCGCGTAGCGGCCAGGCGCCCCGATTTCGAAAGAGTGGAGCGGCAGCCCATCCGAAGCGACGGCCCACCTTGCCTGACGCTTCAGGAACGCTCCGAATTGGCGTTACTCACTTTCTGTCAGCTTTTAATGCAAAATACAGTAATTACATACAAAATTCGCGCGAAATACCAAATTCACTACAGTTTAAATCAATATACGATCCGCGGCGCAAGTGTCGGGCGCAAGTGTCGCGGCGCAAATGTCGCGGCGCAAGTGTCCGCGGCGCAAGTGTCGGGCGCAAGTGTCGCGGCGCATGTGTCGCGGCGCAAGTGTCGCGGCGCAAGTGTCGCGGCGCAAGTGTCCGCGGCGCAAGTGTCGGGCGCAAGTGTCGCGGCGCATGTGTCGCGGCGCAAGTGTCGCGGCGCAAATGTCGCGGCGCAAGTGTCCGCGGCGCAAGTGTCGGGCGCAAGTGTCGCGGCGCATGTGTCGCGGCGCAAGTGTCGCGGCGCAAGTGTCGCGGCGCAAGTGTCCGCGGCGCAAGTGTCGGGCGCAAGTGTCGCGGCGCATGTGTCGCGGCGCAAGTGTCGCGGCGCAAGTGTCGCGGCGCAAGTGTCCGCGGCGCAAGTGTCGGGGAGCCGATTTTTCACGGCGTGAATTTTCCCCCAGTAATTCCGCACGGCGCGGGAACGACATACACAGCGTCTCAACAAAAAAGGTCACGCCGGCGTTTTGCGATTTCGGGTCCGGTCGACTTGAAATTTTGAGCATAGTTGCATAAAGGTATTTAAAATGTTCACAGAAACGGCAGCCGGCTATCTTTCGAAGCCGAATTTTGCAAAGTGAAAACTTGCTCTGATAAAAAAGGATGTCCGCCTGATTTTCCAAATGCATTCCGAGGCCCAATTTCGGCGGAATCTCGATTAAAAACTGAAAATAAAATTTAGTTTTGTACTAAAAGAATTTTCCTCTCAAACCTGTTCCCTTCCCTTGGCTCCTACAACTCAAGAATCAATGTAACTAATCAGATGAAAGTTTGAAAGTTTCTGTGTAAAATTCGGATCCTTTTGTGATTCTGTTCAAAAAGTCAAGCCGCTGGGACCCGAAATGGCCTATCCTACATTCACACATTTTATATAAAACAAATTTTATCTCGCGGTTGACAGTTTTTGGATATAAAAGGCCTCTAAGGTTTTTTGCGCGGTCGCCCTTTTTACGTCGTTTTTTTGCAATTGTGGGGAAAATTTGCAGTCCTTTAAATTGTTCCAATCTTTCCAGCTCCACGAAGACAACACCCTATGGCCGCTACGTCAACCGCGCCTCTCCGGAATCCTGATCTATTCCACCGAGACGACGTGGATGCAACTATTCCTCGGCGTCTTCTTCTTCCTCTCCACCGTCGGCATCGTCTTCTACAGCTACGCGTTGCGGCTGATGCTGCAGAGTTGGAATAGTGGTGGGTGTGCTGCTTCAGTGATCGGCGCTTCTCGTTGTTGTGGCACGGTCCATTTCCTGGCTTCCTGCATTTCCGTTTAGTACCGGATGGCATCCTCCTCTCCACCCAAACGAAACAGATGAAGCGCCAAATGTGGCAAGTGATGATATTTCAGGCATGTTCACCTTAACCATTGACTTTGTCGGCTACGGAAGATGGTTCTTTCGCATTATCGGGGGGTAGGGGAGGGGTGGGGTTATCGAAAGCCGAAGCCATCTTTTTTTCCTGTGACTCCAAAAATGCCTCGTGACGTAATAATAAATTTTTTTAGTCGGGTTTATGTGAGATATAACTTGGTTTAAAGGAAAACATATTGGGAGGGGGGGGGACTCAGAAAAATATTTCGAGTCGAAAATCCGCAATTTTTGGTCGAAAAATCTTTTTTCTTCAAAATTTGTATAGTTTTTAAGCTTAGGAATAGCAGAAAACGGCTTAGTTAGAAACATTTTCATTATTTGTGTTAGACAAATTGGATCCTTTAAAAAAGCTCTTCGACCCCCTGATAATGCAAAAGAAAACGACATACATTTCGACATTCTTAATTCCGACATTATGAGGTTCCGACAATTTGAAAAATATTTTGATAGTAACCGCTGTCAAACTGGGTCCTAATCTTCAGCGACTGTTTTCAGATCATCCTCTTCTGCCTCACTACAGGATTTCCATTGTTGTTCTACTTGGCCACAGTCCTCGGCGCACCGGCACTCCTACCCGGCGAAGGTAAAAAAAATTCAAATTAGATTTTAATAAAGTCGATAATTTGTAGTGACCAACCTTGCGCCGCTACATCATTGTATACACTCCTTGTTTAACTGCCCGATCATCCTATTGGTTACAAAGGTATCGGAGGCTACACTTCACTTTACCCCCCCCAAGCCAGAATGTTTTGGCTATAACTTGCGTATTTTACATTATTACAGGCACAAATTAAAACCCTTAGTATATTTTTCGAATCTCTATCGAATGGAGCTGCAAAAATTCCGACCAAACAGGCGAAAATACCGAAAACTTTGAGAACCTTCGGCTGTGGGGGGAGGGTGGGGTGTTGGGGTAAAGTGAAGTCTTACCGTATCGGAAAACCCCTATCAGAGAAAGCTATCCTTTTCTAGAACTACCGTGCGGTCGTCTTCGAATTCCTTGGCGTCAACGCGCCCAAGTCGCAAGTGAAGTCCCAGGAAACCGCGTACACGATTACCCCAAAAAACATCCGCCTCAACACGAAGGTGGTCGCGTGGGCTAAGGAGACGACAATAAAGTGAAGTACCTATCCGATAAAAATATAAGGCAAGTAAGGCATATATACATTATTACCGGTGGAAAAGACCGTTTTGCGACCCTTTTCCACCGGACCTCATTTAGAAACCTGGAATTCCCTTTCCCGTTTCCAAACCTGTGGGGCAAGAGCCTGACTCAAGGATTTATTCTTTGGCTTGCGGCGCCAGAGCCAGCGTTGCGCTAGAATCTTTGAGCCTGCGGCGCTAGCTAGTGCTTTTTCTCCCGGATCTGGCCTGCGGGGCGAGAGCCTGGGAAAAGGAACCATCCAGGGCCTGCGGCCATGGCCGTAGCGATCCCCAGATTTTGGGGGGGGGGCAACCACAAAAAAATTTTGGCGACGTATAAAAACTCTCAAAATCAGCGCCGCAGGCCAAAATTTTTGAAAATTAGGTCCGTGACAGTAACGACAGTCTTAAAAACAGCTATAAAAAGCGCCGCATGCAAAAAAAGTTTTACGAAAAAAATCATAAGGGTCCCCCTACTGAACTTTTCGGCCTTCGGCCGGTTTTTGGCCCGGACCGGGATCGGGGGCCCACCTCCAGGCGCCGTGAAGACTTCCGGACAACGCGGCAAGAGCCTTATTTTTGTTAAGGGTGTTTAACTTTCTTAAATCTTAAGAATTTCTAAAAATAAGCTTAAATATTAAAGACTGGCCTGGAAAATGGCGGTTTTAAATAAATGATTAGAATCGCCGAAATTTGCATTCAACGAACAGAATTCGCGCGAAGCAAAATTGTCTCATTCTCGTTACCAGCACGTTATCGCTGAAGCGTCAAACTGTGCAACAACCCCACCCTGACGCCAAACTTTTGGGTCTTGCCGTGATGAAGTCGGGGTATACCCTGAAAGTCTTCGGTTTGTGTTTTTTTTTGTGAAATTCCGGTCGAGCTACAAAGTCAGGTAAGAGTGCAGTTTCCCCCCCAGCCCGCACCCAACTTTTGTATCTGGGTTCCCTGTTAATCTACAGGTGTGTAAAGTATACCAGGCCTGGGAAAGGGCCGGCCCGGGCCGGCCCTAAACCGAAAATTTTGGGCCCCGGCCCGGCCCGGCCCTACCACCAAAATATGGGCCCGGGCCGGCCCTACATTTTGACCTTAACTACAGCCATTCATCAGAGGAGTCCTGACATAAGCTGAGAGTACGTTTTGATGTCTCAGGCCATGCCAAATGGCATTGCAGTGATTTCAGATTGTTTCCGGTAGAAAAAAGCAAAAAGCAAAAAATTGACCTCGGGCGGGTCGAACCCGGGTCGTTCTCCTGGTAAGCAATTTTGATCAAACATTTATTTTTTTTGGTGAAGCTGTGTAGATGGATAGCGTAATCTCTATACATGTAAAAATAATAAATATTATCGCTATATAATCGCATTTAAATATATTTCAGATTCGTTCAGGAAGGTCGGGCCGGCCCTGCTTTTCCCAAGGCCGGCCCCGGCCCGGCCCGGCCCTCCAAAACCGCCAAAATTTGGGCCCGGCCCGGCCCTGAAAATTCCCAGGCCTGAAGTATACCAAAATGTTCGTGTTGCTGTGGCGAGTGTTTTGGTATACTTTACACATCTGTAGATGAACAGGGAGCCGAGATACAGTAGGAGGGGGTCCGCTGGGGGGGGAGGGGTAAACTGAACCACAGCCCAAAATAAACTACGGTATTGCCTAGACCTTTCGCATCATACTAAATTTCGATCGAAAAAGCTGGGATTTGGTTCTTTCCAAACTCAAAAAGTTACAGATGTGCCAACCAGACAAGTGAAGGCGGCCTTCATTTTGCTCGCCGCGTTTTTGGCATTTGCTTTTGCCTTTGCAGTTTTAATGACAGGTTTTTGGCTTTTGGTTTTTTTTTACGTTACGTTTTTTCTAATAATTTTACACTGTTTTTAAAGACAAAATATGAATTTTAATCTATAAGAATTTGGAAGTTTTTGGTTTTGATCAAAAATTTATAAAAAAAAACTCCAAAATGTCAAAATCTACAAATATTTATACGAGTTTCATGGCTTTCTGGCTCGGAGAAACAGCTGAAAACGTGACACAAACACTTTATTTATTCTAACAGGTGAAAAAACTAGAATTAATCCCCCCCGCTAACAGTCCAGCACCAAAACCTCGGTTTTGTAATGGAAAATGGTTTATTTTCAGCGAAAATCAATAAAAAATTATCTAAGGCAAAACAAATAGTAAAATTCTAATAAAGAAAGCAAATTCAGCCCAACGATCCCGGTTGCCGCTCAACCGCACCACCGGAAACAGTCCCGCTCAACAGAGGGTGCGTTTTCCACGGATTTTCCTGACTAATACCTACCCGTCCTTAGAACGTGGCGTTTGTGGTTGTGGTACACGACAGACACAACCTCACCGAGTACGACTTTGCCCAAATGACGCTCAAGTGCTATGCGGAATCGCGGGGCATCCCGTATTTTCTGGTGGACAAAACATCAGAGCATCTGCATGGATGTCCGATGGCCGAGGTACGGTATCGTAGTCGTTATTAAAATATCGGTATTAGGTTCTTTTGCATTATCGGGGGGCAACTTTTTCGTAGGCTCTAATTTTTGAAATATAAGTAGTGGAAGTGTTTTTAAACTGTTTTTTTTTAAGATTGCGAATGTAAAAACTATACAAAGTTTTCTTCAAAAATAGCAAAAATATTCGATCAAAAATGTCGATGTTTTAAAAATTTTTGATGTTAACTTTGAAAATTGTTAACTGGCTTTTCTGGTTCAATACAGCTTTATTTTATTGAAAATCTTATTCAATTGAATATTATTATTGCTTATTCTCATTATCAAAATTAAAAATGACATTAGATTGAAATAATAATTTAGGTGGCGAACAATAGAAAACTTAAAAAATTTTTAGATGATCTTTCGTCGAAATCGGCTTTTCTTGGTCGAAAATATGTTTTACCTGTTTCTATACATGACTTTTACAATGCTGAGGGATGGTAAACGGGTTTAAAAACCCTTTTTCTATTTAGATTAGCAAAATTGAGTGACAAAGTTGGTTCTCTCATCTCCCGCTACACTCTGAGTCCAGATCCTGGGCTACAAAACCATTTTACAGCTAATGTACGGACGTCACTGCCTGCTTGCAAACCTAATGGCCGCCACCGGGCACCAGTGGTTCATCATGTTCGACGCGGATATGGGTCGGTTTTTTTTTGCCTGTTCATTCATAAATAGCCTAGGTTTGTTTTCGTTGCTTCATATTTCTGGGATCCCCCCTGCTAAAATTCCTTCACCCCTGGATAAGATTCCAATACCAAACGTGTTTTTAAGGGATCATCAACCCCCGTCAATCGATCGATCGCTGGATCCCAGCAGACGAGGACACGTTTCTCGTGCTGACAAACCGGGTGATGAATTCGGAGATCATGGCTGGCAGCTACATTGTCAGGTCAGGGAATTATGTTGGCTTCGGAAGGCAAAAAGGAAAAAAAAAGAAAAGAGAAAAAGAAAAACGGAAGCAGCAGGCGTTTGCAGCGGTTTTCCGGGCAGGATTTTTGGCTAAGCTTCTGGTCTCCGGTAGCCATCCGCCCACCCGCGCAGCGCCTGGCTCACTACAGAGTGTCTCAATAAAAAAACCCCCGAGCTCGACGGGGACAGTCAGATCTGAACCATGGTCATACCGTTCGGAATTCCTCGAAATGGCGATTTTGCAACAATCTTGAAAAGCATGTTTTTATCTAAATGCTCTATTTCACAATTGATTTTGTAGGGTTTCATACAAGCCAATTCACCTAGCGAAATAGGGGTAGCTGGCCGTTAATTAACTGCAGCGGCCCTTAAATTCGTACCTTAAATTTAAATTCGCTATAAAATGACACGCTTCAATAAAAAACCTGATTATGAAGATTGTTTCAAACTCGCCGTTTCAGGGGCTTTCCAGTGGTGTAACAATCTCCGATGCGATACTTCTGTGCCGAGTTAGAGGGGAGAGGGCGTTTTTGGGGGGTCCCCGGTATATCCCCAACTGTGCAATCTAAATATCGTTTTTGAGCAGCTGTAAAAGTGGAAAACGCCTTGCCACCGTCAACGGATGCGCAACGGTAGATTTTCAGAAATGACGAGCGCGGTCGGGATTTCTTGAATTCCTGGGCGGCCGGCGAGAAAGCGTACTCGGGGCTGAAGGGCCGTGACAACGCCGCGATACACGTAAGTGAACGTTTAACTTTGGAAGAACCGCGCCCACGTGGAGGCACTGCACTCACGTGGAAGCACTGCACCCACGTGGAGGCAAATTGACTGCACCCATGTAGACGCACTGCATCCACGTGGAGGCACTGCACCCACGTGGAAGCACTGCATCCACGTGGAAGCACTGCACCCACGTGGAAGCACTGCGCCCACTTGATGGTAAAGTGATTGCACCCACGTGGAGGCACTGCACCCACGTGGAAGCACTGCACCCACGTGGAAGCACTGCACCCACGTGGAAGCACTGCACCCACGTGGAAGCACTGCACCCACGTGGAAGCACTGCACCCACGTGGAAGCACTGCACCCACGTGGAAGCACTGCACCCACGTGGAAGCACTGCGCCCACTTGATGGTAAAGTGATTGCACCCACGTGGAAGCACTGCACCCACGTGGAAGCACTGCACCCACGTGGAAGCACTGCGCCCACTTGATGGTAAAGTGATTGCACCCACGTGGAGGCACTGCACCCACGTGGAAGCACTGCACCCACGTGGAAGCACTGCACCCACGTGGAAGCACTGCACGAACACGTGGAAGCACTGCACCCACGTGGAAGCACTGCGCCCACTTGATGGTAAAGTGATTGCACCCACGTGGAAGCACTGCACCCACGTGGAGGCAAATTGATTGCACCCATGTAGATTGCACCCACGTGGAAGCACTGCACCCACGTGGAAGCACTGCACCCACGTGGAGGCACTGCACCCACGTGGAAGCACTGCACCCACGTGGAAGCACTGCACCCACTTGGAGGCACTGAACCCACGTGGAAGCACTGCACCCACTTGGAAGCACTGCACCCACGTGGAAGCACTGCACCCACGTGGAAGCACTGCGCCCACTTGATGGTAAAGTGATTGCACCCACGTGGAAGCACTGCACCCACGTGGAGGCAAATTGACTGCACCCATGTAGACGCACTGCACCCGCGTGGAAGCACTGCACCCACGTGGAAGCACTGCACCCACTTGGAAGCACTGAACCCACGTGGAAGCACTGCACCCACGTGGAAGCACTACACCCAGGTGGAAGCACTGCACCCACGTGGAGGCAAATTGACTGCACTCACGTAGACGCACTGCACCCACGTGGAGACACTGCACCCACGTGGAAGCACTGCAACTACGTGGAAGCACTGCAACTACGTGGAAGCACTGCACCCACGTGGAAGCACTACACCCAGGTGGAAGCACTGCACCCACGTGGAGGCACTGCACCCACGTGGAAGCACTGCACCCACGTGGAGGCAATTTGACTGCACCCACGTATACGCACTGCACCCACATGGAGGCAAATTGACTGCACCCACGTAGACGCACTGCACCCACGTGGAGACACTGCACCCACGTGGAAGCACTGCAACTACGTGGAAGCACTGCACCCACGTGGAAGCACTGCACCCACGTGGAAGCACTGCACCCACGTGGAAGCACTGCACCCACGTGGAAGCACTGCACCCACGTGGAAGCACTGCACCCACGTGGAAGCACTGCACCCACGTGGAGGCAAATTGACTGCACCCACGTAGACGCACTGCACCCACGTGGAAGCACTGCACCCACGTGGAAGCACTGCACCCACGTGGAAGCACTGCACCCACGTGGAAGCACTGCACCCACGTGGAAGCACTGCACTCACGTGCAAGCACTGCACCCACGTGGAAGCACTGCACCCACGTGGAAGCACTGCACCCACGTGGAAGCACTGCACTCACGTGGAGGCACTGCACCCACTTGGAAGCACTGCACCCGCGTGGAAGCACTGCAACCACGTGGAAGCACTGCACCCACGTGGAAGCACTACACCCACGTGGAAGCACTGCACCCACGTGGAGGCACTGCACCCACGTGGAAGCACTGCACCCACGTGGAAGCACTGCACCCACTTGGAAGCACTGCACCCACGTGGAAGCACTGCACCCACGTGGAAGCACTGCACCGACTTGGTGTCAAAGTGACTGCACCCACGTGGAATGAATGAATGAATTGCTCTGAATTCAAGAAGATATCCCCATTTTAGAGTGTCCTAATCAGAAAATACCTGTCCGACCACGAGGCCGAGCTGCAGCGCTGCGAAATTTGGTGGCGAAACGCCTCGTGGGTGTTCTTGGGAGCCAATTTTCCAATCGAATTTTGTACGGCCCAGCAAGAAAATTGGCCGTTCAAATTGCAATTTTTTGATTGTTGTTCAAAACTTTTGAAGATGACGAATCAAAGGCAAAATTCCACCGAGGAGATCTTGAAATACTCGATTGTGAAAATGCGAGATTTCGAAAATCGAATTGTCAGGAAAAAAGAAACACGAGTAAATACCCCTGTTAAGGGCCTACTGTCGACTTTTCCTATACGAAGCCTGCGCCAGGGATCTGCTCGATCGCCATGGAATCCCGGGAATCCAGGTATAAAGCGATTTTTGTGAATTTTTGGTTCTGGACTGTTAGCTGGGGGTGGGGTGAGCCGGGCAAAACAGCTTTTTTTGTCTACCTATAGATCATCTGTAGATGATATATCATTTATTTTTTTTTAGTAGTTTCTAATTGATAGAAAGTTGCACTTCGTAGTTTTTAGCATTTGGAAAATTCAATAACTTCGAACTTTTTTGATCATTTTCATACATTGAAATTAAAAAGATCGTAAATCTCCCAAAAAAAATCTTATTTTTTACGAGCTTTTTAGATCTAAGAACTGTAAAATGTTATAAAAATTCCTTTGGTGTGGTTATAGAGCCGAAGAGATGACAGGGAACAACTTGGCCGCCCCCCGCTAAATCCCCCCCGCTAACAGTAACCGATTTTCCGAACCTCTATACCTCTCACCAAAATCATGAGTTTCTGCCAAAAACCTACTCGTACGTGCGGGATGGCTGGCTGACGTATGGAAGGTTCAGCGATGATGATTTTGTGTTTCACAACTGGAAGAACAGGTGGGATGCGGATTTAATTTTTCACAAAACTGTTTAATGCGTATAACTCTTGATAATCGAAACACTTACAAGGGAACGTCACCAACTGAGAGTTGGACTTCGTAATCTTCTACTATAATAATTTTGCTGTGGTGTCCGTCATGTCCCGAATTCAACTCGATGGGGAGAGGAGCTAGAGCTTAGCTCTCTTCGGATTCGGATAGAGCGTGGTCAGAAACCCCCAAACTGATAAAAAATTATGAAAAAGTTTTAGTTTAAATTATTAAAATTAACTTTGAAGTTTTTTCCTTACTAGAAGGGGTGGGGGACGGAGGTTGGGGTGATTTGGGACATAGTGAGCCAGTTGGCGCGCGTTTCGTGGATGAAAATTTTCACGGGGGCCATTTCATTTCTTTTATTTCTCCCACGTATCCGGTCGGCCCTTATTTTAGTTTTTGAAGGGGAGTTCGGCTAGGGGAGGTATCTAAAGTTATCCGGAAGGTATTTAGGTAGTTTTTGAAGGGGATTTCGGCTATGGGGGAGGGGTATCTGAAGCCATTAGCGTGGGTATTGATGGAGGTAGGGAAGGATGCGGTGGAGTAGGACATGTAGGGTAGCTCGAAGGCCAGATGGTTGCAGTCGCGAGGCTACTGCAACGACCTGGTAAATTCCAGTTCATCTAGACCAGTTTTTTGCCCTGATTCCGAATCTGCAATCAGTTTTAGCCCAATGCATATATTTATCGTGATATTCGGCATTTTTCATAACTTTGCCGCTGAGGCAGGAAAAATTATGAAATTCCGGTCAATGGGGTAAAAATTATTGCGAATCCGATGCTATTCGATAAAAATTTTACGTGCGCTGATAATCCTGATTTTTGAATATTTATTTTGCTGTTTTCGAGCTGGACCTGACGGCGTGGGTCGGTGTCATAGCCCTCATCCAAGTGTGCGTCGGAGCACGCAGTTGTTTGATTGGTCGTTCGCCTTGGCGGAGTTCAACTCGAAAATACCGGTTTTTACACAGAAAATGCCGAATATCTCGACAAATATATGCATCGGGCAAAAACTGATTCCAGATTCGGAATCAAGGCAAAAAACCGGTCTAGATGAACTGTCTTGCATTACGAAGTCCAACTTTCGGTTCGCAACCTTCCTTTGTTAGATTTTCCGCTTTTCAGCCTGAGAAACGATCCAGAGGCCTTTGGCGAGTGGAAGTTCCAGTTTGACGACACGGCGTTCAGCGATCTGAGGTATCGGCTGTTTTTGTCTTTGAAAATAGCGTTATTAGCATGATGATAAATATATAATGTATTTATTTAGTTTTTCAGGTAGTTTTTGATTGCTAGAACGCTATAAAAAATGACCATTTTTGATAGAGAGATTTTTTTGCCCATTTTTTAAACATATGCTGTATATTCAGCCAATATAAATTTTATGAATTTTTATGCGACACTTCTAGTCGGTGCGGCAGTTCCCGATCGGCTGAACCGCTGTGGCGATACAAGGACGGGTTCCATGTGGGAGATGGCGCGATACGGAAGTGGGTTTCGGAAGTTTTCGTTGGAGTTTCCCAATATTTGTAAACCGCGGTTCTTTTGCTTTATCGGGGGGGCGAAAACGTCCATTAATGCTTAGCAATGTAACAGTAAGGCCCTTCAAAGCACTTTCAGTAAAGATTAAACAAAAAAAACTATCCAAAAACTCGTAAATTCGAAATCTAATTTTCTTATTTTTAATAAAAATTTGCAAAACACGAATTGCTCATTTCGTACAACTCAGAATGCTTTTTAGGCGCCTGGATTGGTGGATCAAGGAGACGGCCACCGACAGAAAACGCCAAACCCGCCAGTATCAGACGTTCGACTTAACCGCGGTCATCGTCAAAGAATGCAAATAATTGGCTATTTTCTCGCTTAGAAATATTTGGTTAATAAATCTGGCGCTCACTCTCTTGCTACCTCTCTCGCTCTCTCCCCCCCCCCCCCTCTCTCTCTCTCTTTCCCCCTGTCTCTGTCTCTCGCTCTCTCACTCATGGGCCCTCAAGGGGACACGCAAGCAAACGATTGATTTTGCGCTCTACTGATTTCCTATGGCTTTTGGCAAGCAACGCGCGCCGGCCAAAGGCTTTGCAGTTCGCGTTCGGCCCTGACCCTGCAGGGAATTAATAGCATGTAAAAAATATATACATCTTGACTTGACCGTTCCTTTAAAACACGAGCTTCATGATGAGCATTCTACGGCAGCAACTATGAGAATAAGTACGGGCCGGAGTGTTGCGTAGGCGTAAATTGTACATCACTTGCTTCTGCTATTATCGATGTGATGTCGCGGGATCGATGGCAACCTTACGCATCTTGATGTCCATACCCAGATCTTTGAGCACAATTTTGTCATCCAACTTCTTCTTAAACTTTTTAATTTCGACCTGGGTTGAAAAACCGCTTCGCGGCTTTACAAGATTTGCAATAACCTAATGACGTATCATACGAAAAGGATGCGAAGTGGCATACACACGCACACACAGACACATACAGACACTCCCGGACTCATTTGCAAATGTAGAAATCGGATTCGGAATCAGCACAAATTCTGCACAAGATGGCTTGGTCTCGAACCAAATTGCCCTCCTGAGCAAAAACTGGGAAAGGAGGGGGCTTGTGAGCGCTGCTGGGGTTCCCGAGCACCTGATCGAAAAAGGACAAAACAAAAAATCCAACCTTTCCATCATTTTCATCTTCATCGCGCCTTCGCCATGCGCACCATGGCCAATTAATTCGGTCGAAATATTTATTCAAAAACCGCCGCCACCCATTTATTCACATTGGCCCACCCATTGGCCAAGCAAAATGCTGGCACACAGGCCGAAAAACACACAGACGATGATTATCATATTAGACAGGAATGTGGAAGCTTTGCGGCGTCGGCTTCGCGTAGATCCAATCATCATGGTTGCTCATCGAAGTGAAACAGCTGGCGCCGGCATTCCAGCAACTTGGCCACACCATCCTGAACTCGAGCTTTAGAAAGGATTCGTCATTAGGGACCTTTAAAGGGGTATTTAAGGGGTCGGCTATGGATTCGGCGCCGTCCGCGACACGCAACGCGCACGTCGAGATGTTGATCGTTTGGTCATCAGCTACGCAATCGAATGACAGGCACGCGCGTCGAGTGAAACCTCGAGAAACCAAGCGCTTTTCGCTTTACGAAAATTTTGCGATTTCTTAAAAATATCATCGCTGTTGTGGATAACGTGTGGTTTTGGATAAAATCTGCAGTTTTCTTGGAATTCGGCCCTGAATTTGGTGAATAAAAATGCTTATATTGAAAAACAAAAAGTTCTTGTTTTTTCGCCTTTCCGAGAGCTTTCGAAAGATGCCTAAATCGTCAAAATCGGACACTTCTCCGAGTCGCTAGAGGGGTCGGTTTTTTGAGACACCCCGGATAGGCATCCCAAAAAAACCGCTTGAAAATCATAGCTTTGGGCTTTTTAATAAAATTTTGGTGAGTTTTTCACGTTCAAAATAGTAAAAAAAATCGTGTAGCAGCACTTTCCCTATTTATATTTCAAAAATTAGATCAAATAGAAAGTCGGTCCCCCGATAATGCTAAATAAACCCTTTAATAGATTCGTTAATTGGTTTGCAAGGATCGAAAAGCTGCCAAAATTTGGCAAAACAGCCTTACGTGCACTTTTCTGACGCGGGCAGCGTGGAGGTTCGATAATTCGGCGGCCCGTCGCGGAATATCTCTCGAATCGTGTCGGCCATCTTGGCGAGGCGTTCGGTCATTTGCTCCTGAACAATTTCCCGTTCGTCAGGCAGGATTATATTGGGTTATAGTGCAGCCCCCCCCCCCCAAGCCGGGCCCAACTTTTGTATCTCGGCTTCCTGTTGGTCTACAGATGTGTCAAGTATGCCAAAATGTTAACCTTGCTTTGGCGAGTATTTTGGTATACTTTACTAATCGGTACGATAACGCGGAGCCGAGATCGGCTGGGGGGGTAAACTGCACTTAAAGGGATACCCAAGGTTTTGGCGGCAAATAAATAGTTATATACCAGGGTTGAAAAGCCGCTTCGCGACTTTTCAACCCTGGCCTCCGTCTAATCCTATGATGTTCTTTATTTTGCATAATTGTGCCTCAATTCCGATGACAAAAAAAAATGAAAAATCAGCCCTTTGGGCCTTTATATAGGCTACTGCATCTTCCGGCGTATGCTAATTTTCTCCTAACAAAGTGGGCGGACGAATTTTTACGAAAAACTTAATTTTAATGTCGAAAACAACACATTTTACAAAATCTGATGTGTGTGCAGTCATCTACAGTCCATTACGCATCTAATGACGTATCAAACACCTCCTTACGCCCCTCCCCTCTTAAGATATCCTCCGGACACGCTGACGGAAGTTGCATGCAAAGTGTCATACACACACACACAGACACTATTTTTTATATATAGTAGGATTCCGGGCAGTACAACTGACGCGCGAATTCCGTGCGGCAACGGGGAGCCCATTGTCGCGCAGAATTCGGACCCTTTCCCTCTTGTGGCGCCCCCGTCCCGCCGAATGGCTTGCCACTGGCCTAATGGATAGCATCCAGGCCTACAAAACGGGGGTCCCGGGTTCGACCCCCGCCCGCGACATGGTTTTTGCTTTTTGACTACCGGAAAGGTTAGGCATCCCTTTCGCCCTATTTTAAGATACCTTCGGCCAGAGTCGAAAATCCGGGAAGAGCGGAGCTGCCTTTGATTTTTGGAACGAGTTCCTCATGTGCAGGAGGAGGGCCTGATCGCGGGGGACCTGAAATTAGAAACAGCAGCCTTCTCTCACGGGCGGTGGCTAGACGTACGTGGTAGTTTTCGCGTCCTGCGAAGAATTTCAGCACGTAATGCACCCAGGAGATTCGCGTCACATTGGTCATCCAAATCGACTGAAAATTCAGGTCAACAACCTTCCGAACACTTTTTTCGCTCTTTTTTTAGCGCGGTACGTTCCGAAACATTTCCCCGTTTTTTTTTTTTGAAAGATTAGGCAAGTGTTTAGTGGGGTAGTTTTTTAAGTGATGGTATCGAATCGGTAGTCGTATCGGATCGGAACGGTAGTGTAACCATTGGAAAGCCCTGGAAACGGCGGCTTGCATCGATCTTTCAGAACCATGTTTTTATTTAGACGCGCCACTTTACAAACCATTTTGTGGAATTTTGCGTTTTTGGGAGGTTACATAAGAACTATAAATTGAGCTTTAAATGTGCTGTAAAACGACTCGTTTAACAAAAAATTTGATTATGAAGATGGATGCCAACTCGCCGTTTCACTGTTTTCTAATGGTGTAACTACCATTCCGATCCGATCCATCCCCATCGAGTTATAAAGGGTGTTTTTCGGCTTAGGTGCAGTTTACACCCCCCCAGTCGACCCCGACCTAACGTATCTCGGCTCCCTGTTCATCTACAGGTGTGTAAAGTATACCAAAATACTCGCCAGAGCAAGACGAACATTTTCATATACTTTATACACCTGTAGATAAACAGGGAGCCGAGATACAACTGCACTGCACTCTAGCCTGTTTTTCTGCCGTCCGCTGACCCGACAATTCACCTTGCCCAAGCGCCAGCGATCCGTGTTGGGCGTCCGCGCGCTCCGCAGTGCGTCCAATTTCAGGAACTTCTCGTAGTCAAACGGTTCGGGAATCCAGTTGAGGGCGAGTGGCGTGTGTTGGAAACGGAAACCACCTAAATGCCGGGTCATTTGATGAACGACTTCGATTTGGGGCCGACCAATGCTCGCATTCTGGCGTGCCGTCGCCTCGAGCAGGTCGTACAGCGTCCGGTTCTGGTGTCTGCAACAAAAACAAAAATTTTTTTTGCTTCTTACGATTTTGCGGGTAATTGTCACCTCACCGCAAACCAGTCAATCAAACCACAAACCACAAAACCGCAAATGTTTCTTGTGCTAATTTCTGTATTTCGTCCACTTGTTTGATGCTTTTTCTCTCCTCTTCCCCCCCCCGAGAAAAAAAACCCCCTCCCTGGCGGAACGCAGCGAGTTAAGGTTCTTTTGCATTATCGGGGGGGGGAGGGCAACCAACTTTTTGCTTAGGATTTAAACTTTTCAATACCAAAAGGGGCAGTGTATTTTCTTTTTTTTAACCATTTCTAAACGCAAAAACTGTAAATTTGCTTAAAAGTGCAAAAAATACCGATTTTCTACCGAAAATGGCTGTTAGTTGGCGAAAATTTCGACCTTTTCATCATTTTTGAAAGTTTTAGGAAGTTTTATAGCTGAAACATAGTTATCTTTAATTTGAAACCCTATTAAAAGGTTTCTAGTAACTTACTAGGCATTTCCTGATTAATACAAGAAAAATTTGGAGAAAGAAAAAAAAAGTTAGTCCCCCCACGATGATGCGAGAAAGAACCCCGACCTGATATGCAACAACTCGTCGACATCACTCAAATGCGTGTACTTGCTGCCCGACCAGAAATTGCAATATTGGTTGAAGAGGTTTTGACCGGCGTTGTGGACCTGTGGATACATGTCAATCTGAAATGGGCGGGTTCGATTCCGCTAAATGGCGAACCGTACGTTTAGAGCATTTTACCCCCCCAGTCGGCGCCCAACTTTTTTTATCTCGGCTCCCTGTTCATCTACAGGTGTGTAAAGCATACTAAAATGTTTGTCTTGCTCTGGCGAGTCTTTTGGTATATTTTACCACCCGGTATGATGACGGCGAGCCGAGATACGGTAGGTGGGAGTCGGCTGGGGGCAAACGGCACTGAAGCCTACCGTACCTCGTCGTTAAACGGCAACACTGGCCAAGGGTGTGGATCGATGATGCCTTTTTGTTGGTAATAGTCGATGACAGCCTTCACTTCTTTTGATATCGATTGCCACGTGACAAGAATACGGGATATTCCGTTCAGACGCGCCGTCTCCACATACAGGATCAGTCGAGGCCAATCGTTGTACCTGAAAAGAGCAGGGCATCTCTCTCTCTCTCTCTCTCTCTCTCTCTCTCTCTCTCTCTCTCTGTCTCTCTTTCTCTCCCTCTGTCGCTCTCTGTCTCTCTCTGCCTCTGGTCTCTCTCTATCTCTCTCTCTGTCTGTCTCTCTCTGTTCTCTCTCTCTCGCTCTCTCTCAGTCTCTCTCTGCCTCTCCCTGTCTCTCTCTCTCTCTCTCTCTGTTTTATCTCTCTCGCTCTCTCCATGTCTCTCTCTCTCTGCCTCTCCCTGTCTCTCTGCCTCTCTCTGTCTTGCTCTGTCTCTCACTGCTCTCTTTCTCTCTCCTTCTGTCTGTTCCTCCCTTCCTACTCACCAATGCAAAGGCCCCGTGCAGGCCGAGATATCATCCGTATAGTTCGACGGCGGTTGTTCGACCAGGATTTCGGCCGAATGCTCATTCCGGTGGAAGCTGACCTGAAAATGAGAAGCTCAAAATTAAATGAGAAGCTTAAAAAGGCTTGTAAAATGTTGGGTTTAAATAAAAACATGGTTTTGAAAGTGGTTGCACACTCGCCGTTTCAAGGGCTTTCGAATGGTGTAACTATGATTCAGCTCCGATACTTCTGCGTCGAGTTAGAGGGGGCTGTTTTTTTATTGGGACACCCTGTATGAGCTCCATAGTTTTGCTCACGTTTTTTTTCCGGGGACCCATATTTGCACTTGCGATGCTATCTACAACGGTATAACCTACCGTTTCCGGCACCGGTCCCCGATAGATCTTGGAGGCGATGTCGTAGCTGAAATACTTGCATCCATCGACTGCGCATCTGCCTGAAAAAAAAATGTATTTTTTTTGGTGCTTTGATCAATTCAAAACGGAAAGGGCCACTGTAGACGCACAACAGTTTGTGCTGTTCTTCCAGCCGAGACCGATCGATTGGCCATCAACGCGCAAATCAATCGTGGTCCCCGGGTCGTCGATCACACGACAACTAGCCGTCACGCACACACGAATTCGTGGCCCTTCCGGATCTCTGCAACACCCGATAATATCAAAAAAAAAAATGTTCTATGCTATAATTTTCGGGTTTTTCGCATTATCGGGGGGGGGGGACGGACAAACTTTTTTTTCAGAGATCTTTCAAAGAGTCGACGCTTTGGTCAAAAAAATCGATTGTTTTACACTCTTAATAATCGCAAAGTGTACAGTTTAGAGAAGACACTTCCGCTATACCTATTGCAAAAAATTCGCGGCTAAAGTCTGGTTTACCCCCCCCCCCCAGCCAGCATTTGCCGCCCCCAAGTAGTCCAATTAATTCGTGAAGTATATCAAAATGTTCCCCTCGTCGAATACTCCATTTCCATACAGGGTGTCCCAAAAAAAATCGACCCCCCTCTAGCGGACCGCAGAAAGCTCGGATTGGAATGATTTTCACACCATTCGAAAGCCCTTCAAACGGTGAGAAAACAAGCGCCTTTGGTTTTCCAAAAAATTTTAGCCTTCGCTCGATATTCAAAGAATTCTGTAAAAAGCGTAAAACCAGCATCGTCCTGTTTGCTTTAGCAAGCAATTAACATGCCGATTTTGCATAAAATCTGCAGTTTTCATCGATTTTGGCCCTAAATTTAATGAATTAAAATTCCCATATTGAAAAACGAAAAGTGCTTGTTTTCTCGCCTTTTCGAGTGCTTTCGATAGATACCTAAATCGTCAAAATCGGACATGACTGCGGCCCGCTAGAGGGGGGTCGATTTTTTTTGGGACACCCTGTATACTTTTTCTTGAAGAAAAACAACAAATAACATATTTAGAAGCCATTTATTGTTGTAGCGCAACTATAGTGTTGCGGGGACAGGGCAACGGGGCGCCCCTTTCGACGCTTACGACGGGGAAAAGGATGGTAAATACTCATACAGGGTGCCCCAATACAAACCAATCTTTGTTTAAGCTTTGTTTCTTTTTCTTTCTTTAGTTTCGCTAAAAAAAAGTATATGGAAAGGGAGTGTTTGAAGCGGGGAACATTTTGAGATACTTCGCGCATTAATGGGATGTCTTGGGGGCAAATGCTGACTGGGGGGGGGGGAGGCGGAGGGGGTAAACTAGACTCGGACCAAAATTGGAAACCAAACAAAAATTGCAAGAAAATTTAATAGTGCCAGTCCCTTTCAAACGCAGTAAAAAATGTTTACCTCAAATCATAAAAGGCCTTGTAGACGTAAAGGGCGTCCTTTGGAATGGGGAATTCGTAGAAAGCTTTGTCGAGATCCGTGTTTTCATAGCGGAATCCACGGGTGACATTTGGAGAAAATGGGTAGTGCTGGTGGAAGATTTCTTCTTGCTTTCCAACCGAATCCCCGAGTGTGCTGACGCTGAAGTATCTGAAAGGCAAGGATAACACGAGATCTAGGCACCTATAATTCTACCTGCTAGGAGGGCGAGACCTGGCGACGAGGAAAAGCACAAAGATACCAACGGCGAAGACGGCAAGAACTTGCTAAACGTGGTATCATAGTAGGCTCGAATCTAGCTCCCCCGTCCCGCAGCCCCAACTTTTCAGCCATCAGTCCTATTAAAGGGGCTCTGAAGCCAAAATTCGTGCATGTGGGTATTGAACCTACTCGTCAAAAAAATGAGGGATCATTGCCGAGAAGTATGAGAAAAGTAGGCTCTAACTTTATCCTCCCCCCCCAACCCGAGGGTCAATTTTCGATTCGATAGAGCCACGAAAAATATCCTATGAAGTTGAATTTCAGCCAGAAATCCTTTATTACAAAATAGTTACAGCAAAAACAAGGGTAAGGGTCTAGGAAACCCCGCCCCATCCGGCACCAACTTTTGTATCTCAGCCCCCCTTTGTGCTAGCGAGCTCTAAAGTATACCAAAATGTTCGCCGTAGGCTAATTAGTCAGAATACATTTCACTTGAGTCGAAGAACGTACCCAAAAATAAAAATAAGGAAGGTAATTTGAAAAGTCGGCTGGGGGGTTCCCTAGCCTTTAGCCCAGCTGGACACAGAGACATAGCCAAAGAGACGCCAAAATTATATAAGGCAGGATAAAAAATTATCTAGAAGTTTTTGCCGTTGTTTCTACCGGCCATACCACCCATTTTGAGATGCTTGGCGCATTAGCAGGGCCTATGGCTGAAAATTTGGGGCTGATGGGCGGTGTTGGGAACCTAGATTTGAGCCTAGTTTAGCCTAGTCTAGCCGAAATTAGCGTTGTCACTGACCTTTCGATTTACGCGCATCGGCTGGTAGGGAAGCATCGGCTCAAATGACTGAAACATGAACCGGCGGCCATGTTCGGCATTCTGGAGTAGCGGATGCTAATTGAAAATTTTAATTGTCTTTAGCTTGTCTGCAGTAGGGATGTTCTATTCAGATTAGTGATGGTATTATTCAAACCTACTATACCAGGGTTGAAAAGCCTCGACGCGGCTTTTCACCCCTGGCTTCTGCGCGGGGACATTTAATTGCAATTTTTGCATATAACAACCAGCGCCCAAAACCCGCTTCGCGGGTCGTGGGCGCTGGAATGCGGCCTTTGCATAAGAAATTTGACTTTCCGATAGCTCGGGTCCTTCGGACCCCCTCCCCGCGGCCCACCACACGCGCGCGTGCAACTTGCAAGAATGAAGAAATTTCTATTTTTCACATTATGCAAATTACCCCAAAAATGAGTAAAACCGGCTTTAACTTTGTAAACTTGTATTTTATCAAAATTCTGAGAACGCCATCGGAAACAGAAGGGTCGATTCCCCCAAGTGACGAAGAATCAGAGCGTTTTATGCACAGGAAGGCCCTCAAATCGGGCCTCGAAAGTGACATCCACACACACACACAGTTACACGCCAAAATTATATAAGGTAGGATTTGTAAAAATTTAACGATTGACGTTAGCGATCCGAGCACCACAAAAATAACGTGAGCAACCGTCTCCGAGCCCGGCAAAGCCCGAATGAGCCGAATTAATTCTCTTATGCAAATTAGTCTATTTTCATAGCTTTTAAAAACTTTAAAATAAGGTACCATGGTTGAAAAGCCGCTTCGCGACCGGTGATGTGATGGCAGAGCCTAATAAACCGGCCCCGGATTCTAGTTTTTCGCATGCAAATCATCATTTTCCGGAAGTGCTGTTTTTCTGTCCACAGGCCTCCGCAGGGAAATCGGACAATGGCATCGTGTTCTTCGTAGTCGATTACCCGGGGGGTAGCCGCGAGCGTTTTTCCAAATTCCAACCTGTGCATGTGGCCTTCCCTTGTTAGTTGAATAAAGACATTTCTAGCCTAAAGCTTTATTTTTGCCAAAAATTCTTGTTTTCTCATACAAGCCGTTATTCATCCGCTTCCTCGGTCGGGAAATATTCTGGCAGGGCGGCATGGATGGCCTTCTCAATTTGCGGGTCGATTTTCTCCAATCCAGCTTTCGTGAAATGGCATGCATTGTCGAAGTAGGCCAAGTTCGTTTTTGGGTCATACACCTGCACCCAGTTCATCTTTGCATCTAAATGCGTGCTATAGAGTGTTTACATAGAGTACTTCACTCCGATCGTTGAAAATACACTACCTTTTTGCTATCCTCTTATTGCAAGATTTATAGGAGCGACATAAAAGCACAGGTCTTACTGATAAACGGAGTGTCCATGTCGAGCAAATGGCACTTTTTGCAGCGTTGGAACAGCAAGTTAATGCGGACGCGCACGGGGTTCTCGGCGAATTCCGTGGCCTGAAAACAGCGGGAAAATTTCAGAATCTCTAAATCAGAATCTCTAAACATCAGAATCTCTAAATTTTAGAATTTGTAAATGTCAGAATCTGTAAATTTCGGAATCTCGAAATTTCCATGTGCAAAAGTTCCGAAATTTAGAGATTCTGACGTTTAGAGATTCTGATATTTAGAGATTCTGATAGGACGCCGAAAAAAACAACTATTAAAAATGGTACTGTTCTATTTGGCTGGGGCAAACTTGGAAAACTTTTGCCATACCTTTTTTTCTCGTTGTTTTGTGCTATTCTACGTTTTTTTTTGGCGCGGTATCGAACTGAGTTAAACAATGTCTGTAAAAAGAAGAAAATAGTTCCACTCCATGTTCCTGGTTGGAAACAACGCTTAAATTTTGTTTTTGCTATCACGCTTTCATATTAATTTATTTTTATGCTGAACTTAAAGGGGCTCCGAAATCTGGTCCACGGCCCCCTGCTGTGATTCCTGACAAATAGCCAGATGCGACCGCAACGCGACCGCGTCGCATGATCTTTTGCCCTGTTTGGACGCAAAAACGCTTGAATTTAAAAATTCTGATGCTATTTTTGGAATCCTCAAAGAATTTTGATCTATCCATACTTTTAAATTATGAAAATTGATCAGAGGATCGCCGAGATCGAGAAATTGGGTGCCCTACAAGGCATTACGACATGGAATCGCCGCGCACTCAAAAGGTCGTTTTCGCCCCAAAAGAATTAGGTTTTTCTCAAATAGTTTTCGTTTTTTCGCAACCAAATCACTTTTCTGGTACTGCTCGACAGTGACCCTTTCGTTTTTGGACCAGTTGGTTCGATCCCCCACGCTTCAATTTTGACTTCCAAGCCCCTTTAAAACTCGTAGAATATTTTTTGATGCTCTATCGACGGGCGTCTTCAAAACATCAAAAAAATATAAAAAAAGCTAACGCTACCCCAAAAAAAACAGCAAAAAAGCTCGAAAACTCCCCCTGCTGCTTCCCCCGCCCCCCGGCCAAATAGAACAGTACCTTAAAAATCTTTTGAGTCCAAACGGGCTACCAGGCAACCGAGAGTTCCGAAGACCTACATTGTATGGCATGTTCAGGGTGGTCAAATCCTTGCCATTCTCCAGCGCGGCGATGAAACGCGTGAGAATATCGTTGGCCTTCCCGGCTATCGGGCAAACGAACGGTTGGTGGCTGGAGACGAAGATGTGGTCGGCGAACTTCCTGTAAAAAATAAGGCAGCGATTCGGCGACCAAAAAAATGTAAACAACAAAATATTTGAACTCCACGTACGAGAAACGATCGACCGCTTGCTGGTAATAGTTGAGCACTTCATCGTTCCCTGGCGTATAGGGGGCCCAGTCTCCGTACTGATACGTGTAACTAAATGTACTCGAGTTAAGGTTGATGAAAAGCACGGCTAGAACGTGGGAGCATGGACCCATTAGCACGAAATTCACCGCCACACGAAAATTCAATGCCCCCAAAAGTCATTATCCCGCGCCACGGTCAATCCAACAAACCAAAACGGCAATTTGCGTGAGGGGCAAAAGCGTCCGTAGGAGCCAGGCGTAGCGGGCGCCAAAACGTTTAAGCTCATATAACTTTTTCAATAATATTGAAAATCCAATATCAAGTATTGAAGGGTAGAATTTTACGGTTCAAATGTTACCAAAGACAGCATGTTAGCCCTCAGTTTTCTTAGTGCTTGCTATCATTAAAACACGTTCCATTCTACCAAGTTGGAACAAGCTTTTTTCCATTCGCTTTAGTTTTAAAGTTATAAGACTTAGAAATTTTGGCCCCAAACATTTTTGAGTCCATAGGAGTGCCGCGTTGCTTAGGGCCTTATTGCCGCTAATTTTGGGTGTGGAGCAGTGACTATACAGGGTGTCCCAAAAAAAAGACCCCCAAAAATTTGAGCCAGAGGGCACCTACAGAGCTGAAAATTTGTACAGAGGTAGCGAAGGCAATTTTCTATGAACAAGGAAAGTTTCAGCCCGATCGGCCAGCGGGTTTTAAAGTTATAGCGAAAATACTTTTCATTTTGAATTTAATATGGGGATCTTTGCAATTTGCATCAAAGATATGCGTTATTCTTGCAGTTACAAGCCGATTTTGCATAAATTTCGCTGAAAAGTGCCATTTTCTTGATGGAGCTTTTGGAAAACGATTGCGTATGAAGAATAAAAAGAGTGTTAAAACAACTGTTTTATCGATCCAAATCACGTCTTATTGTACCTTTTGGCAATTTGAGCTTCGTCAGCCCGAAAACAGAGTTCGACGAGCTCGAAAACAGTGTTGAAGTGAGATTTGGGCTTATGTTGGCGCGTACGCTGAAGTTTAAGCCAAGCTCAAGCGTTCAACGATAGTTTCCGCCATGAGGTCTGGTATTCATCGTCCTTGCTGATCATTTCCTCGCTACATGATCAATCGTTTTCCAAAAGCTCCATCAAGAAAATGGCACTTTTTAGCGAAATTTATGCAAAATCGGCTTGTAAATGCAAGAATAACGCATATCTTTGATGCAAATTGCAAAGATCCCCATATTAAATTCAAAATGAAAAGTATTTTCGCTATAACTTTAAAACCCGCTGGCCGATCGGGCTGAAACTTTCCTCGTTCATAGAAAATTGCCTTCGCTACCTCTGTGCAAATTTTCAGCTCCGTAGTTGCCCTCTGGCTCAAATTTTTGGGGGGTCTTTTTTTGGGACACCCTGTATATTGTTTGGCTTGGCGAATGTGCGGTTCTATACCGGTAACGGGGTCCTTAAAAAAAATAAGGGTCCTTAAAAAAATAAGGGCCCTTAATAAAAATAAGGGTCCTTAAAAAACATAAGGGTCCATAAAAGAAATAAGGGTCCTTAGAATTTAAGGTTAAGGACCCCTGTCCCGACAGGGGTCCTTAAAATAGATGCTATTTTTAAGGACCCCGATTCCAGCAACTCCCGAAAATACAGTATTTTCACCGATTTTGCACAGATTGTGCCTCGTTTAGCCATTTACATTACGCGGCTTTCTTACACACAGTTTGTGCCTAAAAATAAGGCTTCGTGCCACCCGGGGCCTAGTCGCTTCGGATGGGCGCGAGCTCGTACAGGGTTTCGAAATCGGGGCGCCCGAGGCGCGCGCAGCGGCCAGGCGCTCCGATTTCGAAAGAGTGGAGCGGCAGCCCATCCGAAGCGACGGCCCGCCTTGCCTGACACGCCATAAGCCTCAAATCGTGCTCATCCCCACAGAAAATTCCACGCAATCTGACGTGCTAGGTTTTTTAGCCAGGGACAATTCGAGGCTTATGGTGTGTCAGGCAAGGTGGGCCGTCGCTTCGGATGGGCTGCCGCTCCACTCTTCCGAAATGGGGGCGCCCCCGGCCGCTTCGCCGGCCTTGGCGCCCCCATTTCGAAACCCTGTACGAGCTCGCACCCATCCGAGGCGACTAGGCCCCGGGTGGCACGAAGCCTTATTTTTAGGCACAAACTGGGTGTAATTCAAAATGCGAAACAAAGGACAATCTGTCGCGAATCCGCCTCTCCGCGAAAACGGCGAGAATACTGTATTTTCGGGAGTTGCGGGAATCGGGGTCCTTAAAAATAGCATCTATTTTAAGGACCCCTGTCGGGACAGGGGTCCTTAACCTTAAATTCTAAGGACCCTTATTTTTTTTAAGGACCCTTATTTTTATTAAGGACTCTTATTTTTTTTAAGGACCCCGTTACCGGTATAGAGCCGAATGTGCCGTTTGGGAATCTGCCATTAGCTCGAAAATCAATATTTCGAAAGTAAACATCTCGAAAGTTCAATATATCTAAATTTTGTATCTAGAAATTTCGCAGCATTTCTAGCATGAATTCCCTCAATTCGGAATGAAATCTAATACAGTGGATTTCCATACTGAACTTTCGAGATTTTTTATTTTGGAGGCTTGGAGACCCGCCCGCGAATCCTCAAATACTCAGAAGCCCACCGCAGGATTACGAATACGATCCGTGGTCTCTTGTTCTCCATATCGTGCCAAAACGCCTCGGTCAAAGCTGGAAGCGGCCAAAATTAGCTTTGAAAATTCGTTACTTTGATGGTGATTGAAAACGATGGAACATCCCGACGCCGTATACGCTTCCATGCTCGATGTCATATGGGCCGGCAGGTATTTGCGGACAATCTAAAAAAGAGTCTTTGAGGTGAGCAGAAAGTTTTGCCAGGCAGCATAGCCAATTCGGCCTCGGGTGTCACGGAAAACGGCCCACAAATGCCCACAAATAGTTCATGGACCGTGGATCTTTCGCCATGCTGTTTGGTCAGGAATTCTAGTATAGAATAAACGCTGGACTTGCGTTTTTGGTTTTTCGGCGATGTTAATGTTCGTACCGGGTAAAGGTCAGTTTGGCCTAGGCCTAAGCGAAAAACTGCCAAGAAAGTTTCGTAAAATTTCGTCACATTTTCAACAAATTTTAGATGGGTTTTAACAAACAGGTTTTCGAGATTTTTGGATTTATCATTTTGAAAGGTCGAGATTTAGGTTTTGGGGAATATGCAAAGCTTTGAGATTCCGAAATCTTGAGAATTCTGCGTTTTCGGATTCTGCTAGAGCGCCAGTTCCAACGAACTCTAGCTATCTGAGTGAGCTCAGATGAGTGACCTCATGAGGACAGTCTGGTCCTTGTGTTATTCTTCGCTTTGCATAATTTTTCAATTGAGACACGTATAAAAAATGAAAAACAACCTTTTCTGCCACTTTATATAATTGACTCCCTACTTCCGGTGTATCCTAATTATTCCTAACAAAAAACTTTCACAAAGACTTAAACTTGATATCGAAACTGACTAATTTGAAAAGACAGAATATGTGCGCAGTCATCTCAAGACCATTACGCGCCTAATGACGTATCAGACGCCCTTTAGGTTTCTACCCTTCTTGAGATATGACTGGAACAACGATACGGAAGGGGATGCAAAGTGGCACACACACAGACACTATTTTTTTATATATAGTAGGATATTTTGAACTGCTATAAAAACTCTTAGTATATTTTTCGATGCTCTATCGAATCGCGTCAAAAAATTCCAAAAGATAGCGTAAATATTGCAAACTTTGGGACCCTCGGGTTTGGGGGGGTAAAGTAAACCGTAGCCGCTAAAACGACCAACTGTTAGATGTGGCATTCAACCTGTCAAAAAAATTAAAAATTGAGAAACCGACGGAATGTTGCTGTAAAGCCCACGAATTTCCGACCACGATGACGCTGAGATTGCCGTTGTTCTCCTATAAAGTTCCGTACTGGACTGTTAGCGGGGGGGGATTGACCACCCAATTTTCCCAGTAAAGTACGGCAGCAAAACAAAATCGAAATCATTTTTATAGGATTTCACACAATTGTAAAAAAACATTAAAAATCTGGCCTTTTTACTTTCTGCTGAAAAATATATGAAAAAAGGCCAACCAAGATCAAAACTTTCAAGGCCCGCTACCCCGCTAACAGTCCGAACAGACTCATAGTTCTTTCCCTACAGCCAGATCTGCGACTCACCGGCCAAACATAATGACCAAACCCTCCCGTGTTGAAGCTATCATCGACGAGGTCTCCGCCAGTTGGATAATAGCTGGCTGAAAACAATCGTTCGTCGGGCAAAAAAAAGACGGTAAGAGTTTACAGTTACGTTAATACTATACCCCCGGTAACGGTAATACTAACGGGAAGCTCGCAAATTTTCTTAAGACCGCTTCGCTAGCCCGAGGTTCCAACTATTATCACCTGGCCGAGGAACTGCGAAAATACATATACTGTATACAATTCAGAGATTATGTTTGACAGGTTATCAGATTTTGTTTAGTTTTGCCATAAATATTTTATTTTACATTATTTTTGGCTGAAAGTAGCTCTTATTCGATTTCCCTCTATTGAAAACCAAGAAACTATAAAAAAATAGCGAAAATGTCGAAAACTAGCTTCACATCCCCATCTTGCTATGGGACAACCGCTTTAAAGCCATGTTTCCGCTGTAACTATTTAATATTACAGTATTTTGGCTTAAAATTCAACCACTGAGTATATTTTTCGCTGCTCTATCGAACGGTGGCATTTAAAATGCGAAAAAAATGATAAACCTATCGAAAACTAGCATTTTTACCCCATATTCGAGGTATTGTTGTTTTTGCTGGATTCATTTTATATCACAGTTTTTTTAGTTGCCGTAAAAACCCTTTGTAATTGCTAATTGCCATACGCCGTTAAAAAAATATATCGGCAAGCCGAAGAACTCTCGTACCGATTTTTGAGCTCCGTACCGTTTCCGCAAAAACCCACACAAGAACTTTTTGTTTTCCTCAATCGCAGCACGTCGATCTATCTGGGGTTCACCTCCATTGCTCGAACGCATCTAGAAAAAGCAAAATTTGACCGATCTATCCACTATGCCGCTACGCTGCTCTACATATATTGCACAGACCTTTCCCTTGCACATGCCGTCAAAGCTGACGGAGTCGGGCGCGCACTTTGCGGAAACGGTGGAGCCCGTGAACAAGATCAGTCCTAAAATAGAGGTAGTCCGCAGTAATGACCGCCCGTTTTGCATGCGACCACAATTCACCGGTAAACCGTGCAAACTGAAGCGCCTAAGGCTTTTTGCCTGGGAAAATATAAAGTGTCAAGCATACCGAAGGCAGCGAGCAGCTGCAGATTCATTTTCTGCCGCCAGGAATGGTTTCTCCCGAGACATTTCCGCTTTTTATGCGGGGGCTAGGAACAATACCTGCCGCCACAATAATTTGGCCGAGCGAATCCAATGACTAATCAACGTTTTGGCTGCAGCGTCCGTTTTCGATGACTGCCCTCAAAATATCAGGTTGGAACCAAAGAAAGTGTAAGTGGTCCAAACAACAGCCCGAAACTCCCACTCGGCTTCGAGTTATGGTCCATGTGTGGCCATCTTACTTGAATGGCGGGTCCTTTCGCATTTTCGGGGGAGGGGGCGACGTTTTCTAGAGATCCAGTTTTTCTGACATAAACAGCCGAACTGTTTCTAAACCGTTTTTTACTACAGGGTGTCCTAAAAAAATCGGCCCCCCTCTAGCGGTCCGGAGAAAGGTCGGATCGGGATGATTTTTACACCATTCGAAAGTTCTCGAAAGGCAAAAAAACAAGCGCTTCTCGTTTTACAAAATTTTTTAGCCTGTGCTTGATATTCAACGATTTTTTTAAAAAGAGTAAAATGAGCGTCGTCCTGTTTGCTTTAGCAAGCAATTAACATGTCGATTTGCCATAAAATCGGCAGTTTTCATGGATGGTCTTGAATTTAGTGAATAAAAATGCTTTTGTTGAAAAACGAAAGGTGCTTCTTTTCTCGCCTTTTGTAGAGCTTTCGATTGATACCTGAATCATCACAATCGGACACGTCTCCGGCCCGCTAGGTGGGGCTCGATTTTTTTTGGGACACCCTGTCTATATATACTTTTAAAACTTCACGTATTTTCATTAAACAACACAAAAAAGTAGATTCTCGACCTGAAATGGTCGTTTTTGACCAAGATTCCAACCTTTTAGAACATTTCTTAAAGTTCTAAGTAGTTTTCCTAGTTGAAGTTTAGTTTTCTACCAAAAACACGATTCGAACACGTGCTATTACATTACTAAACATTTCCCACTTCGGCAAAAATTCCTTCCCCCCCCCCCTCTCCCGCCGATAATGCGAAAGAGCCGTATGATGGCATCCGCTGTTTCCTTCGATGAGCAACCGTGATGATTGGACTTATGCGAAGCGGCCTGTGTGCCAGCATTTTTCTTGACAAACCAGGGTTGACAAGAGACAACACAACATCTCTAGAACTTGAAAGTCTTCCCTTTGCATAATTCGCCCAACTGGCGATGATATCAGGCCCGTCAGAGGGGGCGAGGGGCGAGCCGCCCCCCCCGAAATCGGCCGAAGGCCGAAAAGTTCATAAGGGGGGACCCTTATGATTTAATTGTTCCAAAAAATTTTTTGCCTGCGGCGCTGTTTTTGTCTATTTTTAACACTAGTTTTAGTGTTATAAACCCTATGTTTTCAAAAATTTTGCCTGCGGCGCTGTAGTTTTAGTCATATTAGTGAAAAATTTTTGGGGTCGCCCCCCCCCCGAAATTTGGGTTTGTTACGGCCCTGGATGATATTGATTGACTGTTTTTAGTTCTTTTGAAGAAATTGGTTCAAAAACAAATATTTTGCCATAAACATAGGCGCCATCAAATGCTATATACTTGGCGCGTCGGACGGAATCACAAGATCGTTCGTTATAATTTTTACAGTTTCATTTACAAGGAATTGGAACAGAGCCTCGATCCGCTGTCGATTCGCGAACCCGTTCCAATTTACCTTTTGGCCTATTCTGGCATTAAAGTATAGCGAGAACTTATTAACTTAATAGTGTCTCATTTCCATGGTATTTTATGGCTCTCCTGAAATATGTCAGGGTCCAAGATTTGAGACCCTTCAGAGAAAAACAGAAAAAAAATAATAAAATTCTAAAGGATCGTAATTTTAATCATAGGTATTACTAAAATTAATTAATGTATTAAAATAAGAAACAACCATACCGGTCCAAAAATGTTTAGAAAGAAACTTGCGGGTTCTGTTTTATTTCGAGCGGGGGAAAAAACTGTGCGGGGGGAAATCTCATTGGACGGAACTTTAATATTTTCGCTATTTTCTCGGGATTTTTGCAACGCCATTCGATAGAGCATTAAAAAAGATACTAAGGAGTTTTTATTTTAGCTTAAAATACCGTAATATAAAAAAGTTGGAGCAAACACAAAAATGACTGTTAGAACTAGGACTGACATGCTAGTTTTCGATATTTTCACTAGTTTTTTGATATTTTGAAGAGAAGATTCGATAGAGCATCAAAAAATATATTAAGAGTTTTAAGTTCATCTCGAAATAGCGTAATATGACAGACTTTTTAGCAAACCAGGTTTGGGCATGGTACGCGAGGCGGAAGAAGCCAGTTTTCGACATTTTCGAAAGTTTGACAAAATTTCTTCACGTGATTCGAAAGAGCATCAAAAATTATACGAAGATTTTGAATTACAACTCAGACTAATGCATTGTAAAATAGTTATGGCAAAATGAAGTAGCTTGCCCCACCGCAACTTCCCCTTCCCCCGCACAGTTTTTTTCCGCGCGCGGAATAGAACAGTAACAATTTGCGAAGTGTCGCGACCCTAGCTCCCTTTTCGCATCCTATTTCTCTATCCCTTTTAGCCTAGCGAAAGGAAGGCTTAGGTCCAACGCGAACGGAGAAATTCCCCAAAAAAGACTGACACATGTTGCCACGGAGACCCGGCTCACCGAGCCGCTTCCCCACTTTGATTGAGTCGAGTTCCCTCTCACCGCCCGAACTCCCGTTCCCCCAATATTCCGTTCCCCAAATATGTGAAGATAAAATGGTATTACCAACAGGACTACAACAATAATGCATTCTAATCTACCACTGAACGTAAATCCTAACACGAAGTTCGATTATAAGGACTTTCGATCCAACCTAATATGAAGTTTGTCCCCGTGTTTCCGTGTCGTGTCAGGCTTGCAATGTAGATTTTAATCAGACCAAAAAGAAACCAGGGTTTTATTCGGGAAAAGCGAGAAGGTTTAGGGCGTCGGGTTCCGGAAAAGCTGTGTTAGACTTGCGTTTTTGGCATAATCTGAAAAACACAATTGTTTTTCTCCACCTGAATCTCCAAGGAAATAAAGAGACCAACCGCATCTTTTTGACAGACGATGAAGTTTTTCAGCTTACAGGGGACGTCATTCCATATGCCATTTTCATCCTTGGATACCTGGAATTATCATCAAAGGAGGAAACAGGCCGGTTGTTTTAGTTTCGTGGTGCGTTGAAGACTATCAGAACTTTTGAAGAGGGACTACGGGCTCTCGTCCAGAATATATTTTGGGGATTTTTGTGTGAGATGAAGTTTTAGGGGCTTTCCGCCTTCTCGGACAGTAAAATATTTTTGACTTTTTCAAATATCGTCATACGCAACTTTTGAAAACAGATTCGGAGTCAACGTAAAATCCCGCATAAGTGAACTACTATCCCTTACTTAGCTCAAATTGAGTACTATCAGGCATTTTCGCGGCTTTTTCTGAAGCGGAAGCGGGGCCGAGTCGCGAAGCCCCAGCGCCTGGTAATGTTGCGGGCGGAATTCTACTGATCGAAAAATCTCGCTCCCTACCGACGAAATAAAATACCGGTCGATATGCGGGTAGCCTTGGTTCTGCGGTCTCCTTCGATGCTTTTTAATGCAAGAAAGCCTACTTCTAGACATGCCTCGACGCCGTTCATCGCTATCGGCTTGTAATTCGTAAAATTCATCGGTCTTCCGGATACCCAGCCAAAGTCGTATTTGTTTGGGCCAATCTGAAAAGCAATTTGATGACCAAAGACCGTTCTCGCGATGAACATCGAAAGCTTCGTTCAATCGATAAAATAGGTTCTGGACTGTTAGCAGGGGTGGGGGGGGGGGGGGGGAGGATCTTTAGCGGGGGAGGGAACCTAATTTCTCTATCTGCTTCTCTACGTCCATATAGCAAAATATAAAGCATTCTAGGGCATCTTACATAGTTTTAGATCTGAAAAAACAATAAAACGAATAATAAATAATTTTCGTAAACTTTTGACTTTTTGGTCAAAAATGGCCAAGAAATTTTGAATTTTCCAACCCTGTAATTTTTTATAGCTTTCTAGAAGTAAAAAAATACCAAAAACGCTTTAAAAATCCATTAGATATCAACAACAAGTAAATATAGGTGGAAAGCTCCCCCCCCCCCTCCCCCGCTAACAGTCCAGAACCGGCCGTTCTCGCGATGAACATCGAAAGATACGTTCGATCGCCAAAATAGGTGGTTCCAGAATGAAACACATGGATAAAACCAAGCCCGGTTTTAATGCTAACTAAAGCAAAATGGCGTTGTTTTTTGGAAATGCAGCGTCGAGCTAAGATCGTGCATCGACTTACACGCTTTCCGCCTAAGCGGATCAAAGGCCGAGTATACCCGGGAGTCCTCATCACTGGGGTCGGCATGGCTATAATGTTTTCATGCAGTAAAACAAACGATTCCATGGAAAAAGGTGCTGGAAAACGGACTGAAAATAGCGCGATTTTCGTCGATAGAGTCGGGGGTTGGAAGTTCGGCGCCGACTGCTTTGCAAGCCGCCACTGCTTCATAGTAGTCCATCGCGAGATCGAGGTGCTGAAGAGGCTAAAATCGAATGTGTTTGCAAAAAAACCTGATAACATTTGTTTGTAAGCTTCCCAAGCGTCCAGCCCACCTCGCATGTATACTAAAACTGTACTTTCACTGGGTTATTGCTTGAGAGTTGGGATGGCAATATGATATGATTAGGCGTTTTCATAAATCCCTCTAGTACCGAATCTGTTTCACATAGCACGTCTGTCTGAGTCCAGCAGGGGATGGCAGCCCATTGCCCTGAAGCGGCGTTCATCTGAAATATGCTGTTATTCCCAATTACCAGTGGCCCAAAAAAATACCGGTCGTTAGTTAGGATTTTCGTCGACTAGAAATTTTGGGTTCTAGACTGTTAGCCAGAGGGGCGAAGGGGGATTTTTGGAGAGGGAAAACCACTTTTCGTTTTCCATCTATGCCTACTTGATCATGATCCATTATGTATTTTATCGTGTTTTTAGTAGTTTTTGATTTCTGGAAGGTTATAAAAATTTGCGAGTTCGAAAATTTTGACCTTTCGGTCATTTTTTGATTAGACTTGCCTTAAAGGTACACTAAAGTCTCGTTGGTTTGGTTACCGGTCCACGGGATAGCAAACAGGGTTACGGTAGGCGCTCGCCGCGGAGCAAAACCGAAACCGGGCCGCTCGCCTGGGGCAAGCGCTTTGGACCACCAGGACATCGGAGAGACGGCAGTGGGGAGGGGGCGACGGGCTATGAAAGGTCCCAGCTACCATCCCCTGGCCAGAAATGGCGAAAATAATCAATATTAAAATTTATTCATTTAAAATAGCATTTGAGCGGTTGTTCGGTTTTATGGTTGTTCTTGGCATAAATATTTCATTTTACATTATTTTGGGTTGGAATGAAAACTTTTATGATATTTCTTCAGTCTATCAAGTTTTAAAAGAATTTTTTTTGTAAAAATGTCGAAAATGTCGAAATGCGCATTGAAGTTGTTCACTAAAACGTTCAGAGCTTCAGAGCACAACGCTCAAGTAGTTTTTGAATGAAGTAGGCTATTTATGTCATTTTCGAAAATCAAGCAACGGAAATGTTGACCGACAAATGAAAGGGAATTTTGAGAAAAAGAAAACTAGCGTCTACCTGAAGGCAATCTTTTGCCTCGGTTGTGTCGGTACCATTCCCGACAAAGTTGGCGTACTCCATTTTGGCCCGGCTAGACCAGACAAAGTCCCTCCCGCCGAGGCCGGTCTGCAGCAAACTTATGTCAACAACAAAAACCTGATTGTCACAGGCGTGACTTACCCTTTCAGCGTCTAGCCATGTGCCTTTGCCGTCGACGAGCGCAAGCTCTAACATCGTTTTGGATTAGTAACAGCGTAAAATAAGAATACCATGCAGCGCCGCGTTTTGCTCAGGGCTGTGGACCTCGGGCAACCGCGATCCTAGCATTTTGCAAGCCGAAACCGCAGCTTCTTGGCTGAGCCTCTCGGTGATCCTCTTTGAAATGCGTGTGGAAAAGTGCCAAAACCCAACCTTATAGCATTTTGCGGTCCGTGCATTCAGCACCCAGTCCGCGAGACAGCCATACTAGAAATTTTTCAATTGTCTAGGCAAAGGCGACCGTTTTGGGGTCTTCAACCCGGCCCATGCTGGGATCAATGGCATTCCTGGCATAGTCCTTACCAAATCCCGGCGACGAAATTATGAAATTCACTCGCTCCTCGCGGACTACATAACGTATCTCCTCTAATATAGCCCCCCCCGCCCCCAAAGATTTTTTTAAAAGTTGCCTTTAAGAAGCAAGATAACTAAGCCAAAAATGTTTCTGTCGAGGCTTCGTACTGTGTTCCTAAGTGGTTGTGAGCAGTTTAAACTGCTAGAAGTTGTTGTAATTGCTCAAAACCACGAAAAAATAAATCCCTCCCTCTAATACAACCCGCTCCCCTGTGGTGATTCAAAAATATGACCCCCGGGTTATATTCGAGCAAATACGGTATTTGAAACAGACCTTTTGGCAAATTCCTGCAACGCTCCTGGTTCCGGCAGGGCAATTTTCCGTTTCGCCATTTGTCACGGTGAATGCAAGCCCTAAAAAAGAGTATCGTGGTTGTGAGTTGTTCGGCTTTGTACAGGGTGTCCCAAAAAATCCCCCCTACCTAGCGGGCCGTAGACGTGTCCGAGTTTTACAATTTTGGTATCTATCGAGAGCACTCGAGGATGCGAGCCCGACACGCCTTTTGAAATTTTGAAATTCCGGAATTTTTCCCAATTTTTTTGTATTTTTTATGCAAAAAGGAGAAGCTGGGCGCCACCCAAGCTGTGTATTCTCAAATGATTTTCAAAAAGCTGTTTTGCGGTTCCGAAAAAGTCGTAAAAATCCATAAATTGTGATTTTTGAAAAAACTTATCCGAACAGCATCAAAATGCAGCCCTTTTCGCAAAAAGTAAGAAAAAATCCGAAATTTCAATTTTTGAAAAGGGGTGCTAGACTCGCCTTGGGAGAGCTCTCGATAGATACCATAATCGTAAAAATCGGACACGTCTCGGACCCGCTAGGTAGGGGGGGGGGGTTTGCGACACCCTGTGTGCTGCAATAATTCGGGGCTGCAGTACGTACAAAACATGCACCTATGCCTCAAATGCTGTTGAGCTCACCTGCTGTAAATAGAAAAATTAAAAGCTTCAAAACCATTGGCTTTAGTTGCCGAAAATGCTCTATGACAAGCCGGTTCCGCCTTTATGCAGCGACCGCGACCAACCCTTCCCGCCACAACAATTCGTTAGCAGATTCCAGTGGTCAATCAACGTTTCCTTGGATGCTTTGACGGCTCATCCCAAAACAACCGGTTTCCAGCAAATTCGGTGGTGAAAAGGTGACGAGCATAGGAGCTGTTTCAAGCGCACCGAATTCTGGTCAGTTGATACCGGCCTGGCCATTTCGAAAAGGGAAGAATAATGACAGGGTGGCCAAGAAAAAGACCAGTCAAAGTATGTCGCGAACGGAAACGAATCGGACCATCGCTACCTTGTCAGAATGCTTGAATATGCTGGGCATGAAGAAATAACACAAATTGTTTTTTCCGATTTTTGAAGACCCTCTATCGTTGAGAACTTTTGTGAACATTTTCGAAAAAGTAGAAAACTTTGAAGCGATAAAGCATGGAAATTTTGAAGAGTTAGGGGCAGGGGAAGCGTATCAATATAAAGCTCTCGGAGGGCGCTATTAAACCAGTGGTAAAGAATATCGATAGATTTAACTAACCGTCAATAGAAGCATACGGAAATCGACACTTTCCGGAAACGTCGATTTTCAAATTGTCCATAAAACATTCCGGGCTGGCAAAGAGAAATTGCAAAAATTTTGGAAAAACAGGCTTTATCGAAGTAAAAACTGACTTAAAAACAGTAAGAAACAGCGCCGCAGGCAGAAAAATGTTTATAAAAAAACATCATAAGGGTGCCCCCTTATGAACTTTTCGGACTTCGACAGATTTCGGGGGGGCAGGGCCCCCTGGGCCCCCCTCCTACGGGCCTGCCTGTATCACAACCTCCCATGGGTTCGGTCCAGATGGTTCAAGGGAAAGGGCGTACTGTACGTGTTTTTCGCGCGTCGCGTGCGGGTGCGCGGAATAGCAACCGGTTTTTAGCTGCGCAGGACTGCTTTCGCAATTGCTCGACGCGTCTATCGCACGCGTTGCGGTCTTCCCTCCTTTCCAAAGCTACCGGACGTTTTATTAGGAGCCGGGCCGCTGTGGTATACGAACAAAGAGCCGAGATACAAAAGTTTGAATATTCGTTTTTGGGTGTTTTTGGTCGCTGGCTTTGAATACTTTGAATCTTTTGCATTTTTTGGACGGAGCCAGTTTTCCCCGAACGTGCGGTCAAATAAAAATGCGACAAGATGAAAATTTGGCAAAACGCATATCCGGCCAATTGCATTTGGCCGCAAATTTGGCCAGGAAATATATCGATATCGGAATTGCCGGTCTCTTATTCAGATGCGATTTTCGCATTTGAATTGTCCCCCGTCATCTTGAATTCCGATATGCATATCGAGCTAAGCGCCGGAAATAGCATATCGCATTTATATGCATAACATCTCTACGCCTGAGCTCTTCCGACTACCCCACGAATAACTCATCTTCTTCACCAAAATGTTCCGGCGGAGGCGGGTTGTTGTTGGCTTGGTTGCAACTGTCGTCATTCTTCTGCGCTACACGTCAATGTGGCGACGGCAACTGCTAGAAAACCCTGTCAAGGAATTCCCAGCAGATCCGGACGAGCCGGTAGGCCATAGGTCCGAGCAATGCTCTACAGGGTGCCCCATAAAAAAGCACGCCTACGGCATTGTGCCGTATTACCTCCGAACGGTCCCAAAATTGGAACAGAGGTGTATCAGACCCTAAATAACCACAGTCCTGACTTATAGCGCGATCGCTACAGTAGTTTTTGAGCTATCGCTAAAATACATTTTTTACGCGATTCTTAACAGTTTTTTCCGCTATCTTTTTGGACTTTGTATCGATTTGCATCGACTTCCGGCTGCGAATCCCTAATTTCGCCTCATATCGGGGGGATTTAAGTTACACAAAATTGTTGAAAGCAACGGTTATTTGATTAAGTTTTTAGGGGTAAAGATGTATTTTCACTTAATATCGATTCCGACGAAAACCTTATCAAAAACGGATAATAAAGTTTACCAGCGCTGACCCCCCCGCTACGCGGGGGTTCAGCGCTGGCCTCCCCCCCCCCCCCCGCCCGCCCGCCCGCCCGCATTGCACAATTTGAACTTTGAATTTGAATGCAAAATTTGCCTGAATTCCCGGTCGGGCGGTCGGTCGGACGGACGGGCGTACGGACATTAAAAATTTATATATTAGATTCTAGTTGTGTCTCGAAAACTACCATAGTTATGAGTAGAGATGTTAAGAATCAATTAACAATCAAGATTATTTGCATACAGTGGCACAATATTATTTTATTTGGATGGGGCTGAGCGCATGACCAAGTAAAATAATATTATTTGACTCCGCTCGAGAAAGAGCCAAGTAAGATTACTTGATTTACTTGATTTACTTGATCAAACAATAGCTTTCTGGAATTCTGGCATTTTTCGGATGGTAATGAACTTTATGATATGATCGCATGATAATTTACTGGGTTCGCGGCACGATTGCGTGATTTGCATTGCGAATTTGCACAAAATCAAGTAATTTCGCTGAAAATCAAGTAATTCTCCCAAATCAATCAAGATCAAGTAAATCAAGTAATTTTATTTTACTTGATGCTTATTCAAGCAAACGGCGTAAAATAATTTTATATTTACTTGAAGATTTCAGATTCAAATAAAGTTGTTCAAGCAAATTTACTTGGTCATTATATTACTTGATTCGTAACATCTCTAGTTATGAGGCTGTGTGTCAGGATTGTGGTTATTTAGGGTACAAGGCGCCTCTGGTCCAATTTTGGGACCGTACATTAACCAATTTAATTGCAGTGGTCCCTAGAGGTGGATGGAGTCGTTGGGAAGCCATTCTCTCCTTCGCTTTTGCCGTATCTCAAACGCTTCAACTTGACGCAGCAACACATCAATGCGGCCCAAGCCGAGAATATCCGGTAGCGCAATGAGTTCAGTTGAGTTTCACTTAAAGGGCACGTCAGGGACGTTTTTTGGAAAAAAGCAAAAATTTTAGTCGCGGCCGGGGGTCGAACCCGGTCCCCCGTCCGGGAGCCGCGGACGCCACCGCCGGATACCAGTCAGCCACAGGTGCAACCTCGTGAGGGGTCGAGGGGCGCCTCACCCCGGAAAGGAGGGGATGGCCTCCCACGGCATGGGCAGGCAGCGCGCGCGGGCAAAAAAAGGGCCGAAGCGTATACTGGAGGTTTCTCTAGGGCTGACGACGTCCTCTTTGCAATGTACGCGTCCAGGGACCATTTTCGTGAGGCACGTCGCAGCGTGCGTGGCCTTCGCGCAAAGTTCCCGAACAATCGAATCATCTTCTACAATATGGGGTTGGCAGAAGAGGAGGTGGGGAAGGACGCGCTTTTAAAGAGATAATGAAGTGCCCATCGTACGGCTACGCACGCCCAGAGGGCGGGAAGCGCATTAGTTTGAAATTCCCTGTTGTCACTCCCAGAACCATGCAGCTCTCAGCAATTTCTGGGTCAAATTCGATGACGAGGACAGCAAAACTATTTGGCATTGAGTGAGGGTTCTGAAATGATACCAGAATCTGCGACTTGCAGTGTTTTCCAGAAGAATTCGGGCAAAAACAGCGCGCGCAAAAAAATGAAAGAGCGAGGAGGCCGCTCACGGCCGGTCAGGCCTTACCAAAACGCACTTCTGGGGGGTGCGGGATCGCTCCCCGCGGATAGTGGGTTAACCTCCCAGGCGAGCATTACGACCCACACAGTTTGATAGAGAATTTTTTTTCTCTACCAAGTTCCCACGCCTTCCGAAGATTGGAAATCATAAACAAAAAGTAGTTAGAAGAAAACGTAGATTTTCTGAGTTTTTTATGGGCGGCGCCGCCTCCACAGAGCCCGGAGGGCAATAGGCGCCCCCCGTACTAACGTGCCCTTTGACGAGCCGCGCGCTGCCAATTTACCAGAAATGAAAGATGGACTTTTCGTGGGCACTTCGGTGCCCCTTCAACCGCAAAGAAGTCTTTATTCAGTACTTTCAGGAGGCTGAGCTTTCACAAGTCTGCAACCTGACCATCCGTCGCTTCGACTTCTCCGCTTATCCCCCACACACGACGTTTCTCTATAACTACGCGTTCAAGCTGTTCATCATTGCTGTGGGGTTTTCCTTGATCAACCGAACATCAACAAATCAATCAAAAAAAAATGAACGTGAAGTGGTAAGAGTTCAGCTTACCCCCCCCAGCCGGCATCCAGCTTTTGTATCTCGGCACCCTGTTCATCTACAGGTGTGTAAAGTATACCAAAATGTTTGTCTTGCTCTGGCGAGCATTTTGGTATACTTTACACACCTGTAGATGAACAGGGAGCCGAGATACGGTAGGTGGGGGTCGGCTGGAGGAGGGGGGTAAACTGAACCACAGCCCTTTTAGGAAATGTTGACTGATGGTCGCCCGTTCTGGATGCTCGACACATCAGTGGTATTCAAGACAGTTGGATGTGTGACGAATTTCTACGAGGGAGTGAACAATGGCACGGTCTGTCCATGTTGCTTCTAGAAAAAAGCGAGAGAGAGGGAGAGAGAGAGAGAGGGAGAGAGAGAGGGAGATGGAGGGAGAGTGCGAGAGAGAGCCCCCAAACGTTGTCAAAATTCTAGGCGCCTGACTACTTGATGGAGGGCTACGTAACCTCCAGACAGGGCGACTACACCGATCCTAGTTTGCATTTCGGAGCCTAACCTCAAAGGAGCTGTTTTCCAGCCACGCTCGGATACCTGCCGTACCCCGCAGAACTCGCGCGCCAAAACCAGCATGGGGCCTCGCACATCTTCATGCGCCCGAGCCGAGTCACCAAGCTGGCTGGGAAATGGTATGATCTGATCCAATCCTAAAGGGGCTCGGAAGTCAAAAATTGGACGTGCGGGGATTGGACTTACTGGTCAAAAAACGAAAGGGTCTCTGCCGAGAGATGCCAGAAAATTGATTTCGCTGCGAAAAAACGTAAAATATTCGAGTAAAACCGAAAAGTTCTTGGGGCAAAAACGACATTTTGAGTGCGCGGCGATTACATGTCGTAATGCCCTGTAAGGCACCCAATTTACCGTTTCGGTGATTCTCTGGTCAATTTTTATAATTAAAAAGTCTAGAGTGAGCAAAATTCGGTGAGGATTACAGAAATCGCGTCAGAATTTTTACATTCAGGCGGTGCACGTCCAAAAAGGGGTAAAAGACCATGCGGCGCGGTCGCGTGGAGGTCCCATCTGGCCTGAACCTGTACATCTAAAACCTGTACATCATCAGGTTGTTGCTGTGCGCGCTGACAAGGGACTGCATCACCCCGCCGACCGCTATCCTCAAATGCAAGCGGGAAAACTTTGGAAAGGGCTGCCATCGGTTAGTTCCCGCGTTTGCACCGAGATTTCCCGCTTTTTTTCGCCGCCCTTTCTGGGCTTTATCACAAATTTCCGTTTCAGCTACGACCAAAGTGCCCAGAATTGCGTTCGCCGCGCGGTGCTGCTCAAGCAGGAGCTGATCCACTACCCGAGCATCTGCGGGAAAACGAATCGTAAGGCCGTTGGGCCCCCGCTCAACAATTTGGCCTGTCCCCCTTCTCCTTCTTCTTCTTCTTCTTCTTCTCTCCTTCTGTGAATCACGGCTGAATGTACAGATTATACGTGTGAATTTTCGGAATAAAGTTCTCGGCTTTTTCATAGAAAGGTGCGCCATTATTTCCTGCATGGAATCATGTATTTTTTCGAACTGGTATCATAATGTCGAAATTCAGAATGTTGAAATTTACATAGGCTAATACTACCGGTGAAACCGCCGAAACCCAGCCAAAAATTTTTCCCACATTTTACTTTTTTTATTTTATTTCACGACAAATTTTTTGGCCTTAGATTCGGGGACATTACCGGGAATTTTAGCTATGTAAATTTCGACATACTGAATTCCGACATTATGAATTGCGACATTCACCGAATTTTTTCGTAGCAAGCCTAAATTTTTTTATAAATAGCGTATGCGGTTCTAAATTGTTTTTGACTATTCCTATGCATAAAAACTGCACACATTTTAACTAAAAACTTTAATTTTAGCTCGCAAGGTCCTATAGAACCTTTAGGGTTCGCGTGGGGGGGGGGGGGGGGGAAGGACCCAAAATGACCAAATTTCACCCTTTCCAAACATTTTTCTAACTATTTTTTCAAAGTTTCTCTACTTTCAATATAGTTAAGATTTATTAACCAATGTGAAAACACTTTATATTTGTTTACTAGGTCAACCGGGACCGTCAGGAAAAAAATTGGTTCCCGCCCCCTCCCCCCCCCCCACTCGCGAATCCTAAAGAACCCAAAAAAGCATCTAAAAATGCTTAGAAAGCATTTAAAAAAATAGTCCTTCCCGTTACGTGAACGCTTGCTTATCAATGCCATTTTCGCTGCTGGAAATTCGTCACCGGCTCTCGGAGAGGCCCGACCCGACGTGTCCTTTCTCGTCTGGTCCCTCATCTGTTCTGTGTTCTCTCGGCCGCGCCCGTTTCATCGCGTAATCGGTTCGCAAAGACACGAGCACTTTTCGCTCGCCATTTCCGTCGGCGTGATCTTTACAACTTTTGACCTCACTGAACTTTCAACAAATTTTGCATGGAAAAATTTCTCTTCTAAACTTTTACACAGCAAAGTATATTTTAATCAAAGGTAGCGATCCGCACCTCTTTTGTTCTTTTTAGCTTTATTATTATTCACAACCATTCGGTCGATAAAATCCTGAAAACTTTGTTGTTGTTTTTAAGTGTATTTCTTTGAGAAAATGAGCATCCTGGGCACCAACATCACCTGGGAGATTGTCGAAGAAGATATGCGAAAAGCCTTTCAATCAGAAGCCCGCCGCGGACCCAACCATAGCTATAAGCAAATTGGCGAGGGGGTGGTAAGCGTTTGCTTCCTACTGTACTCTCAAAATTCGTTCCTTTCTATCTAACTCATCAAAATAAAAATTAGTATCAATTCTATCTTATCAAAATCCACGTCGGTTCAATGGAATTCCGTTCGAAAAAGCTGTCAAACTTTTTTTTCAGGGATTCCTGGCCCGCATCGCCCTACTGACCTTTGATTGGCATGGGGATGGAGCCGACAAGCTACCACCCACTGCCGTCGTCAAGATTTGTTCGATGGAACGTAGTGGGACTGATGGTGATGCCGACATGGCGGCGGCCGTACGTTTTTTGTTTAAAGGGGTTAGGAAGCAAAAGAAAAAATTCACCCGCGCGGGGAATGAATCTACTACGAAAGGATTACTGTCCCAAAAGACCGGTAAATTGATTTCGTTGCGAAAAACGCATAATTTAAAATTGAAACGTTTTTGGAGCGAAAACTACGTTTTGAGCACGCTGCAATTACATGTCGTAACGCTCTGTTAGCACCCAATTTACCGTTTCGCACAATCGCCCATGGGTTCGGTCTAGATGGTTCAAGGTAAAGGGCGTACTGTGCGCGTTTTTCGCGCGTTGCGTGCGGGTGCGCGGAATAGCAACGGGTTTTAGCTGCGCAGGCCTGCTTTCGCAATTGCGCGACGCGTCTATCGCACGCGTTGCGGACTTCCCTCCTTTCCAAAGCTACCGGACGTTTTATTAGGAGCCGGGCCGCTGTGCGTTGCGCACAACCGCCCATGGGTTCGGTCCAGATGGTTCAAGGTAAAGGGCGTACTGTGCGTGTTTTTCGCGCGTTGCGTGCGGGTGGCAACCAGTTTTTAGCTGCGCATGCCTGGTTTCGTAATTGCGCAACGCGTCTATCGCACGCGTTGCGGCATTCCATTCTTTCCAAAGCTACCGGACGTTTTATAAGGAGCCGGGCCGCTGTGTTCGGTGATTCTTTGGCTAATTATAATAACTAGATCGGCTAGATGATCAAAATAGCCTGAGGATTCCAGAAATAACGTCAGAATTTGCAAATTCACGCGTTTTCCCGTCCAATCAGGGACTAGAAGACATCTGACGCGGTCGCGTTGCGGCCCGCCCCATTTGACTATTTGCCAGGAATCAATGCTTAGGGCACGGCCAGACTTCGAAAACCGTCGTCTACTGCAATAGACCCGCCTATCTGTAAGAATCAGAAAATTTCAGATGAGCGACTACGAGCTGGCCGTCTACAGCGCCGCCGACGCGGGAGACGGAAAGATTTTTGCCGCCGTCCCGAAGCCTAAGTTCTATTGCGGCCGAACATTTGATACGGGCACTGGTAGGCTAGCATTAACAAGTACTAATCAATACATTTTAGGCTACTTTGCCATCGAATTCCAAGACAACGTGACGAACACGAGGATTTGGGAAAACCTGCCCGACTCGGTCACCAACCAGGCCCTCGAATATATTGCCGATATGACGGCCAAATGTGAGCGAGCTTTTGTCGTATTATGGACATACCCGATACAAGTGAACACACAGCGTCTCTTTCCGGTTCCAGGTGTTCAGAAACGCCTGGCGTACGTCATACCCACTAACAAGGTGTGCTTTTTTTTTGAGTCATCGGCAAATCGGCACGAGAACTAGCTCATTCGATAGATAATTAAATTCTGAGCAGGACTCCGTTGTCCTTTTTTGCAGAATGGCTATCCCTGATTTTATAAAATTTTTAAACTGCGTCCAAAAGACTCTCCTTTTGCTCGAAAGACACTCATGGTAAGAGACGGTCACTAGTATTTTAAAATTATAAAATCAGGGATAGCCATTCTGCAAAAAAGGACAACGGCGTCTTGCTCAGAATTTAATTCTCTATCGAATGAGCTAGGTCTCGTCAGGTTTTGCCGATGACTCAAAAAAGGCACTCCTTGTAAGCAGGATACTTAAACTTCGGTTCGAGTTAGACGTCAAAGTTACGACTAGCGTTGGTTGGGCAAATCACCCCATATTTGCACTTACAAAATCGCCGCCATCCAATAAAAGCTTCGCTCGGATCTAAACTGCCTTTAGAAAGGGGTGCAAGATCGAGAAAAATACTGGAATACTAAAATACTTCAGCCTTGAAATATCCGGAGCTGGTCGAGCGCTGGGACGACCCAACGTATGACAAATTGTGGGCCGACTTGGCGCAGCGGGAGGTGCGTTTGAGGTTTATCAATATATCCTGAAATGTTTGGGTTCCTTCATAGAGAATAACTTTTGCTATGCGCCAGGGTGGTTATCAGTGTGGTTCAAAAACTTTCCGGTCCGGGTCCGTCCAGTCCGGCCCGGTATACGAATTGCGGACGCAGGCGGACAGGTCCAGACAACGACGAATTTTTCCGGAACCTTATCCTCCGACGCCTTAGGGTCCGCCCGACTGCTTGAGTCAGATATTCACATTTAACGTCGCTATGAAAACTACTGGAATTGATCTGGCTGTACTAAAGTAGTTTAGAAAGCCGATGAACGCCTACATCGGCTGAAGGGTCAGGTGCCGGAAGCATCTGATTCCATCGATATACTCCTGGCGAAGACGCCAAAGATTCTGGTGAACGCCTGGGCACGGTGGATGGGGAATTGTAGGTATCTCATGATTTTCCCCTCTTTCTCTCTCTCTCTCTCATTCTCTCTCTCTGTGTCTCTCTCACCCGCTTTCTTTCTTTCTCGCCTTCTCGCTCTCTGGCTCCAAAAAGCCGCTGAAGTTTAGGCAAAAAGCCCGTCTTCTGCCACAACGACATGTGGGCCCCGAATTTGCTGCACAGGGATGGCAAGTTGGTGTCGGTGATCGACTGGCAGGTGGGTTAACTTCTAGATATTTTCCCTCGCTCTCTCTCTCGCGCTCTCATGCCTCGATTATAGCTCTGCCACGCCAACACCCCGGTCGAAGATCTGATTTTCCACCTCTTCTCTTCGCTCCCCCCAGAGGAATACGTTAGCAAGTGAGTTTCCGCTTTTACGCCAAATTTTTCGGGTTTTTTTTTGCCAGGTATATCGAGAAACTGCGCTTCTTCTACGATCAGCTAGAGGCAAAGAGTGGTGGCATGGAGTTGTGGGATGATTTTCAGCAGGTTGGATCTTTTTAGAGCTCCCTGTATCTCTCTCTCTCTCTCTCTCTCTCTCTCTCTCTTTCTCTCTCGCTCTCTCTGGCTCTCTCTCTCTTACTCTCTTTTATGACCATCATTTTAGCTGGTAGACGACTACGAACACCGCTTCATCACTATCATCCTCATCATGCTCGCCTGGTTCGCCGATGCGCGTGTCGATTTTCTCGCCAACCCGGCTGGTGCGTTAATTTTTTCTTTTTGAAAAGGACCGGGAAAGCAAAAAACGGTCGACACGCACCAAAAACATCTGACGTTTGACGTATACGAAAATACACGCCAGGGCGAAACGAACGTGTTGTTATACACGTGCAGGGCCTCCAATAAAAACATTCCCGCTAACACGATGCAGAAGTATCGGATTGAAATGGTAGTTATACCATTCGAAAGCCCATGAAACGGCGAGCTTGCAACAATCTTCAATACCGTGTTTTGATTTAAACCAGCTATTTTACAACGCAGTTAAAAACGTTAAGGAACGGCCTCTGCTTCTAATTAACAGCTACTGCCGGTAACTTTGTTTCGCGCACTTGAGGCAAATTAGCTCGTATGCAACCTCAAAAACGGCACAATCCTACGCAATAGCTTGTAAAATAGCACTTTTAAATAAAAACGGGATTTTGAAAATGGTTGCAACCTTGCCCAGTGAGTGGAATTTTACCGGAAATTTTCCCAAGGTCCGAGTTCGATCGAAAATTACTTTAATTGAGTTGGCTGTCGATACCCAGTCGGAAAAATCGTGGATTTTTAAAGGTCAACATAATTACCTTTATCGTTATCTAAAATGCTCAACCCTCGTTCCAGACAATGCCCAAAAGCCCTTCGACGCCAAGGTCGTATTCCTGGCCAAGGAGGTCGTGCGATTGTGCGAGAAATGGTATCCGTGAAGCAGAAAAAACCTCGCTAGATATAATTTTATTGAAGCTGTGATATGATTATGCACTTATTTCCCCGCGAGAATTCCCCTTATTCAAAAGCATTTTTTCAATTGTCAATTTGTCGAATAAAAAATTGAATCAAGAATTTCGAGGGACGTCAAGGATCTTAAACGCGAGATAAGTTGCATATTATGCATAGTTGTTCCTATAAAATTATTACCCTAGCTCAAAGCTGTTAGATTTTGAACTTAACATGTAGGTTTTAGACTTTGCGATCTTTGCTTTCCGGTAGTCTCACTCCTCAGAAAAAATGGAAAATGAGAAAATCACTACCGACCGCAAGGGAAACAGCGAGAGGGAGGGAGAACGAGAGAAAGAGGGAGCGCAAGACAGAGAGAGAGAGAGAGAGAGAGAGAGAGCGAGAGACTGAGAGAGAGAGACAGAGAAAGAGAGAGGGAGACAACCTCGAAAAAGAAAAAGCTATGGGAAACGAGCAACCGGTAGACAACCTGGTTCCGGTTCTCATTCCCAGAGTTGGCCGTTTCCAATTTTTTTGCTCAAGTTTTCAAGTTATAGTAAAATTTGCAATTTTTTCGCTAAAAAGCATTCTTTCCTTGCGCTAAAATTCTCGGTTCTTTCGGTTCTTTCGGTTCCCGAAAAAATGCCGACAATCGAAATAACCCTCGAATGATCCCGACGCTTCTTGGGCTACATTACATGCAAAAAAACGGGAAAAACCTTTCGAACACTATCTTGGGCAACTTAGCTGTCGGCATTTCTTCGGTAATTCGAAATCATCACGTCGGTACTTCGACCCTAGTAAAATTTAAATGTCGGCTTTTGACAAGTCGGCGTTCGGACCATTCGGTATTTTGACCGTCCACGGCAGACTCTTATTTCGAGTATCGGCATTTTGGCTGTCGGTATATAAGTTTTTGACTCTTTAGCTTATCGGTATTTCGCCTTCTTTGCCGGGTTTTTATTCCAAATGTCTATCGGCCTTGCGGTATTTCTATTCCTCGATTTTCATTTTTTTGTAAAGAAAGGTTGATCTCCAGGACCAATTTTTTCGCTATTTTCCAGGTCGTCACAAGATCGACATGCTAATAATAGGCAATGAAATTCGGCGGGGGCGGCGCTGCCCTTTTTTATCGAATCCTGGAATCGCATTATCCAGGAATTCCCGGGGGACACTAACACCGTTTTTTGGCGTGATTCGTTCTGTTTTATTTACATTCCGCCTCTCGGGAGCGGTGGCCTCTGTTATTTACACGTGATTGCTGCTCGTCGGGGAGAACAATTTTTGCGTCCCTAACCCCTCGGATTATTTCGCACATTCCCTACCGCATCCCAACAAAAATCCACGGCCAAATATTTCGGGGAAATATGTGGTGGCTACTATGGGTTACTGTATGTTTTTTGGAGTAAAAATTACAAAAATTGTGGTTCGGAGAAAAATTGCTTCTCATGGCCGACTTTTTCGCGGGGGACCAACTTTTTTACAATTTTTTAGGATAGAAGCATCCTAATTTTTTTTATAAATATTGGAACTGTTTCTAAAGTTTTTTTTACGATGCTTTAAGCAAAATCTTCACAAATTTGATGAAAAATACAAAAACTATAAGTTTTTCGACCAGAACTAACTGATATTTGACCAAAATCCCACCCAAGAATTTTTTAAAGTGTTTTGTGTTTTTCACTTAAGATAGAGTTCAATTTTGCTAAAATCGCTATTGAAGCGCTTACTATTGCTCTCCTGCACATTTATGGACTAAAAGGACGAAAGCTGGTTCCCCCACCCTCAGATAATGCGAAAGTACGGATGATTTCATACCGTAATTCACTACGCGCTCGGGTTGTTTAATGCCGATTATGAACTAGCTGTAGCTAGCTTCGTCTTGAGCTATTGTCGTCTTGAGCGATTGCCTAGCTACAGAGCTCATTAGCATTCCTCGAAAAGGTGCCGTTTTTTAGTTGGGATTTCTCCAAAAACCGACTCACCGAAGGGTATAATTCGCTAAAAAAACGCGTCTGGCTCGTATTTTGTCGTGGCAACGGGCCTGGCGAGACCTAGTCGAGGACAGGGGTCGATTCACGAACCTCATAGTGCCTTTAAAGCTAATAGCCGGGGCGGCATCTCAGCAAGACAATTAATTAAATGGCGTAAGCTTTCAGAAAACTCTGTTTGCGCGTGTTCTGATGCAGCAAGTAACGTTCGAGAACCCTTGCGACGCGTGGCAGATTCTCGCGCGTGACATCCAGTTAAATAATTAGCCAAACGCCTACAAACTCCGATTCAGATGGGCCTTGCGGGGGCCGCTCGGCCGATCCTAGAGACGCCGCTGACGCTGGAAATGTTGGAAGCAGACCTCCGAGCGGCACTAGAAACCGATGCCACATTTGGCCCTGCGATTGCCATCAAACAAATCGGGAAGGGCGCGGTAAGTTTTTTTTTGGCCATACCTAGAATTAGGCCAATCCTAGAATTCCGTTTAAGTTGAATCGGATGAAATGAAACTTTACAGGGCTTCATCTCAAAGATGGCCAAAGTCGAGTTCGACTGGCAGGGCAATCCAGAAGAGACGCAGCGACTTCCGAAGGCTGCCGTCGTCAAGATTGTGGGCGAAGCCGCGAAAGCTAATGTGGGATCGGCTTTAAAAGGGCGGGAGGACATTACCAAAAATTTGTTAGACCTTTGATGGGATTTTTATATCGTTAGGCCGTCCCTTTCAAGGACAAATAGTAAGGTGGAAAAACAATGTAGTTTGCGGCGTTCATTCGATGCTAAAGATTGATTTTGAAATTTTTATTCCCTCTAAACCCGCAACTTCCAGTTATCCGACACCGAGCTCCAATTCTTCAGCGCCGACAGAGAGGCTTTCGGCATCGCTCCAGATCTACGCATCCCAAAATTCTATTGTGGTCGGAAATATGGACAGGATAGGCTTGAGTTGGGTATGTTTTTTAGGAAGTTATACATGGAGATTTTAGGGTACTTGGCCGAAGAGTTCAGCGCGGGTCAGATGAGGCATATCTACGAGCAGGTGGAGGAGACGGGTGTACTTGACGTTCTTGACGAAATGGCAAAACTGGCTGCATACTGTAGGTCAAAAGCGGCAAAGAGAGAGAAAGCAATGAGAGAGCGAGCGAAAGAGAGCTAGACAGAGAGAGCGAGCGAATGAGAGAGAGCGCGCGTGAGAAAGCTCCGTTTTTCAGCCAGAAACCACCCGGAAACACTCGATAAATGGACAAACACGGGCATCGAAACCCTTTTAAGAGGAGGCCGAACATTAGAGGTATTTTGATGATTCGGAAATCCAAAATGTCAATCTTTTAGTCAATCAATCTACGGCTCGAAAACATGAAAAACATCTACCCCGAGCTGGCCCCCGACTGTGATCGGATGCTCAACAAGACTCCCCGAATTTTTGGGGATTTTGAGGATTTTTTGAAATTTCGATTGTCGACGAGTGGGTGGTTTTGAGGGAGGGAGAGCAAGAGAGCGAGAGAGAGCGAGAGCGATATAGTGAGAGAGAGAGGCAGAGAGCGAGAGCGAGAGAGACAGTGAGAGAGATAGTGTGAGAGACTGAGAGAGATAGAGTGAGAGAGGGGAGAGGAGAGAGGAGAGAGGAGAGAAGAGAGAGAGAGAGAGAGAGAGAGAGAGAGAGAGAGAGAGATGGAGAGAGAGAACGCCGCAAAATAGGCGCCTACTGCGTGTTGTGCCACGGCGATCTTTGGACACCGAATATCCTCTGGAATACGACCGACGGCGGCTTCCGGCTGGCCGTCATTTTGGATTGGCAGGTACCGGAAACGCAAGTTCCGCAAAGCATCACCGCTAGTTTGCCCGTCGGACTCTGATTTTTCAAGTGCGAAAGGAGCCCAAAAATCGTGCTATAAGTATGATTTTTAATGACAAACATATGGCAAAAATATGTGGAGAATTTTGGAGATTGCCCGGATTTTCTGCAAAGAATCCCTGCTATGAAACTATCAAAATTATACCTATTTCTTCAGCTGGCAAATACGGGCTCCCCGACCGAGGATCTGGTGTATTTTCTTCATAGCGCCCTCTCCGCCACGGAATACCCAGAGAAGTAATCAAAATCGGTTTGAAATTTAATGAAATACCTCCAGAATTAAATACTACCTAAGCCACTACTATAATAAATTGGCCGGCGCGATCAAGGGCCCGATGCCTTGGCACGATTTTGATCAGGTAGAATTTTTTGACAAAAACAGGTCGGGATTTTACGATTGCCAAACACCTGTCCGAAAATCATCTGTCCGAAAAACACCTGTCCGAAAAACATCTATCCGAAAAATCACCCGTCCGAAAAAACACTTGTCCGAAAACCGTCTATCCGAAAATTATATGTCCGAAAAGTCGCCTGTCCGAAAAGCACCAGTCCGAAAAACTAATGTCCGAAGCAGCCAATCAAAACCCTTTTCGAATTACTTAGCCAGTTCCTAAAGGTTCGAGGTGTAACTGCCACAAGATAGCCCCATGTGGGGAAAGCCCCGGAATCGTGACCAAACCAAGTTTCATCGGCCGTATCTTAGGGAATGCCTGCCCGAGCTCATTGAGTCACTCTTCAAAAATTTATGATACAGTAGCGGTTCGTATCCCTGGAAACTACCCTCCCATTTTCTCCAAAATCCGGTTTGAATAGATTACCTGTGAAGGTCTTGGGAAGTTTCAGTCGCACTTCGATTTCATGGTCCGAAATTTACTTTTCGGACAGTTGATTTTCGGATGGATGATTTTCGGACAGGCGATTTTTCGGACAGGCGACTTTTCGGACAGATGTTTTTTCGGACAGGCGATTTTTCGGACAGGCGATTTTTCGGACAGGTGTTTTTCGGACAGATGTTTTTCGGACAGATGTTTTTCGGACAGGTGTTTTTCGGACGGGTGATCGCCGGGCGCGGTCCCCAAGGCCACGATTTTTTATCAAGCCCTCTGTATGCCTACCCTTGCCATCTGCGCATCTGCGCGCGGTGCACCAATCATTGCGCATTTTTGCATTAAAGTACACACATGACCCCTATGCCTCCGACCCCGGATTGATTATTTTTTTTAAAAAGAGAAAAAGGAAAGCTCGGAAATCGTAAAAAATATCAAAATTTACGGTAAATACCGTAAGTTCACGCTTAGAGGCTTGTTAGCTATTGCAATTAATAACCGATTGTAGCATTACAAAGATGTTGTGGAATCATTTTTTAGGTCGAAAAGCGCTTACTATGTAAGGGAACTATTTGTATCGATCCCTCAATGTTTCTGACTTCTATTATAACCTCTAAGCCAGAAAATTCTTTTTAATAAACCTTAGGTTCGATCGGATGAATGACCGTAACCCATAATTTAACATACCAACCCAGGGAGACCATAAAAATATCTGAGGCTATAAAACAAAATCAGCGATTTTGTGACTTTTTTGGAACATATTTTTATTCTGAAAAAATGTTTGTTGCGTAAGTGAGGCACAATAAGCTAGATCTGAGCAAAAACTATTCACGTTTCTAGATATTTTGAGTTTTTTACAAAGTTGAACAATTAAGTCTCCTCTTTTGTTGATTAAAAAAATTAATGGCAGTAACACTTGGGATCCAAAATAGAAAATTAGTGTTGCAAAATTATTTCTGTTAGTGCATCGGCGAGGTGGACAGATGCGGAAGGCAGAGCACAGAGACAAATTTAAATCCGCCCATCCGGCCTGATAAGAAACGTGGCCTTGGTGACTGGATCCGTGATCGCCACCCGGATTTTACGTGTCGGTGTTTTTGCGGTGTTTCTGCTAAGTTAAAATTATTTTTTAGTTTGTAAAAGCTTATGAGATGTCTTACGTACTGTCCGTGTCGGTATTAGTACCATGGTATGCGCAGGAAAAAGAGGAACTGCTCGGAGACAATCGAGGTAGGTTATAAACGAAATCTAATCGTAGTAATCGCAATAGTAATCCAACATAAAGAGATTTTAGACTGTTTTTAATAATTTTTAACTACATCAGAAGCAAAAACTTTCGTCGAAAGTAAAAATACTTCAAAAATTTAAAAGTAAAAAAGTTGGTCATTTTGGATCGAAAAAATCACATTTTCAGTCTAATAAGCAGTTTTTCTTAATCGATAGAGTTTTATGCTCAAGACAAAAATAATTTTTTGGATGACGCCGCACTCGCCCGGGCCTTCGATGAAAAAATGACATTCTTGGCGAAAGAAACGGTGCGCTGCATGGAAAAGTGGTTCTGATTAACCACTCAATATTACGGCCGCCAAGTGGTCGAATAAATTGTCTATTTATATAGCTAAATTCAAACCAAAATCAAGTCGCGCGGAAGGAAACTCACACAGACATAAAATCAGCGTAAAGCACAAATAAATGAAATGTGGCTAAAGCGGGGCTTGGAATATTTGCAAATATTCGCAGTCGACAAAGGACCACTAAAAAGCTTGTGTATTTTATGGATTTTGAAAAATCCATCCCAGTACGTGGATATTACCGTCCTGGCTTTCCCAAAAATGTAGTTACAGGGTGTCCGATTGCAACAATGTTCATAATGATGTTTTTATTTAAACGCGGGTTTTTAATGCATTTAAAATCCACATCTATTTTGCTTGGAGAAATCGAGGCAAATGAGCAAATCGACAAATTTTGTAAACTAGCTGGTAAACATGGTTTTGAAGATTGTTGCAAACTGGCCGTTTCAAGGACTTTCGAATTGTGTAACCATTATTCCGATCCGAAGCTTCTGCGTCGAGTTAGATAGTGTGTTTTCTTCTTATTGGGGCATCCTGTATAATCGGAATAGTAGGATGCTGGTATTTCAAAACTTTATTGACATTCCGCAAAAATCGAAGTATCCAGCGTTAAATTTTGTCCCCCGTGTGTACGCTAGGCCAAAAAACGCCTGGAGTGACGAGCGGGGATGCCCTTCTGCAGTCTCAAGTACAAATAAATATTATTCCATTGCTTGAAGCGTGCTTAGCCCATTGAAAAGTTCAAGCTTTATCACCCCCACCCCCTAATTTTGTGTTTGTTGTTCTGGCGTGTTCCCTTTTTTGGGGCAACTAGCGCGGATTTCGAAATACACACGCTGATAAGGCCTATAAAAGGCAGTGGAAAAGCTTGAGAAATCAGGTCGAGTACCCAACAAACACTACCATGTTAAAAGTTGCGCTTTTCTTATTTGCCGTGGCGGTTACGGTATCTGCCCGGAACGCCGTGCAACCGGTCAGGATGACCACACCGGAAGGGACGCTCATTGGAGGTGAGTTTTCGGTTCTTGTGAGGCCCGATATTTTTACTATTCTAAACCCGCGCCGAAAAACCGCTTCGCGGGCGTTGGACGCTGGTATCGGTGTTTTTAATAAACCATTGTTCCCGTTTTTCATATTGTGGAAATTCGCCCTCTCCATGACCCTCAAAATGAGCAAAACAGGCTTTACCTTTGCAAACTGGTATTTTACCGCAATTCTAATAACGCAATCGGAACGAGGAGGGTCGACTACGGTAAATGACAAAGAATTAAGGCGTTTTATTCAAGGATAGGGCCATAAAATTTTCTTAAAAAGATTTTACAGGCCGTCGAAACACCCTACGCCCCCGTGGATCCCGGCAACCAGAAATCTATGCTCATCCGATTGAGGGATACCGGCTGACGACCCCGCACGATGCTGAGATTGGCCAGGATTGTACGTTCATGTAAATTTGGGTTAGAAAAAGTAGCATAAGCGAGTCAGTTAGAAAGGAGTCAAGCAGAGAGTGGGAGGCGAAAGACAGAGAGTGTGAGAGAGGGAGAGTGAGAGAGAGGTAGCGAGAGGGGGAAAGAGAGAGAGAGAGAGAGAGAGAGAGAGAGAGAGAAGGGAGAGAGAGAGAGACAGAGAGAGAGAGAGTGGGTGCTTGAGCGAGAGAGAGGTAGGTATTTAAGGTATTTAAGAGAGACAGGGGGAGATAGGGAGAGCGAGCGAGAGGCAGAGAGAGATAGAGACAGCGAGAGATAGAGACAGAGATCGAGAGATAAAGAATCCTTCCAGGCGACAACTACCGTCATGAGACCATCGGGGCAGCAGAAGAAGGAGAAAACGTCCGAGACCATACCCTCCCCACACCAATCCCTGAGAAGCCTGAAAATCTCCATCATGGACCCACCCATCCACCAAAAGGAATCGTCCAAGATTTAGCAGGTATTCAACGAAATCCTACAGCGGCGCTCAATTTTGCCATCTTGGCACTTCCTTGGACTTTAAAAATACGCGAATTGAAAAATGAGTTTCAGACATCTCCGGCGAGCCCGCCGAGCGATGGACGCACGTTTGCAAGTGGTGCGTGTCTAGTTCACCAGGTAAATTTTTGGTAAATTTTTGGTTGATTCCTCGATTAAATCTGGATTATTTTTCTTTATTTTTCGTTAATTCTCCATGTCTAGAAAAAGCCAAATCCTGCTGTGCCGCCAATGAGCGCCTCCTCTTCTGCGCCATGTTCATGGCCGTCTGCGAGCACATCTAAGCACCATCGGCTGACAATGAACAATTGTACATATGAATGCTCTGTACAAAATGATGTATAAAGGAATTTGATTGCCGTGACTTTTTGCGAGGCATTTATGAGTCAAATTTGGCATGTTACGACTGCTGGAAATTGGCTGGACTATTCATGGGAAGTCGATCTTCCGATTTCTTTCTAGCTGTCTTTCACTTCCTCTCACCCTCGCTCGATGTCTCGCGCGCTTTCTCTCGTTCTCTCTCTCTCTCTCTCTCTCTCTCTCTCTCTCTCTCTTCATTCTCATCTTCTTTTTCACTTTTCATTCATCGCTGTTTTTATGCCATAAAAGCTTGTTTACAACTATGCTATATTAAAATTACGAACCTTCCCCCTCTCACTCTCCCGCTCTTGCTCTATTTCTGTCGATCTCGCTTGATCTCTCTCCCTCCTTCTCTGTGTTTCTTTCTGTCTCTCTGTCTCCTCCCTCCCTATATCTTTCTCTCCCTTTCTCCACTTTCTCTCTCTCCCTCCCTCTCTCTCTCTCTCTCTCTCTCTCTCTCTCTCTCACGTCCTCCACGCATTAGTACTTTATCTTCTATCTATTTGTGGGTAGGGTTGTTTGCGGAATCTGTTGGCGGCTTTTTGGATGGCCCCTTTTACTCTCCTGGAGCGAGAAAGAGAGAGAGAGAGAGTGAGCGAACTGCCCTATTTACTCTACAAATTTGTCGGCCCGCGGCCACCCCCCATTGTCAGCCATTTCATGTGTGTGGTTGGCCTGGCAAAAAGTGCTCCTCCATTGGCCCCTAGACTTTTTGAAATTTAGAACGCATCTGTCTCTACAAAAGCTTTAAATTCTTGAGTCATTTTCACCATTCTGAAAATTTCATCAATTTTAAAAGTTCAACTTAGAATATTGAAAATTTTATGAAATTGAACTATGGTTAATTTAATTGACAATTTAATTTATATTCAAAAGAATTTAAGGTATTCAAGTACGGCTATTCTTTGGTCTGTAAAAAATTATTAAAGTTTCGATGCTTTGCTGCCAAAGATTGGTTTTTAAATTTTTGGCAGTTTTTTCGCTGGATTTTGCTGGTTTTAAAATTCAGCGAGTTTTCTAGATGGTCCTCCGGCTAGCCACTGTCCTTCTCTGCTCCCTCCTCCCTCTCCTCACAGCCCTCAAATGCATCAACGGCTCCTACCACATCCAACAGCCGATGCCACTCGAGATGGATTCCGTTGACTGTAATGAAGGAATGTGCATGAAGACGGCGACGTTTACGCCGGGAGATGGTAAGCCCTTGTCTAGATATACCTATATTCTCTGTAAATTTAATTATTCCTTCCAATTTTGGGAAAATTCTTTGATATTTTATGACTTTTATATTCTCGATTTTATATTTTATGACTTTCGTCGCTTCAAAAATCTATTTTTGAACTTGTTCAACCCTCTATTAATTGAATTAATTAATTAGGTTCAATCTCTCTGCCTCTCTCCTTCTCTCTCTCTCTCTCACTCTCTCTCTCTCTCTCCCTCTCTCTTTCTCTCTTTTTCTCTTTCTCTCTATCTCTCACTCTTGCTCTTTCTCTCTCCCGCTCTCTCTTTATTTTTCTCTTACTCTCTTACTCTCCTACTCTCTCATCTCTCTCTCTCCCTCACTCTCCCCTCCTCTCTCTCTCTCTCTCTCTCTTTCTCTCTAACCAAAATGCAGAGAAATGCCTTTGCCGACATTTTCAATATGACAAACTTATGGGTGGGTTTTTCACAGATCAAAACCTAGCTAATACTTTCCCATTTTCAGAATTCCTGCACTTTTCGCGAGCGTGCGTCCCCGTGGTGATGGACACGGAAATCGGATGCGAGACAAATTTCGCTCTCCAGCACCTCGAGCCCAAGCTCATCTCCTGTTTTTGCGATACAGATTGGTGCAATTTCTAGCGGACGCTGAATCGTGAATTTTTAAGAATTCGAAGCATCCAAATATTTCGCGAAAATGTGCTTTTTATCGATTTTCGAGCTTGTATTACTGTACAAAACCGTCAACAGGTTGCAAATGCCGGTGATAAATTTATTTTTAAAGTAGCTTATTCAGAAAATTCCCCCAAGCATTCACAGAAATTGGTGTTGATCGCATCGGATTTTGGGTAAAATCTTAGTTCTTCTTCTGGAAGATCTTCGGGTTGCCGGTGGCGCAGGTGACGATGCCGCCGCTCACCTAAAAATATAGAATTTTCGATCGATTTTAAGGGGATGAGCATCAGGCCTCATCTACAGTCAGCCAAACTACTTCGCCGTGTCACGGTTTTCATGCTAATTTATATTTAAAGGTTCAAAGGACCCTTAAAATTTGATGCCGTGAACCTACCCCATCGATCTGGTCGACGGCCTTCTGGACGAATCCGGACGCCTTCTCGCAGTCGCCGCCCTTGACGGTGAACTTGGCGGCAAAGTTGCCGGCCACGTTGACGGCCTCGGTGGTGATCGTCTTGTCGGTCTTGGGCACGTTCTGCTGTCGGGCGAAGGCGGTCAGCTGGAAGCGGGGAGGGTGATAGAGAGAGAGAAAGAGAGAGAGAGAGAGAGAGAGAGAGAGGGAGAGAGACAGACGGAGAGAGAGACGAGAAGATGAGCGAGAGAAAGAAAGTGAGAGAGCTAAACAGCGCCAGCGAGAGAGAGGGAGAGAGATGGAGAGAGAGAGAGAGAGGGAGAGAGAGCAAGAGAGATGGAGAGAGAGAGAGAGAGAGAGAGAGAGAGAGAGGGAGAGAGAGCAAGAGAGAACCTACCTCATCCTTGAACACCTGCAGGGCGGCCTCCGTGCTCGACGCGTCGTAGACCTCGGTGGTGATCAGGACGACCTGGAAGATCGAGCCTCCATTTTTTTAAGCACGAGGCAGGCTAGCGGAGAGATTTTCGGGAACTCACGATGACATCCTGGGAAGCCTCGCGCTTCTTGCGGCCGGTGGTGTTCGACGAGTTGGTGGAGCTGTGCGAGCTCTGGCACGCGTCAACGAATGGGACCTGAAAAGGATGGTTAGCTTGGCTTAGGCTTGGCTTTGGTTTAGGTTTAAGCTTAAGTTTAGGCTTACGTTTCGCTTAAGGCTAGCTTCAGTTCAAGCTCAGATTTTGGTGAGCTACTTGGTGTCTCCATAGCTAGTTAAGCTGGAAAAGCTCTAAGACACTACCGTAACGAAGTAGGCGACGCAGGCGAGGAGAGCGAGCTTGTAGACGAAGTGCATCTCGGAGGCTGGGGTGGGCTTTGGTGGCTTGGAGGGCTTGAAAGGCTTGGTGTTTCCAGCCCTCAGGCCCCGACTTTTATACAGTCCGTGCGAGGGGGCGGCGGGCAAACAAGCCAATACCATTTGCGGAAAGGGTTGAATGAAGCCGGCCATCCCATTACTTTCACAACGACTTCTTCGTCTTCGCTTGGTATTATATTATAACGTGCAAATTCTGAAGGAGCAAGAGCGAGAGCGAGAACGAAAGAGAGAGAGAGCGAGAGACGAGAGAGAGAGAGAGAGAGAGTGATGCGTCATGTCTGCCTGTGCACGATGAAGTCTGGCACTGAGCAAACATCGCCATTTTTCGCCTCGAAAAAGTTCTGTGTAAAGCATCAAACCCTACACCGGAGATGTGATCTTTTTCATAAAGTTGACGTCAAACGATTGATAAGCGAGTTACGGTATGTTTAATAGCAATAGTCCCAAAATCACGACAACCCAACGTTTGCACTTTTTGCTCCGCTCTGACTTTCCGCTCCATGTCGATAGTAGCTCTCGTCGTCGAGGCGGGCCTGAATTTTTACTATACGAGAAATTACCATACCATTAAAAACATTTTGTGATGACAAAACAAGATTTGAAGACAAGGATAACAAGGAAAAAGGAAGGAATTAAAAATGCAACACAGCCAAGTTTTAGAATTCATGGACCACTTCGAAGGGGTGCTAAATTTTTGCTGTGCTCAAGACGCCACCGGCTCGAGGATCAAAAACACGCTTCGTGTTTTAATTTCAGTTCAAAATACTGTGAAATAAAAAAGTTATTGCAGCCACAAGATTTATACGTGGTTCCTACATGGCAACATGGAGTGAAAAGCTAGTTTTCGACATTTTTGACACTTTTATAAATTTTTTAATGTCTTTCGATAGAGCTTTTAAAAATATACTAGGAATTTGAATTACGGCCCGTAAGAACGTGAAATAAAAAAGTTATAGCAAAAACACGCAAAATTCGGAAATCCGGTAAACACATTTACTGGTAATTTTTAATATCGATTTTTTGCAATCCCCGACCGGGGATGATGGGCGTAGGGTTACTTAATGACAGTCATAAAAATTTTTTAGGAACTTCCGGTAGCCGGGGGAAAAGTCTAGCCAATTTCCAGCCCAGGTTTTGGTCCTATGGCCCGATCACCTATTTCCGATCCTGATCCTCTATTTTTTCGAGCGGAACGCTTGGAGTACCCCGGAAGCGTTTCCATATCGTGATTGGATTCGTAACAATGGGCTAAAACTTGTATTAAAAACATGAATAGACCCCTGAATTCACCCGCAAACCGCCCAAAAACCACTCATTTGATCCCCCGGGCTTCCAGCTGTGGGTGGAATCGGTATAAAACCCTGGTCTTCGGGAAAGGGCTATCTGAGTCCAGGTTTTCGACAAGTTCAGGCCTCATAAAAACGCGCTTTTTCAGAATGCCCCTCATCTTGGCCCTCGTCCTCGCCCCGTTGTTCATCTACGGCGCCGATGCCCAGCTTGCCCAGGCGGACAAGGACGCGATTCTGAATGTGGGTATTGAAGTGCTTTTGGGTACTGTAGAGTTAGTTTAAAATGGGCGTCCGTTGGAAGACGCTGTAACTATCGATTTTCGAAGACAAAATTGCTACGGTATCGATCATTTTTGTAATCTTAACTTTTGTTATATCAAGTAAAATGTTTCCCAATTTTTAGTATCACAACAACCTGCGCTCCGAGATCGCCCAGGGTCACTATGAGGCCCGCGGCAACTGGTTTGGCCCGACCGCCGACATGCGCAAGCTGGTCAGTAATTTAATTGAGCCGGAATCAGTTTAATGAGCTAGAATTATCTAGGAAAAAGTTAAGAATAAATTTTAGAAATGGGACAACGCGCTCGCCACCCAGGCTCAGAATTGGGCCAATCGGTGCAAGTTTGAGGTGAGTAAAAATACGCGATCAGGTGATTTTTCTAGCACTCCTCCTTCAACAACACGGGCGAGAACATCTACAAGGTGTCCAGCTCGGCCCCGCTGCCGATTGCTGGCCAAGGCCTCGAGGCGTGCAAGGATTGGGCTTCCGAGTTTGAGGTCAGCTCCCCCCTGCCTCTCTCTCACTCTCTCTCTCTCTCTCTCTCTCTCTCTCTTTCTTAAATTACCCCCCCCCCTCTCCCTCTCCCCTCTCCCCCCTCCCTCTCCCCCCTCTCTTCTCCCCCCCCCTCTTTCTTTCTCTACCCCCCCCTTTTTCTTTAGGATATCGACTGGCCCCAGATGCCCTCCTTCGACTTGTCGGCGGCAAACAGTGGAATCGGGCACGCCACTCAGGTTCGTCGCTGTTTCAAATTTTTGATTCCGGGTCAGAAACTTGTATCCCTTTATTACTTGAAGCTAAACATAAAACGGGAGAATTCCTCGAATTCAGATGGCCTGGGCTAAGACAACGAAAATCGGATGCGGTGCGGCTCGTTGCGATAGCAACAAGAGCGTGCTGGTGGTCTGTCAGTACCAGGGACAGTACGTTTTAGACGCTTTTCAGTTTCTGCCAATCTCTCTCTCTCTCTCTCTATCTTTCTTTCGCCGATGAAGAACCCTCCTTTCCAGAGGCAATATCCTCAACACCGATGCCTTTGCTTCGGGGAGCTTCACCTGCGGATCGTGCGGCGCGACCTGCGAGATTTCCACCGGACTTTGCCTTTAAAGACCGTCGCCCCGAGTTTTTCTTTCTTTAATAAATTGGGCAGCATTCTCCAAATTTCGAATTTCGCATGCTAAATTGACAACTCATAAAAATATGACTACAACGAGCGGAAAATCGTTTTTTCCGGACTATCAGGCCGAAACTTTTTCGGATTTTCGGAGTGAAAGAGGGTCCTAAATTTTCGAAATTCTTGCTGTTTTTGACTATTTGAAGCAATCAGTCGATTGCGCGCTAAAAATATACCTAGCTTTTCATTTTCAGAGCAGTAGGATGCAAAATAAAAAAGTTATGGCAAAAAAATGATTTTTGAGTGGTTTTACGTAGGAAATACAGTAGTACTGAGTATTTTTCGACAGTTTCAATATTTTTACAAAATCGATATCTGACACCGAAAAACCTATTGATTTAGCGCCCAAAAATATATTAAGAGTCTTACTTTCAGCCCAAAATAAAGCAAAATAAAACCATTATGAAAACATAAGCAAAATCCTTGAGGAAATGGGATTAATTTGTACAATAAACTAAATTAATTTGGCTGGGACCAACACAACGATCTACGAACCACAAACCATTCAAACAATTTTCAGCTGCAGAAAATAACTGCAATAGAGTTCGACTTTCCGCCCGGCAGCAGCGAGCCACCGTGCCATTTTCCAGGGATTTGCATAAATTGCGAAATTTTGCGGGGGTAGCAATAGTGGCGGCGGTTTGGGGTAAGCCTTCAGCACTCCCGCACATACCTATCGACAAATATTTCGAGCACGGCAAATAGCGGCGGCACGTTTTTGTTTTTTCAAAAATGGCCTCCCAGCCGATTCTGTCGATGCTCGACGCCGAGCCGCTCGTTGACGACAAATCGAAGCCCAGGGTAAGTAACGGGGGAGATTTTCCGTTAGCGGGGGATGGGGTGGAAATTGATTTTGGCGAGAACATAAACAAATTTTTACGGTGTAGTTATCTTAGACTGTTGCTAGTTCCAAAGTGTACGGTGCGGACCCATCACGGTGGTCACGCCAGCACTTGGCCATTTCGGCGTCCGGTCACTACCCCGAAAAGTCACTACCCCGAAAGTCACTACCCCGAAAGTCACTACCCCAAAAAGTCACTACCCCGAAAAGTCATTACCCCGAAAAGTCACTACCCCGAAAAGTCACTACTCCGAAAGTCACTACCCCGAAAAATAATAGCATCGTTTTTCCCGGAAAAATCCAGTTTTCATGCGGTTTTCCTATGAAAATCATGCAAATTATTTCGGGGTAGTGACTTTTCCGGGTAGTGACTTTTCGGGGTAATGACTTTTCGGGGTAATGACTTTTCGGGGTAATGACTTTTCGGGGTAGTGACTTTTCGGGGTAGTGACTTTCCGGGGTAGTGACTTTCGGGGTAGTGACTTTACCCCGGCCATTTCAAATGCGACCGACTTGAATTTTTGTGAAGGCAATTCGGAAATTAATCTAAAACGTTCTAAGAAACTTTTCATTCTTCAGCTTTTCTTGGGCTTTGCATAAATTGACGTAGACTGCCGGTCGCGAATTCCTCATTTTTCTTAAAGGGGCTACGAAATGCCAAAATTGCGTGACGGCCCGAAAATCGGAGCCCTGTACGTCGGAGGCCTCTGTACACCCCGGGAGCGGGAAGCCCGCAAATTTGAAATAGCCTGTTGTCACCTCGAAATCACGTTCTCGGCTGTTTCTGGGCCAAATTTGATGCTTAAAACACCAAAACTATTTAAAATTAAGTGAGAATTTCAAAAATGGGCTCAGAATGCGCATATTATAGTGTTTTCACGAAGAAACCGGGCAAAACCAACTTCGCGCAAAAATCGAAAGAGGGAGGGCTCTCGTCCCGCAGCGCCCGCTGGCAATTTGCCAGAAATCAGAGAGGCCTCCCAAAAGGGCTTTGATTTGGCAGTTCGGAGCCCCTTTAATATCGGGATAGATTTTCGTTTGTGAAAATGACTTAACTAATTTGATTCCAAGTCCATTTTCGATAAAATTTCCAAGGAAAGCAAAGCCTCGAGGTATCATTTTCATCCTACCTTCCTAGGCTTTCGCTGAAACTCCTGGCAAAAACGTGCAATAAAGTTTATTTTTGTAAGCGCTCAAAAACTACCGTAGCTGACGGGACAAAAGTTTCTTTGAATATTTTAATTAGCCCTCCGCACCGCTATTCGAAAATTGAAGTCGATCAGGCCCAAAATGACATGAGGCTGGCATGACCTTTTTTATTCGGGGGTTATTTATTGTTTATTGTTACCTTTAGAGAACCACGCTCGACGACTATGTACACCTGAGCTGGTACTGTTTTCGAGTGCTCCTTTTTGCCGAATTCGTCTTGCTGTCGGTGATGGGCAACATGGTCTACATGGTCTATGCAGGTCCATTAAAATTCGATTTTTCTCTGTCAAATGACCGAAGATATTTGGCGTCCCTGACCAAGCTAATATTTGCGTTATTTATATGAATCTGTCTAGAAAAACGCTACTTTCCCTAGGCGCTGCCCCGCGACGAGTCTCATGCCTTCAAGACGACGCTTACATCGAGAACATTTGCAAGATGAACATCTCGCATCGAGAGCTGACGAATTGTACCTACGAAACGGAGTACGAGTTCCGATCAGTGCAGATCGATGTGAGAATCAATTGTTGAGCAAGACCTTTTTAGTTTGAATATTTTTGCGGCGATTCGTCCTACGTGAAATCGAGCATCTCGGCACAAATGTTGGGTAAGGAATTTTGCTGTGAAAATTCAGGAGAGAGAGAGAGAGAGAGAGAGAGAGAGCGAGAGAGAAAGAGAGGGAGAGAGGGAGAGAGAAAGAGACTCTAAAGAAATTTTTGATTTGGACCTTCTAAAGAAATTTTTAGGCGTTCTTGTCGGCGCCCTCTGTTTCGGCCATCTCTCCGATAAATATGGCCGGAAAAAAGTAGATTTTTATTTTTTCTGCTTTTTCATTTGATTTTCTGTATTTTTCTATGCACATTGAATGGTATCTTAACCTTGAAACGTATATAGCACCTTCGACAAATTATTTTAGGTGCTAATGTACTGCTTCCTACTCTGCATCGTCTTCCAAGTGGCCACCGTATTCGCGCGTACACTTTGGATGTTTACGGTACTCCGCGCCATTGTCGGATTCTTCAATGGAGGCCAAATGACGTAAGAAAACTTCGAAAACAAAGTAAAAAATATTTTAGAATTTATTCTGTCTACAAAATTGAGCACACGCCGAAGAATCATCGCGTCTGGATCACGGCACTCATTTCTTTTGCCCCAAATTTTATTTTGATGAATGGTGTAGGTTTTTTAATCGTGTTTATTTTTCTTAAACACGATCTGGTAAATTGTTTTGGCCAATCTGCCTTCCATTCTTTCCTAAAGAACCAGTACTTCTAATGGCCTGGCTTTTAATGGGATCTTTGGCGCGGATTTTGGCTTTTGCCAAAACGGCTTGCTGGCCGCTGACCTAATTTTTCCCTTTGTCAAATTCGCCCAATTTATCGTGATTTTCGGATTGCCTGGCTGTCCCACGACTGGCAAAGTTTCCAAATCGCCCTCGTCATTGTCTCCTTCCCGGCACTTCTCATATCCTTGTAAGTCAAACAGATAATCGCAGGTATTACATTAACAGGACGCTCGTAAAGTAGTCGCGTCAAGAGAAAAATAAAACGAAAAACTACACGGGGTCCCAATAAGGTACAGCGACCTCGAATTCGACCGAGAAATATTGGATCGGAATGATCGGTGTAACCACCATTTGAAAGCCCTTAAAACGGCCAGTTTGTAACAATCTTCAAATCCATGTTTTTATCCTGACGAGACATCTCATAGCGCGTTGCAAAAGCTTAAGGAACGGCCTTTTCATCTAACTAAGCGCTACTTCCCGGCATATTGCTCCGAGAAATTGAGGTAAATTAGCTCTTATCCAACCCTGCAAAACCTCCAACTCTACAAAATTGCTTGTAAAAGGTCTTGTCGAAACACGGTTTTGAAAATTGTCGCAAACCGGTGGTTTTAGGGGTTGTCGAATAGCATAAATGTCGAATAGTCATCCTGGATAGCGAAAAATATCATTAAAATCCTATGAGACCGTGCCAGCTTCCTCTACGAGTCCCCACGCTGGCTGCTGGGCCGTGGCCGAATCGCCGAGGCCGAGCATATTTTACTCAACATCCAGCGAATCGATGGGAAAACGGAGCATCGCGAAGAGCTGACCAGCCTGTTGCAAGCAGAATTTGAGGTAAGCTTGGCCACATTACATAGTTCGAACGTACGAGCAATACATGCGATACGAATTCTAAAAATTCGACAAAAAGAGGGGGCCAAAAAGAACGTTTTTAGAAAGCCGAAGCGCGCGAGAAAAAGCAACAAAACTACAGCATCATCGACCTGTTTTCCACGCAAAAAATGGCCGCCGTCACCAGCACACTTTGCATGGGAATGTGCGTTCAAAAATATTGTTATCACCTTTTTCGACGGTTCACATGAATTTCACTAACATTTTAAAGCTAGATGACAAAGCGAAAAAGGAGAAAAACGGATTTTCAGAACCAGGGTTGGTCACAATGATCGGGGGTCCGCGTCCGTCCGCGTCCGTCCGCGTCCGGACGGGTCCGTCCGGTCCGGACGCGTCCGGACCCCTCGGCAATTTGCATACGGGTCCGGACCCGTCCGGACGCGGACGGACGCGGACGGACTTTCGATCATCATGACCAACCCTGTTCAGAACTAATGAAAATCTATTACCTATAGCCAAAATAGTGGCAAGCAAAATTAGATAATTTCGATATTTTTTAGGCTTTTCACAAGCATGATCAACTACGGCCTAATGTTCAACCTCGAGAAGCTGTCCGGGTCGATTTACCTCAATTCGACATACCTCGGCGGGCTGCGCTGGATACTCAACTCGACGCTCGGATATTTCGACTACAAGTTGCGCCTATTCCCGACTACAAGACCATTGATTTAGATACAAAAAGTGCGGGCGGAAACTGTTCCACTTCATCGCCCAGGCCAGTTCATGTTTCTGTTTATGTGTCGTGGCCGCCGTGCATTTGCTGGGTAAGTGGCCCGAAAAAACCGAATCTAAATAGCCTAGAGAGAGAAAAAAAATGACTACCACGTTGGCGCAGTGCTACCACCTGAGCGCAGTGCTACCAAGTGGTAGCACTGCGCCCACGTGGTAGCACTGCGCCCACGTGGTAACACTGCGCCCACGTGGTAGCACTGCGCCCACGGTAGCGGTGGTAGCACTGCGTCCACGTGGTAGCACTGCGCCCACGTGGTAGCACTGCGCCCACGTGGTAGCACTGCGCCCACGTGGTAGCACTGCGCCCACGTGGTAGCACTGCGCCCACGTGGTAGCACTGCGCCCACGTGGTAGCACTGCGCCCACGGTAGCACGTAGTAGCACTGCGCCCACGTGGTAGCACTGCGCCCACGGTAGCACGTGGTAGCACTGCGCCCACGGTAGCACGTGATAGCACTGCGCCCACGTGGTAGCACTGCGCCCACGGTAGCACGTGGTAGCACTGCGCCCACGGTAGCACGTGGTAGCACTGCGCCCACGTGGTAGCACTGCGCCCACGTGGTAGCACTGCGCCCACGTGGTAGCACTGCGCCCACGGTAGCACGTGGTAGCACTGCGCCCACGGTAGCACGTGGTAGCACTGCGCCCACGTGGTAGCACTGCGCCCACGTGGTAACACTGCGCCCACGTGGTAGCACTGCGCCCACGTGGTAGCACTGCGCCCACGTGGTAGCACTGCGCCCACGTGGTAGCACTGCGCCCACGTGGTAGCACTGCGCCCACGTGGTAGCACTGGGCCCACGGTAGCGGTGGTAGCACTGCGCCCACGTGGTAGCACTGCGCCCACGTGGTAGCACTGCGCCTACGTGGTAGCACTGCGCCCACGGTAGCACGTGGTAGCACTGCGCCCACGGTAGCACGTGGTAGCACTGCGCCCACGGTAGCACGTGGTAGCACTGCGCCCACGGTAGCACGTGGTAGCACTGCGCCCACGTGGTAGCACTGCGCCCACGTGGTAGCACTGCGCCCACGTGGTAGCACTGCGCCCACGGTAGCACGTGGTAGCACTGCGCCCACGTGGTAGCACTGCGCCCACGGTAGCACGTAGTAGCACTGCGCCCACGTGGTAGCACTGCGCCCACGGTAGCACGTGGTAGCACTGCGCCCACGGTAGCACGTGATAGCACTGCGCCCACGTGGTAGCACTGCGCCCACGTGGTAACACTGCGCCCACGTGGTAGCACTGCGCCCACGTGGTAGCACTGCGCCCACGTGGTAGCACTGCGCCCACGTGGTAGCACTGCGCCCACGTGGTAGCACTGCGCCCACGTGGTAGCACTGCGTCCACGGTAGCACGTGGTAGCACTGCGCCCACGTGGTAGCACTGCGCCCACGTGGTAACACTGCGCCCACGTGGTAGCACTGCGCCCACGTGGTAGCACTGCGCCCACGTGGTAGCACTGCGCCCACGTGGTAGCACTGCGCCCACGTGGTAGCACTGCGCCCACGTGGTAGCACTGCGTCCACGGTAGCACGTGGTAGCACTGCGCCCACGTGGTAGCACTGCGCCCACGTGGTAGCACTGCGCCCACGGTAGCACGTGGTAGCACGTTTTTTTTTTGCTGTTTTGAGACTATGCTAATTTTTCAGGAATGTCCCACGAGTGGTCAATGTTTATCCGAGTAGCCACTATCGTCGCCACAGCCGTATGCTCACAGGTACGATAAGATGGATGGTTTTTGGGGTTTAGTAGAGAAAACTCCATTTATTTCGCATTATCGGGGGGACTTTTTAAAACATAATTCGGCGAATTCTTTATGAACCGTTTTTTACAACTCCTGAACTTAAAACTCTACAGATTTTTATTAAAAAAAACACAAGAAATACCGATTTTTCGACCAAAACCGCCGTTTTTTGAGGAAAGTTTCGACATTTTGATACTTTGGCACAGTTTTTAGATAGTGTTTCTATTTAAAATATATTATTTATATTTAATAGATAGTTTTATTTCACTAAAAACATTATGAAAATGCTTCCCATCAAGGCGTTAGTTATTACTAGTTGAATACAAAATACTTCAACTTCCATACGACAATTTAAAAAATCTAGTGGCCCTACGGTCGCGGGCCGGTCATTTGTATATGTATTATGGCGGTGGCCGCTTGTTTTTGTCCATTGATTCGGTCCTTGAACCACATCATATCTTTCAGGTATACCTCTCGAAAGGTATCGCGGCAATGGAATACTTCCCCTCTGTCATCCGGAATATCGGCATCTCATTCAACTCGACCCTCAGCCGATTGGGAACGATTCTGGCACCACAAATGTTTATTTATGTAAGCGAAAACTAGCTATACTTCGACTTGACAATTAACAGAAAAATAAGCCATTTTCAGTTCACCTGGAAACCACTGCCCTTCATTATCATGGCCGTCATGGCCGCGCTAGATGCAGTTTCTTTCCAGGTATAAAAATAAAAATCGTTTTAACGTCGCGATAACTTAAAAATGGCATCCCTTTCAGGCAGTAATCCCGGAAACAAAGGGCCGAGCCATGCAGGACACGATGCCGGAGAAGGCGGAAAAACGCTCGGAGACATCTTGAAGCCACAGATTTTTTTATGATTTCTCCGCAACTTTGGCATAGATTGTAATAAATATGTAAACATCATCAGATAAATCATAAATTTAATTTTGCAGTGCTGTCCGCCTCGCAAACGAAAAGAACCACCCTTCCGGAGCCTAGGCATTCTGAAACGAGCGTTTTCCACGGTGTCTTAAATATCGACGAACTTATGAGACACCAAATTATCACACTCCTGGTTGTTTTTCCTTGACCTCGACGATTTTCATGCGTTCGAAGTGCGTTGTTTTAGCCGATTTGTTAACTTTTTTGTGGTTCAATTTAACGAGAAATGTTTTCGACATCGCCGCGGTATATTTATTCCATGAGTTTCAACTGCGTCGAAAAGCTTAATGGAGAAAATTCGGGATCGATAAATTCTTTGTCTTATTCTTTCAGCTTGTCAGCAAATTTCTCCAACTGCTTCCTAACCGCTAGCTTAAATCTTGATTCCTGGTTCTCGCCTGACGCTCAGCCAAAGATTTAAATTAACGTTTCCCCCAACCGCCAATTTTCAAGCAGATTCGAAACCATCACCGAATTTGAAAAGACAGTCAGAAGACAGTCACTGGCACTCAACAGTCTGAAGTTTTGTCTCGGTGCCATCCAATTAGGCTCACCGCTGTGTCTACTGCCGATTCATGCGCGTTGACAACGAGTGCATAAAACTGGGGTCCACTGTCAACATGGCCACACAGCTCGAGGTAGCTTTTGCAAAAATTTCTATTGCAAAGAATTTTAATAGCATTTACAGTTGTCGTTTTAGCTATGTTGCACTATCGACTTTGCGCGGCTTTCCTCTTCTTGAGCCTGGCGTCAGTTGCAGAAGGGCTCAACACGACGGGTAATTTGTAGAATCCCTCACGACTTGATTGCGTTGACGAATAATCCGCTGACCGCTCTGAACATCTACCGCGCACCTTTCAGAAGCCATCAGAATCTTCGCCAGCCCGTTGACGGTGGGGGATGAAATTGAGGTGCGAACCATCACCCTGCGAGGCTGGGAGAGGTTTGTTTCGTTTGCAAAATAAAGATACATTCACCTCCAAATTTTTGAATTTTGACTGAACGAGAAAGAACTTTAGTTGGACCTGCTTGCTCGAAAATACGGCTAGAGATATTGTATTTCTCAACGCCACCCACCTCGAAAAGGCTGACTTCTATGGATCCATGAGATATTCGTCGCGTAGCCGTGATCAGGTATCGGGTTTTTGATCAGAGACCAATTATTTGAATTGGTCGCCCAAACAAAGGCAAACGTCATTTCAGCTTTCCGTGGAAGTCAAAGACTGGATATTCCACAAGCAACCCCAAGTTCTGCATTTCCGAATCAGGTAAGTGTATAGTCTGGTATGCAAATTTTGCGAATAATCTTGACGGGGAGATGTGCTTTGCCCTAGAAACAAATTATTCGTGTAGAAAATATTTAGAGTATTTACGGCCAAAAGTTTGTTAATCACATACGGCTATATTGGTGCCGCGGTGAGCAAATCGATCGCACGCTATTACGAAGTCCCCGCAGGAATGACTGATGTTCTACTGGAAGCCGTGCAACAGATTCGCGTAAGGAAATGACTGCGGCGGACCAAATTTTTTAGTGCCATGGACACATCTATGATACCACGTTTCGCCAAACTACAATTTTTGGCCAACGCTAAAATGACAAGTCACTGAATAAATTGCTGTTAAGAATCGTGAAATAGTGTAAATGGTGTCCTAAAAAAATCGACTCCCTCTAGCGTTTCGGTGAAGCCACAAACTGGGATGATTTATACACAATTCGAAAGCCCTAGAAAAGGCGAGAAAACAAGCGGTTTGCGTTTTGCAGAATTTTTTAGCCCGCACTCGGCATTAAACGAAAGAAAGCGTAAAATCAGTGTCGTGCTGTTGGCCCGGTCAAGCAATGACTATTTGCTTGAAATCTGCAGATTTCGTGGATTTTGGACATAAACTTTGCCAATCAAAACGCTGAATATAAAAAAGGGTTCTTTATTCCGGGAGGGGACCAATTTTTTTCCGGCCCACACCTTTTTTTTATAAACAGCGGATGCGTTTCTAAATTATTTTTAACTATGCCAAGTACTACACAAATATTAATTTACAAATTCTGTTTTAGGTCGCAAAATCCTATAGAACCTGTAGGTTTTGCGGGAGGAAGGACCCAAAATGACCGAATTGTCGACGTTTTCAAACCTTTTTTGAAAGTTTTTTACTTTAAATGTAGTTAAAACTTGCTAAAAACAATGTGAAAACACTTTATATTTAATTACTAGGTCAACCGGAACCGCCAAGAAAAAAATTGGGGCACCCTGTAGTATTATAATTGGTGCCTGGTCTGGATAAAGCTAGTTATTATTCGGAACGATTTATCTCATCACGCTGTACAGATATTTTACCAAGATTGCCTCGACCACCTGCTTCTACTGCTTCCGACAGTAGCACACGGGTTTGTACATGGCCAAGCGGGAGGGAAGGCAAGATGCTGCGCTGCCATATCTGAAAATGCAAAAACTAGAATCTCGGAGCATATTTTACTTGTTTAATCTCATAAAGTCAACCGGCGCCATTTGGATATTCCCGTCTGTTGAGGTGTAGGACACCTACAATAGCACCATTTTAATAAAACTTTAGACTTGTAGGGCACCTGAAATTGAGCAGCATTTGTCGTGAAAAATTCCACATTATAATAGGTGGCGTTACCGCCGTTATTACGGGTTGAGATTGATGTGACCTAAAAAACTATTTTTTTTAATTGCGAAGGCTAGGAATGTCTGAAAAACTGAAAATAGCCCGATAACAAGAGAACATAATTTTTTCGGGTTTTTCTAGTTTTAGCTTTTTCTAGTTTTTTTTTCTTATAACATCGATTGAAAATTCCACATATTTGATGACTTACATTTGCTACCGTAATCTCGTCACACAACTCAACGAGCTCATGCTGATTCAAATATTCGGCCGCGTCGTTTTCGATCATTTTCGGCAACACCGTCCACATCGTGTCATTTCTGAAATAATACAAAAATCGGAATCACAAAAGAATGTAAATATGATATTGCTCGCGATTTTTATTTTTCGGGGTCTAGGAATTTTGAAAATATTTTTAATCAACGTTTTTGATCCTAACGTAACATCTACGCCTACAGTAAGGAATAAAAGTTTTCGCGCATGAACCTTAATGAAATTTAAATTAAAAAAGTTGAATTTTAATTTTTGACGAATTTCTCACCGATTCAACGCTTCGTACTGGCCGTAGTCACAAATGCAGTACTGCGACGGAATCGGCTGGTATTTGCAGGACCTTGGGGAATTTGGGTCGAGTTCACGTAGTAGAGAATTTCCGATGCTCCCTAAATGAGCAAAATGACCTTTAAAATAAAGCTATATAGCCTACCTTCAATTTTCCGGAAATCGGTTTCTCCAAAATCGGCCGGGGCTTGGTGCTAAACAAACGTTTTAATTTTTAAGATAATTCCGCTAAATTTTTTAGAAAATGGTTTGGAAAATTATGAAAATTTTAACTAAATTTTTTATCTAAACGATTGGTACGATTTTGTTACAATTTTCTTCTTTTTTTTCATAAACTCGATACCCTAATAATGTCAATGAATGTGGCATGCAAATCATGGTGGCTCATCAGCTCGTCCTTGTTTTTCTGTAGCATTTTCGCCACTTTTGAGTCCCTAAATTCCGGTATTCTTTTTGAAAATGGCCTAGAACCTCAATCGCTTAGGCAATGAAATGAGGAGCAGCGGGTTGTTCATCTCGAATTTTCCCTGGTCGGTGCTGGCTACCTAAATTCCAACTTTTCAGTGGTTATCTCGTAGCTACCGGTCCAAATCGCTGCCCGTGGTCACCCATCACGATCAAGATCGCGTCGTCGAGCTAAAATATAATTTTTTAGGTTCTGGTATTGATTCCTTAAAACTACTCCATATTAAAATGTTTTCCTGCATTAAATGATGCAAAAAAATTTCAACATCATGCGAAAAAACCCAAGATTGACCGTCTGGAGTATTTGTCTGTGACATTAGCTAATATGCTGCCTTACAAAAACACCTTTAAAAGACCAGACCAGCAAAAATCGACCCTTCCGTTGGCTAGATCTAGACAGGTACGCGCGGGCCAAAATACTTAAAATTCACCCGCCCAACGTTCGGAAAATGCGTTACTATCGGAAAATTCATAATTTGGACATTAAGAAATTTCAACATCATGCAAATCTTCATAAAAATTCGTTAGCGTCATTTGGCGTTCTGCTTAGGTTTCAGTCCAGCCAAAGTAATGGTAGATTTTGGCGCAATTGAGACAATTTACAAAACTTATGCCGTACTTGTTTCTTATTGGTTCTCAGCATCTCCAGGTAGTACTTATCCGAATTGCGGTGCCCCGTCTCCGAGTCGTGCGCCTCGGCCGTCCAGCTGATCGACATTTTTGGTTGGTCTGGAAAAAAAAATATCTATAATGCCAGGAAAATGACTTTATTGTTATTAAAAGGAATAAAGATCAGCTAAAGGCTATTTTTATGAATTAATAAACCCGATAAGAGATAGAGAAAAATCATAAAAACTAGGTGACGTATTTAAAAAGCAGCCAAAAAAGCGTTTTGGCCTTTTCTAAGTTTTCGATGATAAAAACAACAGTTTTCGGTCCGAAAATTTTGAAAAACCATACCCGGATAAGACTTCATAAATTTCGATGTGTAATCGACGACATGCTGAAAGTTTGAACCGCATTGTGACCAATTCCTGAGGTGGGCTGACAGCAGAGCATCGTCCCGGTATTGGTACCCGACTTTTTCGAGTGGCCTAAATGAGGGTATGCCCGTTTCCATTGAAAAACCTTACTCCGGATTCCAGACGTCCCATTCTTTGATTGTTAGCAGTTGGAAGGGCCTGAAAGCCGTGACTTACAAATTATGTACTGAGCTGCTAAAGCTACCACGCTGTATTTGAAGCCGTTTCAAGTTCCGCAATTAAGTATCTCTACCAGATGGCCGGTCGTTAAAGAAGCGAGGATAGATGCCAATGGATTTTTTTCCTCTCAGCGGCACGTAGCGCGCACTTTCCCCCCTCCCCTCCTGGCAGGATTGCGTGGTTTTAGGCGGATACGCGTTAAAACATAGCGCATGGCATCTCGCGCCGCAGAATCGATCCAGAGGTAAATTTCATAGTCTTGGGTGGATGGCCCCTTTAAATGGACTGGCAAGGCAAAATAAACTACAAAAAATTTACGTTCCTAAAGAATCCTTGCTAGATTTCTTATCATTACCGCAGTCGAAAAATCTAATCGATTACCTCATGTAATGCGTGGCCAGCTGGGCGGCAATTCCCGCGCATTCCACGTAGCCCCATAGCACCAGGAAATAGTCCTGTGCAAACATCGTACGGTAGCCGGCATCCTAAATGTCATTTTTGAATTCTTGTAGGTTCCATTTTTGCACAAAAACGCATTTTTCGATGGTATATGGTGTTTTTCTTGAAGGTCTAATGAATCGACAAGCATCTAAGTATACTGTTAATGACGACTTTAAAATCTTTCGCCTAACCCGGTATGACTTTTAAAAAAGTTCATGCAAACGCAAAGACTCAAATAGCGTTTCACGTATTGTTTTTTGTATTTTTGTAAGATTTTATGTTAAATGTTTGTCAATGTAACAATTTTTTTGTCTTTTCCATAGCTATAACTAAATTGAATCACCTCATATTCATACTGTATATACGGGCGTTCATCCAGCCCTTTCGCGCATAGATCGTCAGTGATTGTAATCGGCAGCGTTGAACCTCCATACATCGATCGATCAATCTCGTATTCCCAGTCGCCTAAAAATTCGAATAATAGAGGTTTTAGATGTATTTTTTAGCCTACCCATGAATGACCCAAACACATTCGAGCGACTATTCGGCCCTCCTCTGGCAAATGCCGTAAAATCCACGGCTTGCATCTCGTTTTTCATGTAGCTGATCGTTTGGTTGAGTTGCCTGAAACGTGATTTGAAGGAAGTTGGAAGCCAGACATATCTATGGAATTGGGTAGCTTTGGAAAAATTCAATTATGTAAAAAGGTTTCTAAACAGTTTTTTACTATACCTAAACGTAAAAACTTTAAGGAAATACAAAAATCACGCATCATAGAGGTCGACAAAATTTTGATGCCTGCCGTTTACGCCCATTTATTAAACTCTAATAAACTCTTCGCGATTTCAAAAAGCATACCTAAAAGCCGGAAACCGTCCCGCCGCGTCGAGAATAAAAATATGAACACTGGGGTAAAAGTGCTTCTTCGGCTCGATTTTTGGTGATTTCCCGGGTCGATACCGATCTCCAAACACGGCCTTTCGATCTCGACTAAAATTCGGAAACTTTGCATATTTGGAGGTCTAACCTGTGCTCAAAAATTTGCGTATGAATATCAAAGTACGTCAAATTCCCATCGATTCCGCGACATACCACGTCGATAATGTCACACCTGAAGGTCGTACAATTCACGCCTACGCGACACTCCGGCCCGTATTTGTTTTCGTAGTTGCTGCCGTAGAATGCGCATCTGGAAAAGGGAGTTAATGAGAGAGAGAGAGACAGAATTAGAGAAAGAGTCAAGAGAGAGGGAGAGAGAGACAGATGGAGCGAAAAAGAGAGAGAAGGGGCAGAGAGAGACAGTAGGGGAGAGAGAAAGGGAGTAAGAGAGAAAAAGAGAGTGAGAGTAAGAAGGAGAGAGAGAGAGAGAGAGAAAGAGAGAGAGAGAGCGAGAGAGCAAGAGAGAACGATATATTCGTTATTTTTAACTACGAAAAGTATACCTTGCCGTACAGTCGTAATCCTTCACCTCCGGATACCCCAGGTTTTTGTAGATGTGCCCATTTTTAAGGTAAGTAGGTCCGGGCTCTCGCTTACAGAGGGCTGAAAACAAAATAAAGAACTTATGAAATTGTTGAATCGATTTTTATAGAAATTTTCGATCAATTCTTCTATTTTTTTTCTGGCACTCCTACTAAATTAGGATCATGACCTCCATAAATTTTATATTGCTTGATTTGTTTGTTTTTTCAATGTTCATTTTATTTTCATTAATTTTTACATTTATCTAAACGTTAATTAATTAAATTAAAACTCACGATCGTTTATCGACTCTCCAACCAGCGCCAATATTTCCGGATCGTCGTGTCGATAGGTGTACTTTGGACAAGTGTCGAAGAGTGGGACTTTACGAGTGTTTTGACTGGCTAAAAACGCATCAAAAACTTTCGAAAGTTACTGTACCCGTCAAGTTTAAATTATACTCCTCCTCGCCGTTAAAATTCAGCAGCGAAAACGTCAAAAATAGCACACCGATGATTATGATACACGTGTAGGCCAGGTACTGGAATACCGTAGAAAATTGGGAATAAAATTTAGTTCTTTCTAATTTTTGACTTTTTCATTGTATTCCTTCGAATCAGCTAAATTTTTCAGATTGAAATTCCTTAGAAAAATCCCATCTTTTCCAAATTGCGATTTTGTTCAACTGATTTATTTATCGTCACATTTCAAAATTAGCGGAATTATTTAAGTTTTTGAAATTTCTGAAACATAATTTCAAGCTTTTCCAATTTTTAATTTCAGGATTAATTTACTTATCCACGAGTTGGGAAAATTATGCAATTCATTTTAAGTGTATTCCTTTGCTTAAAATTTGAAATTTGTAAAATCTTTTTAATATTTGAATGGCTATTTTCTTAAGTTTCAAAGTCAAAAGTAATAAAATTACCTTAATCCAAACCCGTAGCCACATTATGCAAATTAGATTTGATTAATGAAATAGCAAAATACAGTAGGAAATTGAAAGAATATAAAATACAGCAAGAATTGAAATTTAGTAGCTTCTGAGTACTGTAGGATTTCTAGAAGTAGATATCCGATTACGGTAGGTAATTCTGAGTATTGTTGAAGCAGAGCGGAGGAGATGTTCGGCGTGCTCAGATTTTCCGAGACCGTCCAAATTTCGGTTTTCCACGTCCTATTTTGACCTGTTGCCGTACGGAATGCTGCCCTCTAGTTTTTACCCCAATTTTGAAGCCACAGAGCTTTTAAAAACAGCTAAAATGGTCAAAGACCGCATAAATTGCAAAAATATTATTCCAGGACCCGGGTACAGCAGCCAAAAAATTAATAAATTTTGCTCTTTTGTGGGTTTTGGCACGCAGCGGCAGGGACGGAATATGGGTCTGGCGGGGCCCGTCAATTGGGGCTGTTTGGACACGCGCACACTGACAGTGCTTTATGGCAATTCGTCTATGGCCATCTGCGTGTTTTTATTGGGCAGCGGAGGGGTCGGTGGGAAAGATGGGAGAGTGGTGGTCCGATGATGTGCGTCGTCTTTGAAGAATTTATTTTTAGAGAGGGAACGAAAATTGACGATTTAAAGCGGCAAGGAAGTGTTCTGTTTTTGTCGCATCGAATTCCACGCCGTTTTTGACAAAGAACTATTTTGCCTAGCTCGTTTTCCCAAGGTTTAGGCGTATCTGTCACCTCTGCGGCAGAAACCTACATTCCAAAAAGGTTAGGGGATTTACTAACGTTTTACCGAAAGTTGATTATGCAGAAAACCATTACCCAGAAATCCATTATGCCGAAAATCCATTCATTCCAAAAACCTACATTCCAAAAGGTTAAAGAGGGGATTCCTAATACGCAAAAAATGGCCGTGAAAACAGAAAAAAAGATTATTGTTCCGTTTGGATAACATGACGCCGGGTTGACCCTTATTTAGATTGAAAAACGCGGTAATGTAGCAAAACTGATAGTTTCAACGTTTGGGTCTGATAAATCAACCCGAAAAACTTGATCTTTCCGAAAATTCGTCGGTTTTTCGCCACCAAGACGCGGTGAAATTTTTGAACGTTCCGGGGAGGGCAGCGTTTTAGGGGGGATGTGATTTCCTGGAAATTTTAAGGCTTTCGATACTTTAAACCTCTGGCAGATTAAACTAGTCATTTGGAGTAATTAACGAACACGAAAAGCAATGTTTACTATAAAATACAGTTGTGGGATGGTGCCCCGATTTCGATGCATCTGATTTCGATGCTCGTCCTTCCAAAGTGGCAGGCCCAGACTTCCGGTCATCATTATTCAGTTGCGCTTTCGGACCGCCGGTTGAAGCGCCTTTCAAGCCCTTTTACGCCTCTTCACGACGGATCGGGGCTATTAGGATGTGTTATAACATTCCTGGTTCAGCCAAAGGACCATGTGCCGATCAGTTTCCGTTTATGGCGGTTACATGCACCACTGTTACCACATTCTATGGCGTATTCGTCGTGAACTACCCTAAAATTTTCATCTGGACGAACCGTCCGTAATTCCGTTTGACTGTAAATGAGTGTGCTTCGATTTTTCGAGCTTTTGCAACTATCGCCGTTCTCTAGTGCGATTTTCGCAATTTCGCATCTTTCATTGAACATGTTTCAATTATTTCTAGAATTTTAAGTGGTTTAATGAATTGACTGAGTGAGATAAATGAGTTTAGCTGATCCGGAGAACCATCTCTTTGGCCTTGCATAGTTTTGCGGCGAGTTCGCACCTACGCACATTATCTGGTGTCATTTGTAGTTGTACGTAACCAATTAGTACCGAAATTATACACGAGGTTAGGGTAATAAACCTTTTGTCTCTCAGCCCCTCTAAATCAACCATTTCACGTCAGGCTCCGATTTAAGCATGAAGGCATCTTATATTGCATTTATTAAACTCGGAAACCCGTCAGAAACAATTTTGCCCGCATCTGATTTCGGGGCCTCATATATTGGCACTTTCAAAACGCGTTTTCTATTTCAAGTTTTGGCCAAAAATGTCTATTCTTCGGCAGCTTATCGTAGTCACCACGATTATTTTTCTCCTTGTCGATTTTTCCTCGTCAACGGGCGTCCGATGTACGCTCGAGGAAGCCGTTCGCCCAGGCGCTTACAGCACTTGTTTCAAGGAGGAGATCGAGGAACGAAGCCAGGCTGTTGGTTATTTTAGAAGGATTCTAATCCAAACTCTTTCTATTAACATTTGAAAAACAATTTTTGAAAATAGGTCAATTTGGCATATCGTAATTTACTAATTTACCTAAATTTTGCGTCAAATATCAAAAATCAAAAATTAAATATAAAAAAATAGTGTTTGTGTGTGTGTGTGTGTATATTTGCATGCACTTCCGTTAGGATGTTCCGCTCCTACAGCCTCGGGGAAGGGTTTTTTGGATAGGGAAGAAACGACAATAGGTTTAGAATGGTCCGGAATCGACTGCACACACATAAAAATTTTGAAAAATTGCGGTTTTCGCTATTAAAAATAGGTTTTTGTAAAACCCTGTTTGTTAGGGGATATTACCATACGCCGGAAGTAGGAAGAGCCTATATAAAGGGACAGAGGAGCCGTTTTTCACCTTTTTTTCTTGCTAGAATTCAGGAAGAAACATGCAAATTAAGGACTTTCACAGGTTCTGGACGGGGCCAGGGTTGAAAAGCCGCGAAGCGGTTTTTCAACCCTGGTCAAAAATTAAATTGGCTTAATCAGATTTTAGGTTTGCAAGAAGGACCCGCCCACCGACATGGACCACGGGCTGGTCATCCAGAAATGCTGCACGCAGATCACGGCCTGCACCTGTACGGATGAGGAATTCAAGAGTATCGTCTGCCCGGGTGAAGAAATCAACACAGACAAATGATATTGAATTGATAAAGCTTTCTTGTGATTTTGATATGTTGCTCAAGCCACAACTGCTTGAAACACCCACAAACAGTCCATCCGCTTTCACAAGCTGAGTCCTAATTTGTCCGATTTTTACGACTTAGGCAGCTAGCGAAAGTCGTCGGAAAGCGAATTCGGATGTTTTTTTCTTTTCGGAAAATGTCAGGCAGAGGGCAATGAATCACAGCATTTAGAAAAGCAGAAATACGACCACGTCAAGCATGGACTCCAGTGACTTCAGTTGGGGAAAGGGCCCGAATCCTCCTACTTTGTGATCCGTTTCTACGCGGGTTTTTTTTTCAGTGGCGCGCAACGGTAGTTACCTAGTGGACGGAAAGGAGGACATCAACATACTCAGCGGCGATGTCGCATCGTGCAGCTTTTTATTTTTATGGCTTTTTCTTGTAGATTTATAGACTCGTCAGGTAGTCAGTTTTATAGCTATGGATCGGTTAAGTAGGTTTGCGTTGCCCCGCCACGCAACATTACACGCATGTCTTTACATTACGCAATTAAAGACATAGCAAATTGCAATTCTTTAAAAGCGCAAAAATAGTGTTGCGATAACCCACCGGTAACCGGTTGATAAAATGGACCGTGAAGTGTCGGTTTTTACTTTTATCCAAAACTACTTCTCAGTATTGCTCGTTCATAAAAATACGGCGAGCGTCGTTAGAGCTACTCGTAGCTGTTGACAATGTCAATACCTAGCCAGCAAGAGTGGTATGTCTGCTGGGTAAATGGCCCTTGACCCTTTAAGGAGCTCTCGACGTTGTGATTCGGCTATTTATGCACCATTCCACCTTTAAAATCGCAAACAAAATTCTGAGCAAAATAAAGAATTTCCAGCATCATCGCCACGTCACAAGCCTCAAAGCCCACCCCGAATTGTGCTGTTTTCTTGCGGCGCGTTTTTGGTCAATCTTGGATCTTTCGCTGCACCGCCGCATGGCCTGTCCTTTTCCTGCTTCTCCCTCATCGGGCGGAACAAACAGTTTTGTTGCTGTCTCGCGGGCCGCCATACCATACTTGTTTACTCCATTCCCCCCTAGGGGCCCAGCTTATTAAAGACGGGGACGTTGCCAGCTGCGGAAATTGTCGACATTCGGAAGATGAAGCCCCTGCAATTCGTTGCCTCGATTTTCCTGCTAATCGTCTGCCTATTCCTGCAACCTGCCGAGCCGCGATGCTCATTTTCTGAAGCGGTCGGCCCGGGCAAAATTAGCACTTGCACCTTTTGGGAGTTGAGAAGAAGGGCGGAAAGGGTAAGAATTTTGAAAAATTTTCCGAAAGAATCTCTGCTAGCCTGCCTCGAGCTTTCAAATCGAATAGTTTATATAGAATAATTGAGATAATCTTAAAGAATCTTGGCTATCCTGCCCCAGAGGCAACCCGGAGAGATTTTCTTTAAGAATTCCTTCAAAAACGACCGGTTTAGATTTTCGTAAAAAGGGGCGTTTTGCTAGCTGCTCCAGTACATCAGGACGCTTTTTACTAATTCAGGAAAATAATAAAAACGCTTTCCTAAAGATTCTCAGCTAATCTGCCTCGTGCTGTAAAAATGACTCATTGGCATGAGATTTTTGAAATAAACTCTGCTAGTTACCTCAGATTTTGACAAAAAAATGTCGTTTCGATAAAACAAAACCAACCTAGACCTCTTTCCATTCTTGCAATACGATGTTGACAAAGAATCTCTGCTCAACAAATCTGAAATAAATAATCAAGCAAAAAAGGAATTGTTGGCAAGGGTCCAAATCCAAATTTAACCGCCATCGCTCCTAGGAAGTCCAAAAAATCTCGGCTAGCTTTCCGCCCAGCTGGCACCCAAGAAACCCTGCAATTCCCTAATGATCGTTGCTAGCTCGGCTCTCAATAAAAATTTGGATTGAACCGTATAATTTAATGGATTTGCAAAAGGTATCAGCTTTGTGAAGCTGTCCACGAAAGTACCAAATCACGTTTTCGCGCCATCCGGTCCAGATCATCCAATAATCTCGGCTAGCTTGCCTTTGATATCCCATTAAGGCCAAAATATTGTATTTAATTCATTAGCAGTTCCTAATATAGCTTATTTGAAGGCCAATAAATTATTTTCGACAACCCAAAAACTTTTTTTTTTGTGAGCAATAATCCTTTCCGGCTTTTCCAGGTGTGCCCAATCTCGTACGCTCCCGCCTACGCCCGGTCACTCCCGAACCGCGGCGTCGGGAATGAGGCGAAAGTGCTGCAGACGTGTTGTGTGACAAAACAGGGATGCAGATGTGACGACAAGCAATTCCACGCTATTGTATGCCCCAGAGATCCGCCGCCCAAGCCGTGATAAAGCCTTTTCATGACCTGTTTATGATTCTCAATCTTAAACGCCATTTTTACTAGATAAATAGATTCCTAAACGCTCATGAAAATCAGAAGCAAAATTTTAAGGGACGTGAAAAAATATGGCCATGTTGGCTATGGCCTGCTATGGCGTCGCCAGAATACCGCAGCACGCAACGCGGACCTGTTTTTCAGTGCGTAATGGATTGTAACTGCTTCCTGTCGGCCAACCGGCGCGTTGCGTGTCGCTAAATCCATGAGAGGCGCTGCTAAGAAGCTAAAGAAATATGAAAATTTGGAACCTGGATTGTTTGAAAAGGAAGTTCGCCTACAGCGTGCGCGTTGGGTATCGCGGCGCGCTTCCCTGCCTTTTGACAGCTGCGGCTAATCCATTGAATCTACGTGTTTGCGACCCGCGACGCACCTATCCACGCTGACTCCACTACTTAACGGATGTCGACCCTGCGTCGGCGGAGGCCCGGCTTGCGCGTTGCGTGTCGCGCGGGTGGTCCCCAGTTTTTCGAGTTATCAAGCAGCCCAGCAGATGCCAACCGGAACTGAACTGCTGACTATTCCATGGTCTTCCGCTCGTTAGCCTAAAGCCAACAGAGACGTGCCTTTTTACGCAACTACCGCCAAAACATTTTAATTTTTTATCAGCGTTCCACGCGGGGCTTACCTGGTGCTTGGTCGACGCTTATCAACGGGGGAGAGATCGAAATTAAGCCGATTTTCGGCTCTAGACGCGCCCGGGCCGTTCACATGGATCTTGTCTACTACAGTATTTAAACGGGGTCGAGAAGACTTTAGTCAGCCAGTTTTTAGGCACAGTAAGTACCTGAATCTGGCCGGTCTTTTCCCCGGATTTTTCTTTTTTCCAGTGGTTTCAGGCCTCTAGCGTTTTATTCACAGCTTTTAAACGGATAGCAAGTCAAAAATGATCGGAAATGGCATCAGAATTTTGTAACTCTCGCGTTTTCACTTCTAAAAAAAAAGTAGCGGCGCGGTGGCCTTGTGGCCGGCTCAGGCTATTTGTTAGGGCCAGACTTCTTAGCCCGTTTAAAGCCACGTCTTGCACTTCTAAAAGGCGCATTACAGTTTTTTACATTGAGTGTTTTTCTATGAGTTTAATTACACCTTCAGCAATATAAGTTAAGGTATATTCGCCAAGTTTAGAAAATGAAGCTCTTGCTTATCTTCATACTGCTCCCTTCAATCTGCTGGGCCGCGTTTGCGCAAGCGGATAAGGACGAGATACTCGATGTGAGTTGAATATAGGCTTAAGTGATATCCTGTTAAGTTGTAGTTAAAGATCCGATATAGAATACAGGGTGTCCCAAAAAAAAACACCCCCCCTCGGCATTTGGCCGTCTTCCATCCAATCGGGACCAAATTTTTACCAGTGATGGGGACCCATAAAAACTATGTGCAGCCGAATTTTCTAAGCAAAATATTGTAAAACAAAGAAGATATATCAAAATTAAGGTTAATTTTGCCGATTTCACTAGGATTTTGACGGATTTCGGCCTCAAAATGTTTAGCAAAAATGAAGAGGGCGCTTTTTTCTACCTGTAAAAATTTTTTGATTAACGAAAATTACGTTTAAATTGGGCCTTTCGATCACTTTTTATTAGCGAAATTGCCAGAAACTGACCGAGAAATGACCATTTTTTGGAAAATTACTCAAAATCCGCATGCTAATTGCGAAAACATAGCCAAAAACGAGTACCAGCGTTTTCCAAAAATCAGTTTTTTAGCGATAACTTTTTGGTTTTACAATATTTTGCTTAGAAAATTTGGCTGCACATAGTTTTTATGGGTCCCCATCTCTGGTAAAAATTTGGCCCCGATCCGATAGAAGACGGCCAAATGCCGAGGGGGGGGGGTTTTTTTGGGACACCCTGTATATACGTTATTAATACCTTTTAAGCAGAGTTATCCAATATTCTATAGGTCCATAACAGCATGCGATCCCGAATTGCCCTCGGCCTCTACACCGCCAAGTCCAAAACTTTCCCAGCAGCTGCTGATATGACGAAAATGGTAGCTTTAAGATGCAAAATTTAGCTGATATATGAAAGTTGTAGGGGTGGTAGTATGAAAGTTCATGAAATACTAAAAAACATTGAATTTCAGAAATGGGACTCCGGCCTAGAATCGCAAGCTCAAAACTGGGCAAACCGATGCCAGTTTGCGGTAAGTAAGAGGCCTAGAGAAAGGGAGAGAGGCAGAGAACCAGAGCGAGAGCGGGAGAGAGAGAGAGAGAGAGAGAGAGAGAGAGAGAGAGAGAGAGAGAGAGAGAGCGCGCGCGAGAGCGGGACTCAGAGAGATAAAGATAAAAAGTATGAAAGAGACGGACATCCTAAATTTTCCAGCATTCCGGTACGAATGGAGTTGGCGAGAACATTTATATGGCCTCCAGCTCAAACACGTTACCGATTCGAGGCCAAGGTATTGCTTAATTTATCTAAAACCAAAATATTGTTGTCTTTTGAAAGCTATTTAGCTAGCTAAAAAATTTTTCTAGGAAAAGCTGCCAGCAACGCGTGGGAGAAAGAATTTCCGGTAAGTGTGGAAGCTTTAAAGATTTTACCCAATTTTTTTCAGGACAAAGGCTGGCCTGGAGTGCCCTATTTTGACATGAACGTTTTTAACAGCGGAATTGGACACGCGACTCAGGTAATTTTGATTTGTTTCTTGATTTCCGATGCTGCCTTTTTTGACACTGCCGTGAAAAATGGTGAATTATTTATAACAAGTGCTTTTAGATGGCCTGGGCGTCGTCGAGTAAAATCGGATGTGGCGCCACGCAATGTCAGAGCGGGAAATCGGTATTTGTCGTGTGTCAGTATAGCAAGCAGTGAGTTACTTTTCGTTTGCTCTCACTCTCGCTGTCTCTCTGTCTCTCTCTCCTTCTCTCTCGCTCTCTCTATCTCTATCCATTTCAGAGGAAATTACCTGAATCAAAACGCGTACTCGGCTGGTACGAGATGTTCCAAATGCCCAAGCGGAACGAGCTGCGATTCTCGACTTGGACTTTGCCAATAATAATTTGTATTTATTTATTTGTATGAATAAAGTCAATAAAACAGTTTAAAATTGTAATTTAAATTTTTCAGAAACCAATCACAGCGTTTTACGACGTTATTTAAGGTTCAAAAACTATGTTGATTTTAAGCAAGGCAAAACGTGACGTTTTTTATTAAATTCGGAACGTAAAAACATTTGAAACGGGATTTGTTTTGCCCAAAATAACCACTACACTGACGCATACAATTTGAATTTATAATGATATTAAAAACCCGAGCTGTACGGTCGCTTCCCTAGGCTTTATAAAACTTGCAACCGCACTGCCTTCCGGCGGTTTCGATTAAAATCAAAATGTCTGCCGCCCTCAAGCCTTTGCAGCTTCTGATTTTGGCTGTGCTAATCAGCATGGCAGGATCCCTATTGAGCTATGCACAACAGCGCCAAATCCTTGAGGTCAGTTTCGATTCCGTAAAATAACAGTTTTATAATATTTTTGAAAAATTGGCAGGTTTTTTGATGGAGTCGTTTTTTTTAAGTTAGTAACCTATTTACAATAACAACCTGAGAATTTCGCATCACAATTGGAGATTAAAGAGACTAGAAAACCGGAGCATCTACCCCTTTACGTCTATTGGGTCTCGGCAGCTCCGCGACACTCCAGACGACGCCTAAAAGGACATTTTTAGCAACTTGAACAACTAGATTCAGCGTCGCCTGGTGTTTCGCACGATTGTCGATACCTAGTCATAGAACGGGTCGATTTTCCAGCTTCACCGTCCCTTTAAAAGGAGCATTCAGTTCCACAACAACCTGCGCAACGAGGTGGCCGCCGGCAACTTTTCCTACACGTTCAACGGGACCAAGTTCACGTTGCCCGTGGCGACGGATATGATCAGATTGGTACGGTAACCGGCTTTGAATAGTTTTAATTGCTACAAAGTTACCTCAAGAATATTTTAAAACTTTTCAAAGCGCGAAAATTTTGGTTATTTTGTACATTTTCATACATTTTTGCCCAAAAACCCAAAAAACCTTCGTATTTTTTGCACATTTTCATACATTTTTGGCCCAAACTCAAAAATTTTCGAAAAGGATTTGAGTTTTTAGAGCTTCTTATATCTGAAACCGGATTGCCTGATTGCCACGCTTCCTAGGGCCTTTAAAACGTTTAAAAGCTTTTAAACCTGAAAAATGCTGTTTGACCTGTTACTATCAGATTTTTAGTTTTTGGACTGCAAAATGTTCAAAAGCGCCCAAATCGCCGCTGAGGCCTGCGAATTTCAGGTGAGTCTGAAAAAAATGATTCTCGATTAATTTTGCAAGGTAAATATATATACAGGGTGTCCCAAAAAAAGCCCCCCCGCCCCGGCATTTCGCCTCCTTACATCCAATCGATCCCATACTTTGCACAAGGGTGTATCAGACCATAAATAACCACAATCCTGAGTTATAGCCGGATCGCTACAGTAGTTTTCAAGTTATCGCCAAAACCGATTTTATCTGCGATTCTTCACAGTTTTTCGGCTATCTTTTTGGACTTTGCATCGATTTGCATCGACTTCTGGCTGCGAATCCTTAATTTCGCTTGGTATCGGGGGCGACTTTGCTTTACAAAAATTGTTGAAATCAACGGTTATTTGATGAATTTATCAGGAAAAAATTTCTAGGGGTAAAGAACGCTTGCCGCTTCATTTTCGCTTAATATTCGAATGGTCGGTTCCGACGAAGCCGTATGAAAAAAAAGGATAATAAAGCTTATTTTTGTTGTAGCTCGAAAATTACGGTATCTGGCGGGCTATAACTTAGGATTGTGGTTATTTAGGGTCTGATACACTTCTGGTCCAAATTTGAGACCGATCGGATGTAATATGGCGCAATGCCGGAGGGGTGCTTTTTTATGGGACACTCTGTAAATAAATACGCAGATATACAGTATATTCCGGTATTTTTAGGTTAAATTGGCGGTCTACAACCAAAATATGTTCCTCGGCGATGCGAACGATACGAATAGTAAGTATAATAATGTTAAACCTCAATACTGTTGAAAGTGCTTTGAATTTTCAGCCATATTTCGCAATTCTTGATTAGAACTCTCAAGCCCATTATGCATTTTAAAATTGGGTATTATAAAACCCTATGTTTAGTCGTCCTGACGGCTGTCAAGGCTTGGGCTGGAGAAATTGAGGTAACCTTTTAAGAAGATATCGTTTATCTATTATCTAGTTTTCTTTTTCAGAGATATGGCTGGCCCGATTTCCCGGAGTTCACCAAAGAAATCCATGATCGAGGGGTCAAGCACGCACCGCAGGTAGTTTTGGTAGCTCAGATTACATGCCCGTAATGCTTTGGAGGGTACCCAACCTCGCGATCTCGGTGATCCTCCAGTCAATTTTCATAACTAAAACTACTAGAATGAACCAAATTGCGTGAGAATTCTAGAAATAGTGTCAGTATTTTGAGATTCAAGCGGACTAGAGCAAACAGGGCCCTGTACGTCGGAGGCCTCTGTACACCCAGGGGCCGGGAAGCTCCCAAAATTTGAAATTGCCTGATGTCACCTCGAAATCACGTTCTCGGCTGTTTCTGGGCCAAATTTGATGATTAAAACACCAAAACTATTTAAAATCGAGTGAGGATTTCAAAAATGGGCTCAGAATGCGCGAATTATAGTGTTTTCACAAAGAAACCGGGCAAAAACAACTTCGCGCAAAAATCGAAAGAGTGGGGGCTCTTATCCCGCAGCGCCCGCTGGCAATTTGCCAGAAATCAAAGAGGCCTCCCAAAAGGGCTTTGATTTGGCAGTTCGGCGCCCCTTTAAAATTCGCAAAAAACTTGCTAATTTTTAGATGATCTGGGGCAGGACGAAAAAGATTGGTTGCGGACTGGCGAGTTGTGCCAATAAAACAAAAATGATGTTCGTCTGCCACTACGATCCCGCGTACGTTATCCTATTTCTATTTTTTTTCGTGAAATTCTACTTGGCTAAGGTTAAGCACATTTCAGCGGCAACTGGCTGAACGGGGACGCCTATACAAAAAAAACCAAAAAACGCAGGTAAATGTTCGAAGTGCCCGGAAATGGCGGTTAGAGAATGCCATGACAAACTGACGTCGCTATGCCCGACTCTTGAGGCTGATGTCAATTGGTGCGGACCTAATTCATAAATAAAACCGAATACAGTATTATACGACCATTATCGAAACTTGAAAATCTGCTTTTGCATACCTTACTAAGGAAGTGCACGACCTGACCGTCGGATTTCGCCACGAGAGAAAGTGGATTCGATAGAATCGGACACGGGGATTCCGAATCTGTAATCAGAATCTGCTAAATAAAAGGGAGAGGAAAGTTATCCTACTATATATAAAAAAATAGTGTTTGTGTGTGTGTGTGTGTGTGTGTGTGTGTGTGTGTGTGTGACACTTTGCATGCAACTTCCGTCAGGGTGTCCGGAGGATATCTCAATGGGGAAAGGGTCTTAGGCCACGTATGATACGTCATTAGATGCGTAATGGCTCTGGGATGACTGCACGCTTATCAGATTTATCAAAATTGCCTATTTTCGACATTAAATTTAGGTTTTTGTTAAAAAATTCGCGACCTTCTTTGTTAGGAAAAGATTAGCATGCGCCGGAAGTTCCGCTAGCCTATATCATGGGGTAGAGAGCGCCATTTTCATTTTTTGTCATCGGAAATCCAAACATTATGCAAAGTTAGGTATATCGTGAGATCAGACGGGGCCAGGGTTGAAAAGTCGCGAAGCGGCTTTTCAACCCTGGTGAGGCTTAAAAGTTGGCAAGATCGCGAAAAATTAAAGGGCACCTCAGGGACGTTTTTTTGGAAAAAGCAAAGATTTTTTGCCGCTCGGGAGGCGCGGATGGATACCAGTCAGCAGGGGCGTACGAGGGGGGGCAACAGGGGCAAGTTGCCCCCCCAAATCGGCCGAAGGCCGAAAAGTTCATAAGGGGGGACCCTTATGATTTTTTCAATAAAAAGTTTTCTTCCTGCGGCGCTGTTTATTACTGTTTTTAAGACGATTTTTACTTCTATGAAGCCTATTTTTCCAAAATTTTTTTGCCTGCGGCGCTGTTTTTCATTAGTGTGTAAACTGTCCATATAAAATTTTCGCCTGCGGCGCGTTTTCTGTGCTGTTTTTACACGAATTTGAGCGTTTCTAACGCTTTTTCCTTAGTTTTTGCGGCCTGCGGCGCTGTTAGAGCTGCGATTTTTCAATGTTTAGAAAGTGGTGACCGGGGGGCAAAAATCGGGTTCGTGTACGCCCCTGCCAGTCAGCCACAGCTACAACCTGGCGAGGGGGTGAGGGGCGCCCAGGGGCGTAGCTGGCCCCAAGTTTCGGGGGGCAGCGACATTTCGGAGGGGGCAGCAAGAAAATTTTCTCGAAATTTAAGCGCGGCAGGCGAAAAATTTTGCTAAAATAGCAGCGCCGCAGGCAAAAAAAAATTAATAAAAAGTAATAAAAACAGCGCCGCAGGTGAAAAAATTTTCAAGATGAAAAAAATCATAAGGGGGGACCCTTATGTTTTTTTCGGGCCCGCCCGATTTCGGGGGTGGGGGGGTGGCCTGCCCCCGCTGCCCCCCCCCTTTTACGCGCCTGGGGGCGCCCCACGCCGCAAAGGAGGGGAATGGCCTGTCACCGCACGGGCGGGCAGTGCGCGCCTTCGCTACGTCCATAGGGTGTACACGTTGGGACGAGTACAAGGCCCCTCCATGAACGTGCGCTTTAAATAAAACATGGTTTTAAAGATTGTTGCAAACTGGCCGTTTCAAGGGCTTTTGAATGGTATAACTGGCATGCCGATCCGATACTTCTGTGTTTGGTTAAAGTGAGGTTTTTTGTTAATTGCAAAAGTCACACTGTGCACACTTTTAGTAGCAAGAATTTTTATGATTTGCTCTAACATATTGTCGACTTTCCTTGTTATTAGTTATGTTATTATTTTGTTTCTAGAACTGCTAGCCATCGCACTTAGCGTGTCAGCACCTTTAAGCGTGTCGGATTGCGGAAATGGAGCGCTGTGTTGGAGCCGAAATCCCAATAAAAATTTACGGCCCGAAACGGTGACCACAAACATCAGGCCAATGAAATGACCATGAAATCCAATACCGTACCGTTCTCAGTCCAATTCCGAATTGGATGTGATATTTGATTGCGTAATCGATGCTTTCCCCAATAACAAACAGACAGAAAAGGGTATATTCGCATAAAAGGCAGTGAATTCCCCAGAAATATCGTATTCTCTACGCGATTCTAAAATGCCCCAACGTTTCAAAAACGCGGCGGGACTCCGATTATGCTTGCCAATTCTGGGTTTTCTGATAGCGCTGGCATATTCTCAGACTTCGGCACCGATATTCTCAGAGGAAGAGCAGACGAAAATAGTTAGGGTATGGTAATTTTGTATTATAAGAGAGAAAGAGAGAAGGAGAGCAAGAGAGAGAGAGAAAGAGAGCGAAAGTGAGTGAGAGATAGAGAAAGAGAGAGAGAGAGAGAGAGAGAGAGAGAGAGAGGGAGAGAGAGAGAGAGAGAGATAGCATGCGCGAGAGAGATAGAGAGACAGAGGAGAGAGAGAGAGCGAGAGAGAGAGAGAGAGAGCGAGCGAGAAATAGGGAGAGAGAGCGAGTGAGAGATAGAGAAAGAGGGAGAGATAGCATGCGCGAGAGGGATAGAGAGGCAGTGAGCGAGCGAGAGGGAGAGAGAGAAAGAGAGGGAGCGAGCGAGCGAGAATAGTGAGAGAGAGAGTGAGTGATAGATAGAGAAAGAAGGAGACATAGCATGCGCGAGAGAGATAGAGAGGCAGAGAGCAAGCGAGAGGGAGAGAGAGAAAGAAAGAGAGAGCGAGAGCGCGAGAATAGTGAGAGAGAGAGAGAGAGAGAGAGAGAGCGAGAAATAGCCTTGTTCCAGTTGCACAACGATCTGCGGGCAAAGGTGGCGCAAGGAGAATTCGTTAACAAGCACGGAAAACGCTTCCCAATGTCGTCGAACATCAACCTGCTGGCAAGATCCGCTTAGGCTTAGCTTAGGCTTAGCTTAGGCTTGGCTTAGGCTTAGCTTAGGCTTAGCTTAGGCTTAGCTCAGGCTTAGCTTAGGCTTAGCTTAGGCTTAGCTTAGGCTTAGCTTAGGCTTAGCTTAGGCTTAGCTTAGGCTTAGCTTAGGCTTAGCTCAGGATTAGCTCGAAAATCTTCGTTTTTCTGTCAGGACTGGAGCCCGACTCTAGCCGATCAGGCTCAGAAACACACCGACAAATGCGGTAGTCAGGTGAGTTCCCGATTCCCTGTCGGCTAAAAAGTGATACCTTTTAGTACACACTGAACGAGGATTACCTCTATGGCGAGAATCAGTTTATGGTTGCTGGCAGCGAACAGCAGATCATTAATGGTAGAATTTTTTTGAGGTTTAAGAAAATCCGTGTAAATGCTCTGTCGCTTTGGCTACGGTTTACCTTACCCCCCCGGTTAGAGTTTTAGCTATAACTTTGTTATTTTACATTACTGTAGGCTTAAATTGAAACTCGTAGTATATTTTTCGACGCTCTATCGAATGGCGTTGCAAAAATCCCGTCAAAATAAGCGAAAATGCCGAAAACTTTGGACCCTTCGGCCGGGGGGTAAAGCAAACTCTTACCATAGCTTTAGCGTCAACATAATTCGATTTGCAAGAACCTTTTAGCTTTTTTGATCTGGCTAACCGATTCTATCGCTTTAGTAAAATTCGAAAATCCTATATAAGTATTTTATTTTGGATTTAGCAACCAAAGCCATCGAGACGTGGGCCGATGAGCTTTACGTAAGCCCTTCGGCGCTTTTTAAAATGATTGTATTCTTTGCAGCAAATTAAATGGTACAACGCGCCGATGTTTGACATGGGGATTGCAATTGAGAATATCAAGAATGCCACGCAGGTTTTATACTTTCTATTTTTAAATGATTTTACAAATCTGAAACTGCCCTGAATACTGCTGATTTTCAGATGATTTGGTGGAACCTGAAGCTAGTCGGCTGCGGCGGTACGCTTTGTAATGGCGGGACGAGGGTGATATTCGTCTGCCGGTATTCAGAGACGTGAGTTGACCGTTGTGATAGCGTCCACGTCGCATGCGTTTCCATCGAATTGCGTAATCTTGCGTAAATTGCTATCATCGAATGATGTCAAAAACCAGCGCCCAAAACGCGCTTCGCGGGCCTTGGGCGCTGGAATGCGGCCATTGCATGAAAAGTTTAATTTTCTGATAGCTTGGGTCCTGCAGACCTCGCCCCACCCCCCCGACCACACGGGCAAGTGCGACTGGCAAGAATGAGAAAATTTGTTTTTTTCGCATGATGCAAATTGGCCCTCCCGGACCCCAAAAATGAATAAAACCGTCTTTAACTTTGTAAACTGGTAGTTTATCGAAGCTTTGAAAACGCCATCGGAAACAGAAGGGTCGATTCCCCCGGTGTGCAAAGAATCAGAGCGTTTTATGCACGGGAAGGCCTTCAAATCGGGCCTCGAAAGTTTCATCCACACACCCAAACACAGAGATACACTCCAAAATTATCTAACAAGGAGTGCTTTTTTTGAGTCATCGGCAAAACCTTACGAGACCTAGCTCATTCGATAGAGAATTCGATTCTGAACAAAACCCCGTTGTTCTTTTTTGCAGAACTGCTATCCCTGATTTTATAAAATTTTAAAACTGCACCCAAAAGCCTCCCTTTCGGCTCGAAAGGCACTCATGGTAAGAGACGGGCACTAGTATTTTAATTTTATAAAATCAGGGTTAGCCATTCTGCAAAAAAGAACAACGGGGTTTTGTTCAGAATCAAATTCTCTATCGAATGAGCTAGGTCTCGATGGGGATTTGCCGATGACACCCAAAAGGCACTCCTTGTAAGGTAGGATCATAATGTCAAAATATCCTAATTTCGAAAATCAGGATGTCGAAAGTTTTTTGCGGGTATATTGGCCTATGCAAATTTCGACATTCTGAAATTTCGACATCGTGAAATTCTGACATTATGAAATTTCGGCATTATGAATTTCGGCAGTTTGAAAATGAGCCGTTTTGTCCCTATTTCTATGTGAAAATGCCTGAGTTTCGAAAATTTTGATTTTATTTCTGGAAACCTCGGTTCTGGTTCGTTAGCGTGGGTGTGGGATTTGGGGGGGGGGGGCGGTTTTTCGTCAGTAGCTTACCGAAAATCCCAAAAAAAATAGCATACCAACCCACTTTTCAGGGATATTTTGCTTTATGATTGTTATAGCTTTATTAAACAATATTGTTTATGTAAAATTAAAATCCTAGTATATTTTTTATGCTCTTCCGGGAGGCAATTAAATGGTCCCTAAAAACATTGAAACATTAAAAAGGCAACGACACCCCGCCCCTCCCGGATAAACGCCCCCCCCCCCCGTTAATGAACCAGAACCGAATCCTCCGGCATGTATATAATAATTTTAGCTGCTTTCGTTATTAAATTGACCTGAAAACTTTAGGGGACTCATCATCGGGAACAATTCGTACCCGACGGGCCCCCCTCTGCTCGGGTTGTGGTCGTGCGCCGAGGTGGCGGTGTAATCGGGGATTGTGCGACGGTCGCCCTTACGACGGCAAAGAGAATAACTATTGATAAATTTGTATCGTTACGCATTCCAAATTACGTCTTAACTTGTATCAGTGCATACATTTTCTTCCAATGTTTCAAGTTTTTTACCGGTTTTGAACATTTTGGAATTGATTGAAATGACTATCACTATTTTTGACTTTTTTTATTATATACTTTACTAAATTTTAATTAATTTAATTCAGGCATTACTTTGTGTTTATACCACGAAATATTTAGAAACAGGATTTCCCGAAACCTGCATTTTTCGAAAGTTTTCGTTAAAAGTTTCTTTTCCATGTATATTGTCAAAGGTTTCTGTTCGTGTAGAAATCGGTACAATTCTCTTAGCAGGGGGGATTTTAGCGGATTGAATGCTCAGTCGTTTTAATTTTTTTGCCAACATTAGCTTTTCACCGCAAAAAAAAAACCGGAAAAAATATTCTGCCCAGCTCTAAGAAGTTAGCTAGATTGACTTCGCCAGGGAGGTTCCTACCCTCCCCCCCCCGTTAATAGTCTAGTACCGTATAATTCCTGCATTTTTTCCGACACATCCGGAAACCTAGAACGAGCTCTAAAACCGCCCGACCAGCCCAGGAGCCCAGGAGCTAATCCTGCCCGCCCCGGATTTTCGGCGGCTGGGCAGCGGAATGGCATGCTACAAATCCGCCCAGTTTTTACTGGTCTCTCGAAAAACCAGGAAAAATTGCCGGTGGACTTTAGGCTTTAGCTGAATGGCCAGAAAAACGTGCTCGCCAACGAAAAGAAAGTTCTGGGGTAGCATACATAGCGAGAAAAATTCTCCAGCTCTCTCTCTCTCTCTCTCTCTCTCTCTCTCTCTCTCGCTCTCCCTCTCGCTCGCTCTCTCGCCCTCTTTCCTCCCTATCTCTTTCTCTCTCAGCTCTCTCTCTCTCTCTCTCTCTCTCTCTCTCTCTCTCTCTCTCTCTCTCTCTCGCATTTTCCTCCATTGCTTAATTTGCATTTAAAGGAAATAATACTGGCTCGAAAATTGACCCTGGCTCGACAAAAACTTCTCGACAAGCCATAGCCTTATGGACATTACTTTTAAGCGAAAATGATCTGCCCTTACAACCGTCTTTCCACATTTTCCGTAGTGTCCAGACCTAGCCGCTCGAAGGGGTCGATTTTTGGACTCCCTGGTCCCTTTACGACCGCTTCTGGATAGTAGATTTATAACCTCTTCCTTTTTTTGATGCCTTTTAGTTTTTCCATTGGTATGCTCTTTTTCAAACTTTAAAACCTTTATCCCAACCTCGCCCCAAATCAGGGGAAGAGGCGAATAAATGAAGATCATATATGTACAACAATCACAATAAACGCATAAACATGTTGAGAAATGAGCAAAAGCAAAATAAGTGAGGTCAAATCAGATAATCGAATCTATGAGGAAAAACATCTTCTGGTCGGCCTTATTCGATCTGGAAGGCGTGGCACGTCGTCCGCTTGTGCGTCACCGAGCAGAACTGCGTGGCGTCACCCCTAAAAAACGTTAAAATCACGGTATTCCAATCGTAGCTGCGTAGTTTGTATACATTTTCTCCTCGCCACAAAGCGCAACCCTTGAAAGGTCTCGAAAATGTAGCGCAGTGTATGGTACCTAACCTAACGTATCGCATCGTACAGCATTATAACGTATTTTTACGCGTCGTAAGCTTTCCTGTTTGACCGCAATTACTGGCATTGGTTAGAACGGTCTTTTAATAAAACCGTAGCGTAGCTTTTTTGACGTATTGTATCCTTTTGTATTGTTTCGAAATGTAACGCAACTTAAAGCGCCGTAACTGACAACGCTTCACGAGCTCACGAAAATTTTGGCGCAGTGCATAGAAGATCAGTCGTAACGCACAGTTGCATATTTTGAGGTAGCGTTCCGTATCCCAATAATTACCTCCACGCAGCCGGAACGTCAGTGTTGGGTCCGCAGAGCACCAGCCAGCGGCCGTTCGTTCGGGCGGCCAGCTCGCTGTGGAGTGGGGCGGTGATGTCAGCAACTTTGGTGTAGTCCTCGAGGGTGTCCAGGTGCTAAAAACATGGTTTAAAGGGGCCAGTAAGCCGCACAATCAACCCCTTCCACGACCTCGGTGTCGAAGATGACAGCGAAAAAATGCAGTCAACATGGCAACTAGTCAACATGAACTGTCGAATTTTGCGCTTCCTACCTCTTTTAAGGAAACCTCAGCAGACACAAAAAGCAGCAGAAACGCGATTTCTCGTAGATTACCGTACCTTGGCGAGGATGGCCTGGGCGGCGGGGCTGTTGCAGGTCTGGTCAGCCGTGGACGACTTCACCAGAAGAGCGGAACTAAAATTAAGTGTAATATATACTTTTCGGAGATTTTACAGGTTTTAGAAGAGCTAAAAAGCTTTAAACTTACCGCTTCTTCCTTCCGCATCCACATGGTGAGGGCATCGGGGGAAGGCAGAGAGAGGGTAGCTTAATCGGTGGCATACATCCGCATGGTGGTGGTGGGGGAGGGAGACAGGGCATCGGAGGAGGAGGCGGGAGGCACAGCTTCGGGGGTGGAGGGAGCGAGAGACCGCATCTAAAAATGAAGGTTAAGTCCAGTTAAAACACACATTCAGTTTTTTATACCTAGTTTAACCCTAAACACTCAATCTAGAAATTTTGTAAAAAGTCACAATTCGGGAGTTCAGAAACTGTAAGCCCTGCAATTTTCATGTCGTAAACTACACTGGGCCTCAGCTGGTCGGGCTAGCGAAGGTATTTTTAAAACTTAAATTGTGAAATCTTTTTTTTAGGGGAGTTTGATCTTTTTATTTCATTTTTAACGACTCATCCGACTAAAAAACCTTACCCGCATCCTCCACCACATCCGCCACCGCAGCCACCGCCGCCACCGAATAGGAAAGCGCTTGAAAGGGGGAGGAGGGCGAGAAGGAGAAGCATGTTTTGCACTGGAAATCATGAATATAGATAGGCAAGTACCGCTGTTTGGAAAACGATTGAAGAGTGAAAAGTAGGCGGAGCGACAAAATGATTCCACGATTTTGTACCAAGCATAGCTCTAATTTTAACTTTCCGAAGTCGCTCTTTTAACTGCTGGATACAAATTAAAGCCGAAACAAACAGGCAATCCACAATCACAATTTGAAAGGGCCCGGGAAGTTACGAAAAATCTGGAAACTGTCGCCCGAAAGCTAAAAAATGGACGCCTCACGGCGAGACCACTTTAAAGCTAAGAAAAAGGGGTCTAGGAACTCCAAGGAAAGCTACCAGAGACGGCTGGCCGTGCCGAAAAATATGACCGGGCAGGATGCCCTTGGGGTCGCTTTATAGGGAAGACACATCGCGGATACGGTACTTCGTTCCGAGCGCAACGAGGGAAAGCGGCTCCGCCCCCTTCCTTGCCTGCCCTCCGGCATCCTTTTTCCGGGGTTTCTCTGTCTCTATCTCTCTCTTCCTGGGTTTCTTCTTTTTTCCTCCAAATTTGCGTGCTTTTCGAGGAAAATCGCCGCTGTGTCGTCATGATGGGCAAGTTTTTGTGAGGGAAAATCTGATGACGCAGTGGCTCTCAAAGTCATGCACCTGTGAAAAAACTTGTGGAAATTGTTGAATGCGACGTTAATTTTTTAGCCACGGAAGCTCGGCTCTTTTATCTTATCGGGGGTGAAGGCGGAATAGTTTTTCGGGGGAAGGGGGAAACCCAGATTTTTCTTGTATAATTCTAGAACTGTCTGGTGGCTTAAAAAGACGTATTTTATGTAGTAGTGGGCTTAGTTAATATATAACTATTTTTTTATCGAAAAAACTATCTTAAAATTGTTTAAATTCCAGGTTTTGCTCGAAAAGCGCATTTTTCCAACAAAAAAAAAATCGTTTTTTTTTTGCATCTCTTAATTAAAATTTAGAATGTTTTTGAGTTCAGCAATAGTCAAATCCTACTATATATAAAAAAATAGTGTTTGTGTGTGTGTGTGTGTGTGTGCATTTGCAGGCAACTTCCGTCACAGTGTTCCAGTAGTATCTCAAGAAGGGAAGTGCTTAGGGGTATGTATGATACGTCATTAGGTGCGTAATGGGCTGGAGATGGCTGCACGCATATTAGATTTTACAAAATATGATGTTTTCGACATTAAAATTAAGTTTTTCATGGAAAATCGGACACCCCAATTTGTTAGGATCAAATTAGCATGCACCGGAAGTCGCGGTAGCCTATTTCATTTTTTGTCATTTTTCAGACGAGACGGCGAGACTGTTTCCTCTTGCCTGGAGGCGCTCTCAGGTTTTTTTTTTCTTAGCGTAATCGGTTGGCTTTGTGCCAATTGTCGGTGAGGTCTTATCGACAGAGCTGCACTCTGTCCCTTTGAAGCCGTCAGTACCGATTTCCTTCCCCGCTTTGTTCTTTTACCACTTCACATTAATGCTTTTTTTCAAGCCAAGCCTGTCATCCTCCTCATCACCAACCGGTTACGCATCTCCAAAAAAACCCAGAAGAACTCCTTGTAGGTGCCGCCGATAATCTCCTTACAGGGCCATTACACGGCGCCACCCATCATGACATGCCTTGGGGCTACGTTTGTGGGGATGCCGTCCAGGGGAGTGGAATGGCCTCGAAAAAGGGACACTTTCGAGAAGGAGGAGGACAGAGGATGAAAGGAACAATCCCATCCCATCTCCATATGCCCCTCAAGGTTCATGGAAGGGAGGGCGAGAGAGAGAGAGAGAGAGAGAGAGAGAGAAAGAGAGAGAGAAAGAGAGAGAGAGAGAAAGAGAGAGCGAAAGAAAGAAAGGGAGTGCGAGAGAGAAAGAGAGCGAGAGAGAGAAAAGTACAAAGCGCCCAATTACTCATGCAAATGTGGGTTTTTTTTGTAGCTTTTCTCACTCTCTCTCTCTCTCTCTCACTGGCTTTCTCTCTCTTTCTCTCTCTCTTTCTCCTCGAGCTTTCACCCTCTTTTTTCCGATAGGATCCTGTATACAGGAGACTGTTGTGGCGCGCCTATCCCATTTTAGGATCGTGATGGTCACTCTCTCTCACTCTCTTGCCCCTCTCTCTCTGTGTCTCCCGCTCTCTCGCTCTCTCTCGAGCTGAGAAAATGCCCTTGGGCGGATCGGGGAAACTGAAGCGTTGTTGTTTTTCTCTGAAACTTTGGGGACTGAAATTTACGAAATTTCCCCTCTTTTATTGCCATAAGGGATTTTTTATTGTTTTATTCAAATTACCTTTTGATGATGCCTATAGTCAGAATGCGAAAAAATTAATGACATTGGAGTTTATATGGGCAAATCTGTTTTGTTCGTTTAGATCGAAAGCTTGTGGCGTTTCAACGTTTTTCAGGACAGCAAATTAAAACTTTACAAATTTATTATAAGTTTTATTACATAAATACATCGCGAAGATAAAGAAAAATTAGAAGACAAATTAAAGCAAATCAATACATTGCCAGGTATCCGTAAGAAGGTTCAGGTTGGAAAAATGGTGCTCAAAACTGAGATTAGATGCAGTAGCTAAAGGTATCAAGAAAAACCCGAATGCTAGAAAGAGACACGGAAAAGTAAGGTATATTACAATTTAATAAGATTACGGTTTCTCAGGGGCATCAGCAAGCTTTGGGGTAGCAGAAGCGACTCGTTCAATGGGGATGGCTCGGGATTGTTCGACAGGTTTCGGGGCGATGAGTGGGGCTTCGATCGACAATTTCCCGTCCTCCGATAGGTGGCTGCTGAACTGCTCGATGTCGACGTTCTCCGGGATTCGGAAACTCTGGGAGAACGAGCGGCGGACGGAACCCTGGAAAAATATGGTCAATTTCGTTAAACTCAGTTACCTTTTGTATTTATTGACATTTTTACAGTTTTACAAATTTTTGAAACGAATAAATTAGAGAAAAATCTGTTTTCGCTACGTTAGCCTTAAAAAAATCGAAAGATTATGCTTACCTCTTCAGTCTCCTCATTGTGCTCTCCATTTACGGTCAACATCCGATCGACGAGGCTGATCTTCAGCTCTTCCGGCTTGAACTCGCCGACGTTGATGCCGACAGAGAAGCCGTTGTCCGTTAGGGAAACCTGAAACATTGGGGTTAAAATGTATTAGGTACGTTTTAGACTACAGTAGCTCTAGTATTGTAATCTGAGAGAGAAAAAAGCGAGAGAGAGAGAGAGAGAGAGAGAGAGAGAGAGAGAGAGAGAAAGCAAAACGACATCTTGAGTACTCATCGAAAACCAGGTAACACTGAATCAATCTCAAAAATGCCCAACCTGTTTCTGAGCCTCAGCCAGCTCTCCAAAAGTGTCTTGGAGCAGTCCGGCCCAAGGAAACGAGCGCTCCAAGGCGTTCATCGTACGCATCATCTGATTCAATGGATGAAGCTGACGACGATGGTAGAATGGAGCAGAAGTGGGAAAGAGAATTAGTGACATATTGTAGGTAGAATACGGTAGCTTTGAGTGTTTTTCGAGATTTCGGTAAGTTGTGGAATTGGACCTGGTGCTTGGCTTATATAGACTAGGGGCCTGGGACCGGGCAAAGGGCAGAATGTTCCCGAAGTCTCCCGAATTTCCGCGCTCCCTCTACCCCTTTCCGGCGTGTGTCTCTCACCTGGCCGTGCTATCTCCCTCCACCCTGCCAGCTGCATGGGGTAAATAGGGGTGTTCCGGAAAATTCTGTAGAAAGGGAGTCTATAAAGAAGTTGAATGCAAATCAAAAGAGCTTGAGTACAATGCCATAAATTCAGGAACAATCAAATGCAGCAAAATTACATTCTGGAGCCAAGAAAAGTTTAGCGCTTTCTCAACGATTTGCATGAACCTTTTTTGCTTTTCGAAATTTTAAAAATAGACAAAGGCTAAACAGAATGAAACTCGTGCTGAAAGAAATCGGGGGTTAAGGGCAGAATTCAGATAGGTTTTTTACCTTACGGTAGCTTACGCTGCGACCTAGTAGATTACTATACTTGTGGTGCTGTACGCTAGATTACGCTACATACGATACCTAAGATTACCCTACGCTTACGGGACCATGTGATAAGCTACGATGCCTTACGCTAACTTACACTACCTCAGGATAAGCTACGATGCCTTAAGATACATTACGATAGGTCATAATAGCATGCTTCCTGCATCTAAGATACGATACCTTACGGAACCGGACGATACTTTACGTCGCCTTCCGATGCACGCTAATGAAGATATTTTTAATGCTTTTTTTAGATAATAGCATCTTCAAGGGTTAATAATTAAAACATTTTGAACTTTAGTAGTGGGCATTAAAATTGACGTAATTTTAGGACTTTGTCTTCATGAATGAAATGGCGCATTTTGACAGGGAACGGATTCCGGAAAGGATTGCACACGCCAAGGGAGGAGGTGAGTAATAAAAATTTTCTGGTATAATCTTTTATATTTTATTGTTTGATACCTTTATGTTTCTACCATTGTCTTTTCAGTTCGCTTAACGTTCAGGTGCGCATGGCTTCCTCGAAATCACGCACGACATCTAAATATTGTAAAGCCCATTTTCTCGCGGAGCTCGGCAAGAAAATCTTATCTACGAAATCTAATCTAATCTACAACTTTGTTCGTTTAGATCGAAAGCTTGTGGCGTTTCAACGTTTTTCAGGACACCAAATTAAAACTTTACAAATTTATTACAAGTTTTATTACATAAATACATCGCGAAGATAAAGAAAAATTAGAAGACAAATTAAAGCAGATCAATACATTGCAAGGTATCCGTAAGAAGCTTCAGGTTGGCAAAATCGGGGCTAAGTAATCCAGTAGCTAAAGGTATTTGGCAAATCAGGAATGGTAGGACGGGAAGAAGAACAGCAATATTACAATTTCAGGGCAAAATTACTGTTTCTCAGGAGCATCAGCAAGCTTTGGAGTAGCAGAAGCGACTCGTTCAATGGGGATGGCTCGGGATTGTTCGACAGGTTTAGGGGCGACCAGTGGGGCTTCGATGCATAATTTCCCGTCTTCAGATAGGTGGCTACTGAACTGCTCGATGTCGACGTTCTCCGGCACGCGGAAACTCTGGGAGAACGAGCGGCGGACGGAACCCTGGAAAAAATATGGTTAATCCCGTTCAAATAAGGTCCTTTTTCTTTCTCGATGATAGTTTTGAAATTTCTTAAAAAATAATTTAATTCAAAAAGATTAGTTTTACGCTACGGTAATTTTAAAACATTTAAAAATCTTAATAAAATAGAGAAAAGCAGTTTTTGGCTACGGTGTTTTTTCAATTTTTTGAAAATTCACGCTTACCTCTTCAGTCTGCTCATTGTGCTCTCCATTTACGGTCAGCATCCGATCGACGAGGCTGATCTTCAGATCTTCCGGCTTGAACTCGCCGACGTTGATGCCGACAGAGAAGCCGTTGTCCGTTAGGGAAACCTGAAATATTGGGGTTAAAATATTAGGAACATTTTAGGCTACATTAACTCTAGTAATGTGGACCTAACGAGCTAGAGACAGAAAGAGAGAGAAAGAGAGAGAGAGAGAGAGAGAGAGAGAATGAGAAAGAGAGCGAGAGAGAGTTCGGCAAGAGAGAGAGGGGCGAGCGAGAGAGAGAAAACTAGACCCACAGTATCCCGAAAAATAAAATAAAATCCCTAGCTCAATCTCAAAAATGACCAACCTGTTTCTGAGCCTCAGCCAGCTCTCCAAAAGTGTCTTGGAGCAGTCCGGCCCAAGGAAACGAGCGCTCCAAGGCGTTCATCGTACGCATCATCTGATTGAACGGATGCAGTTGACGGCGGTGGTAGAATGGAGTAGAAGTTGGGAAGAGAATTAGAGACATTTTGTGGGCAGAATACGGTAGCTTTGAGTGTTTTCGAGATTTGGGTATGTTGTGGAATTGGGGCCGTGGCCTGTCTTATATAGGCTAGTGGGCCTGGGATCGGGAAAGGGCAGAATGTTCTCGAAGTCTCTCGAATGGTCGCGCTCTCTCTACCCCTTTCTGTCTGGGATCTCTCACCTGGGCGTAGTATCTCGCCACTACCCTGCCAACTGCTTGGGGGTAAATAAACGTGGAGTTGCAGGTTATTCTGGAAAATTCGATAGAAATGCGGAGCTATAAACAAGACTGAGGAAAATAAGAACAACGGATGAATTTGGCCGGATATTGAGAACAATACTTTAAATAAACGGAGAAATTCAAACCGAAAAATTAGGCATGCGAGTGATTATTGGACTTTTTAAAATGTATCAGGTTGGAACGAAAATTCTGTCGTCGAGATTTTGGAAGGCTGGCTAAATTCGTAGATAGCTCCATTCTGAACTTGCAATGTGTCATTTTGTAGCTCTCGGCCTGAATGGTTCCGGGAGGAGGGTCCTGGGCCCTCAAAATCAGAAACGGCCGAGATACAGGCCAAAGAAGATTTTTCAAAAATTACAAGAAAGTGTTTTTGCAAGTTATCTTTGCATAGAGACATTTGCATGCGATACCTTTAACGCCAATCGATAGCCCTCGAGGAGTAGATATCGATAGATGTTGAGATCGTCAAAATTGGACACTGGATGGCCGAGATATAGCCTCTTGAAATTTGGCCCATTCTTAGAACTTTTCTCGATTTCCCATACATTTCCAAAAATTTGACGGACAGGTGCCGAAAATTACCACTTTATTTTTGGACTAGCAGAGCGGATTTTGAAAAAATGTATGGGAAATCGAGAAAAGTTCTAAGAAATGGGCCAAATTTCAATTGGCCATATCTCGGCCATCCAGTGTCCGATTCTGATGATCTCAAGATCTATCGATATCTACTCCTCGAGGGCTATCGATTGGCGTTAAAGGTATCGCATGCAAATGTCTCTATGCAAAGATAACTTGCAAAAACACTTTCTTGTAATTTTTGAAAAATCTTCTTTGGCCTGTATCTCGGCCGTTTCTGATTTTGAGGGCCCAGGACCCTCCTCCCGGAACCATTCAGGCCGAGAGCTACAAAATGACATATTGCATGTGCAAAATGGAACTATCTACGAATTTAGCCAGCCTTCCAAAATCTCGGCGACAGAACTTTCGTTCCAACCTGATAGAAACAATGCGAGAAGACATTCCCCGGCGAATGAAACAAGTGATGCGTAAAACCGTGCTTGAGGAAACAAACAAGATGACTGATCTTGCCTTACGATAGGTTACGTTGACCTACAGTACCTTAGGATACGCTGCCTCACCCTACCTTTGCGATACCTTACGCTATTGTACGCCGGTCTCCGATGTACTACGCTACTTAGGCGCTACCTTACGCACTGTACGATGCCTTACGATAGCCTAACTTAAGCCGCCTTACGGGGCCTTATGGAAATTTACGTTGACGTACAGGGTGTCCCGATAGAAAAACCGGAATCATATTTACACCATTCAAAAGCCCTTGAAACGGCCAGTTTGCAACAACATTCAAAACCAAGTTTTGATCTAAACCAGCTAATTCAAACCATTTTGCAAACCTTTCCGTTTCTTCAGGGTTGCATACGAGCTAATTTTCCTCAAGCCTCTGAATAGGGATGCCTTCCAACTTACCACCGAGTTTCGACTTGAAAAATTGTGAGCTTATAGAGTTTGAGCTTGCAATTCCGATGCGCTAAAAATTTCAACAAATCGTCCATAGGCGGCTGAGAAATAACAAGTTTAATTTTGGCAAAAATGCATGATTTTTGCGCGTTTCGTCCCCGCCGGCACTGAACGGGGCGCGTTTCTTAAAGTTTTTCCCCTAACTTTTTGCGTTTGTTTTAGGATGCTTTAGTGAAGGATGAAGAAACCCAGGAAAAGCTCTGGAGCATTTCTATGAACAGAGCAAGACATTTTATCAGATGAGAATTTTCACAGCCCGCTTTCCTTTGATTCCGAGAGAGAATACAAAATAATAATGCAGGCAAAAAGTTAGGGAAAAAACTTTCAAAAGGTTGTTAAAAAAGTTGGTGGCCGGAATTGAACCCCCGACCAAAAATTTGGGGGGTAGGAGCACTACCTCTCGGCCACGCTGCCATGCCGGAGGGGTGCCAGAGAGGCCTCTTCTCCGCACATCCCGTTCAGGGCCGGCGGGACGAAACGCACAAAAGTCATGCATTTTTGCCAAAATTAAACTTGTTATTTCTCAGCCGCTTATGGACGATTTGTTGAAATTTTTAGCGCATCGGAATCGCAAGCTCAAACTCTATAAGCTCACCAATTTTCAAGTCGAAAAGGATACGAAGAATACCTCCTTAGATATTTTTAGTAGTTCAGCTAAGCCAAAAAAGCACTAAAGACTAACAAACCTCTAAATTCCAGCCCTGATATTAGATATCTGCAGCCTTCGGAGCACACCCGGGGGTTTTGCACCCTGTTTGCACCTGCAATTGTTGTCCACAACACTCCCCACTTTCGGCCCCGTACTTGACAACCACCGTCTATGCTTTTTCACTATAGTAGACCGCCAATGATAAAAACTCACGGAAAAAGCACGTTCCCCTCCAGGTCCGGTTTTTTGTAAACTCCCAATGTTTTCCTTATCCACTCCGTATCCTGCACTTTTTTATGGGATTTAAGGCCCGATCGGGAACAGGCCGTTTCCAGGTTTTAGATAGGTTTTTGGATTCTTTTGTTTCTTAATTTTTCCTGTCTGATCTCTTGATTTGTACGATTTGATTTCCAGAAAAATGCCCGAGAAACCGACTTTCATAACAAAAAGCTGCCATCCGACGTCCAGCTCGAGATGTTCCGGCAGGACAATCCGGTTTGTCATTTTTTTAAAGATTTTTTGAGATTTTGGCTTTTAAGGTACGGCCGAGTCCGCTCTATTTTGACGGTTCAATCTTTTGCCCATTTTCACAACAGTCTAAAATTCAATCTCTGGAAATGTGAATTTGCTGACACTTTTGTATAATCGACAATAAAAATTTTAGTTACACTGAATTTTGCTGCTATTTTGCTATTTCCAAAACGCACGTCTGCTACCAACGATCTGATCAAGCCTACTTTACCTACTTCAGGAACCCAGCTTCATCACAACCAGCGCCGGCGCTCCGATCCCTGAGAAGAAAGCTGTGCTCATGGCTGGGCCAAGAGGCCCGGTTTTGATGCAGATAAGTGCATTAAGGGGATGGTTACGTCAAATTTTGAATTTTAGGACTTTGTCTTCATTAATGAAATGGCGCATTTTGACAGGGAACGGATTCCGGAAAGGATTGCGCACGCCAAGGGAGGAGGCGAGTAATAAAAATTTTCTGGTATAATCTTTTATATTTTATTGTTTGATATCTTTATTTTTCTACCATTGTCTTTTCAGTTATCTTAAAGTTCAGGTGCGCATGGCTTCCTCGAAATCACGCACGACATCACTAAATATTGTAAAGCCCATTTTCTCGCGGAGCTCGGCAAGAAAATCTTATCTACGAAATCTAATCTAATCTACAACTTTGTTCGTTTAGATCGAAAGCTTGTGGCGTTTCAACGTTTTTCAGGACACCAAATTAAAACTTTACAAATTTATTACAAGTTTTATTACATAAATACATCGCGAAGATAAAGAAAAATTAGAAGACAAATTAAAGCAAATCAGTACATTGCAAGGTATCCGTAATAAGGTTCATGTTGAAAAAATGGTGCTCAAAACTGAGATTAGATCCACTAGCTAAAGGTATCAAGAAAAACCCGAATGCTAGAAAGAGACACAGAAAAGTTAGGTATATTACAATTTAATAAGGAAATTACTGTTTCTCAGGAACATCAGCAAGCTTTGGGGTAGCAGAAGCGACTCGTTCAATGGGGATGGCTCGGGATTGTTCTACGGGTTTCGGGGCGATGAGTGGGGCTTCGATCGACAATTTCCCGTCTTCAGAGAGATGGCTGCTGAACTGCTCGATGTCGACGTTCTCCGGCACGTGGAAGCTTTGCGAGAACGAGCGGCGGACGGAACCCTGGAAAAATATGGTCTCTATGATCTCCTGTCTTTTTTTCTCCATGATAGATCTAAAATGTCTCAATTTCAAAATTCAAAAAGATTAGTTTTACGCTACGGTAATTTTAAGAAAATTTAAAAATCTTAATAGGATAGAGAAAAGCAGTTTTTGGCTACGATGGTTTTTAAATTTTTTGAAAACTCACGCTTACCTCTTCAGTCTCCTCATTGTGCTCTCCATTTACGGTCAGCATCCGATCGACGAGGCTGATCTTCAGATCTTCCGGCTTGAACTCGCCGACGTTGATGCCGACAGAGAAGCCGTTGTCCGTTAGGGAAACCTGAAATATTGGGGTTAAAATATTAGGAAAATTTTAGGCTACATTAACTCTAGTAATGTGGACCTAAAGAGCTAGAGACAGAAAGAGAGAGAAAGAGAGAGAGAGAGAGAGAGAGAGAGAGAGAGATAGAGAGAATGAGAAAGAGAGCGAGAGAGAGTTCGGCAAAAGAGAGAGGGGCGAGCGAGAGAGAGAAAACTAGACCCACAGTATCCCGAAAAATAAAATAAAATCCCTAGCTCAATCTCAAAAATGACCAACCTGTTTCTGAGCCTCAGCCAGCTCTCCAAAAGTGTCTTGGAGCAGTCCGGCCCAAGGAAACGAGCGCTCGAAGGCGTTCATCGTACGCATCATCTGATTGAACGGATGCAGTTGACGGCGGTGATAAAATGGAGTAGAAGATGGGAAGAGAATTAGAGACATTTTGTGGGCAGAATACGGTAGCTTTGAGTGTTTTCGAGATTTGGGTATGTTGTGGAATTGGGCCCGTGGCCTGTCTTATATAGAACCACGGGCTTGGTGTCCGGGAAGGGGCAGAATGTTCTCGAAGTCTCTCGAATGGTCGCGCTCTCTCTACCCCTTTCTGTCTGGGATCTCTCACCTGGGCGTAGTATCTCGCCACTACCCTGCCAACTGCTTCGGGGTAAATAAACGTGGAGTTGCAGGTTATTCTGGAAAATTCGATAGATGCGGAACTATAAACAAGGCTGAGGAAAATGAGAAAAACGGATGAATTTGGCCGGATATTGGGAACAATTCTTTAAATAAACTGAGAAATTCAAACCGAAAAATTAGGAATGCGAGTGATTCTTGGACTTTTTAAAAAGTAGCAACAATGTGACAAGACATTCCCCGGAGAATGAAACAAGTGATGCGTAAAACAGTGCTTGAGGAAACCACGAAGATAATTTATCTTGCCTACGATAGGTTACGTTAACCTACAGTACCTTAGGATACGCTGCCTCACCCTACCTTTGCGATACCTTACGCTATCGTACGCCGGTATCGTACCTCTAAACTTCAGCCCTGATGTTAGATATCTGCGGCATTCAGAGCACACCCGAAGCTTTTGCACCCTTTTTGCACCTACAGTTGTTGTCCACAACACTCCCCACTTCGCCTCGTACTTAACAACCGTTCTCTATTCTTTGTCACGATACGTGAAAAGCCAACAAAGATAAAAAATTCACGGGAAAAGCACGTCCCCAGTAGCGTCCGGTTTTTTTTGTAAACTCCCAATGTTTTCCTTATCCACTCCGTATCCTGCACTTTTTGATGGGATTTAAGGACTGATCGGGGGAATGCCGTTTCCAGTTTTTGGATATGTTTGTTGGATTCTTTTGTTTCTTAATTTTTCCTGTCTGATCTTTTGATTTGTACGATTTGATTTCCAGAAAAATGTCTGAAAAACCGACCTTCATAACAAACCAAAAGCTGCCATCCGACGTCCAGCTCGAGATGTTCAGGCAGGACAATCCCGTTTGTGTTTTTGCATGCTCTCGCTGTTTTTATAAATTCATAAATACCGAAAAAACACTTGTCGTTTTTGCTATTCGTAGTTTTTAGGAGCAAAATCCATGAAAACTGCGGATTTTCACAACCAGCTAACAGGACGATTTACGCTTTTTTTCAAAAATCGCTTTATATCAAATGCGGCTAAAAAATTCGGTAAAACAAAACGCACTGGTTTTTCGCCGTTTCGAGGGCTTTCGAATGGTGTAAAATCACCGCGATCCGATTTTTTTTGAAAACCCTGTAGCAATAAAACGTACTTTAGGAAACCAGCTTCATCACAACCAGCGCCGGCGCTCCGGTCCATCAGAAGAAAGCTGTGCTCACGCCTGGGCCAAGAGGGCCTATGCTAATGCAGGTTCATCATGAAAGGGATACGGACAGCAATTTTTCGGGTTTTAGGACTTTGTCTTCATGAATGAAATGGCGCATTTTGACAGGGAACGGATTCCGGAAAGGATTGCGCACGCCAAGGGTGGAGGTTAGAAATTAAAGATATGTTTGATTTTTCATCTCATGGCTTCTTGGCTAGCTAAATATATTCAACGAAGGAGAGCCTTTCTCCTTTCTGATTTTTCAGACCAGTTTTGGTATACCTTGTTATTTTGATGGTGTATTTTAAATTATGGGCCCGATCAGGTGCCCACGGATTCCTCGAAATCACGCACGACATCACAAAATATTGCAAGGCTCATTTTCTGGCGGAGCTCGGCAAGAAAACACCGTGTTTTATTCGACTCTCTACTGTTGGTAGGAAATAAGCGCCGTAATTAAAAAACTTGAAAAGTTGTCTTATAGTGGTCTTAGGCATTTTTAAGGTGACTAATAAATAGCTAGCCTGCAACTACCTTTTCGTCATCAAAATTGAGCAGTATTTGTAAATTCTAGCCGGCGATCAAGGCTCAGCGGATACGGTACGCGATGTGAGGGGATTTGCCCTGAAAGTGTACACCGAAGAGGGAAATTGGGACATGGTATGAAACGGAAATTTATAAAATATCCTTAAAATCAGGCTGGAATCAACACCCCAACCTTTTTCATCCGCGATCCAATCTTCTTCCCCTCCTTCGTCCACAGCCAACAACGCAACCCAAAGACGCATTTTAAGGTATACAAATTACGGTGTACTTGTTGGATTACGGTACCTACGGCAGGAACCAAGAGACAGGTTCTGTTGTTTGGCGTCTTTAGCATATCAAAATTTGCAAAGTAATTTTGAGATTTTTTTGTATGGCTTTTAAAAAGTATCAAAGGGTAAAACGTACTGTTTTGGCTGGCTAAACGGTTCTGATTAATTAAATTGCATTAATTTGAACATTTAGGACGTGAACGCAATGTTCGGCTTCTACAGCCTGCGCCCGGAATCGATACACCAGGTCAATTTTTTGTATAATTTTTTACGTATGTGTAATTTTTATCAGCAGATGGAGAAAACTGATCAAAAACGGTGTTAAGTTTAATACTTATTAATAAGGTAAAACACGTCTTTGCAATTCGCCAAAAAATATCTGGAGAATTTCCAACATATAACTTGACGTATTCTAGGTGCTGCTCCTCTACGGTGATGGGGGAATACCGGACGGTTACCGGCATATGGATGGATTTAGGTAATTTCTAGCTGATGAACTAATCATAAGGTATTTCTTGGGCGTTTTAATTTATAGTGACTAGATACCAATTTTTTTTTTGAATTCTATCAACTCATTTTAAATATTTTTATTTCAGCACGCACGCCTTCAAAATGGTCAACGCGCAGAACGAGCCATTTTATTGCAAATTCCATTTTAAAGTGGGTAAAACCACGTCTTGAATACTGATTTTTTTAGACAAAACAAGGCATCAAGTGGCTGAGCAACCGGAAAGCCAAAAAGATTGCCGGTGAGGACCCGGACTATGCCAATCGCGACCTCTACAATGCTATCGAACAAAGGGACTATCCGCAATGGGATTTTAAGATTCAGGTTTGAACTGGTTTCTAGTTTTTGAAGTGAGCGTTGATTGTATTTTTCGAAATTGAAGCATCGCAGCCGCGAAACTTTTACCAATTTTATTGATATACCAGCGCTGACCCCCCGCTACGCGGGGGTTCAGCGCTGGCCTTCTCACCCACAATTTGAATTTGGGATTTGAATGCAAAATTTGGCTGAATTCCCGGTCGGCGGTCGGGCGTACGGACATTAGAAATTTATATATAGTAGATTTTTATTTTAAATTCTAAGTTTGAAGAAAGCGGCGTTTTTCTGAACTTTCGCTATCGTTTTTGGTCGCAGTCTTTGCTTAAAAGCCCTAAGAAACTGTTTCTTTTCAGATTATGACCCAAGAACTAGCGGATAAATGTGAATTCAACCCGTTTGACATGACAAAGGTAGGCTACAACGGTAGGGGGAAACGGAGCGAATTTTACGCGTTGCTTGTGATCCGCGGTCGTTAAAAACGAGACACACGACGCGACCGTACGCGTTCACGAGAGTTTGCTGAAAGCGTTGCGACAATAGACATGATAAAGATTTTTGTAGATTTTTGTGTGCTTTAAAAGCAAAGATTTTGAGGTATGGCCCCACGGCGACTATCCCCTAATCCCAGTTGGCCGGTTGGTGCGGAACCGGAATCCAGAGAACTACTTCCAAGAGGTCGGCTACCATTTTATTCAATGTTTTCTGCAAGTTTTAGGTCGAGCAATCTGCTTTCTGCCCAGCTCACGTCGTGCCGGGAATTGAATTCTCACCGGACCGAATGTTGCATGTAAGTGGTTGTAGTTCGTAGCTAGGAATGCGGCAAAAAGTCATTTTGAGTCAGTTAGGAGAGAGAGAGAGAGAGAGAGAGAGAGAGAGAGAGAGGGCAAAATTGCAGGCTTTCAGGGCCGCGTCTTCTCCTACCCCGACACCCAATTTCACCGGCTCGGCCCGAATCACCAGCAATTACCCATCAATTCTCCATTCGCAGCTCGGGTCCAAAATTATCAACAAGACGGTGTCGCGTCGATACAACCAAAGGGTACCGTCAGCTTAAAAATTCATAGTACATATTTTAATTTTTAGGCGGTTGTCCTGTGTACCATCCGAATTCGTTCAACGGTCCGAAAGAGCTGCAGGTACTGTGATTGGCTTTGGAAAGTTGGCAAAGCTCTTTTCAAAGATAATTCGAAGAAAGATAATTTAAATATTGGCCTTCATAGCTCCCTGAAGGGGCTATGGAACAGGCAAAATCAACCCGTCGGTCGACTCGAGCTAGACAGCCACGTGGCACACCAAATCACACGTGTTTTGCTGCTTTGCGTAGCTGTCTAGACCCCGTCTGTGGACGGGTCGATTCCGAGCTTCCCGGTCCCTTTAAACTTTGAATCAAATCGCGATTCATTGCAGAACTCCCACACCAAAGAGCACGAATTCCCAGTGGAAGGCATGGCTGGTCGGTACGATCAGGGAGGGATTCAGAACTTCGATCAAGCTAGAGTATTCTGGAGAAAGGCGGGTAGATACTTTAATTTTCGAGGGCAGAAGCTCTGTCGTAACGATGGATGAAGCCGTAGAAGATACGACTTGAACGTACGGCATAATTCAATAAGCTTAGACCCTAAGCGATGATGAGCGAGAGCGACTCATTCAAAATCTGGTTGAAGATCTTCTGCTCTGCAATCCGGCGGTGGTGCAGCGATTCATAGATGTGGCTGGACAGGTGAGAGAGAGAGAGAGCGAGCGAAAGAGAGAGAGAGGGAGAGCGAGAGAGAGAGAGCAGTCGAGCACATCTTAGGTCTCCTCCGACCTGGCCGATCGCCTAACAGAACAAATGGCCGAGAAAGCCTTCGAGTCAGTAAGCGTTTTATTACACTCAAATGCTCGAAGAACGTATTTCCTTAAATTTCTAATGTACCATTCCAGAACGGATCCCGGAGCCATCTGTGAGGTGTGCGGGCGTATCGTCTCATACATGTGCCACTAGACGGCATTTGAATATTGATAATTTGCTATGATTTTTGATGAATAGTTTACCACAGCACACGATGGATGAAAATTACGATAGAAACGTTACAAAGTACTTATCAAATGGAGCCTGCTTTTAGCTCAAAATATAAATTTATTGGCCGAAACCAGAGGCTGAAGTTATATATTTTAACCGAAGACGCAATACGGAATCAGCTAGAAAGTGTTTGTTGTTGTGTGTTACAGTGCAAAAGCTTAGCAATTCGACTTCTTATTAATTTTGAAATTTTCGCTTTGAAAATCAACGTCTTTTGATCAAGAGGCTACATAATACACAGAAATTTCTATACAAATCCGAGTGATTGAAAAAAGGATGAAGTATTTTTTGCTGCGCCCCTTTTCCATGACTTTCTAATTAATATGGTCTACGGGGTGAGGCTTGAAAATCGGAAATCAGTGGGGTACTATATTTTATTTTCTGCTATCTACATTAGTAAAATTATGGAGGAACAACGATGCGCTGCCCTGTTAATGCCTCTAGCAAGTTATCAGCCACTAAAAGTTGCCCTGGCAGGACAGGTAAGTCAATCGAAAAAGCTTTCATTAATGCACCGGAAAGAACGTTCGGCCGCAACCATTGCCCATGCAGTCGCGTCGCGGATAAGACAGAGCACGCAACGCGCGCGACACGCCGCGCGAACGCAGAGCCATTCGCAACGGATCCTTTAATCACGTAATTTCCAAATTTTTCAGAGCCTCCTAGCCGTCATCGGTATCTATTCTTCTGTCAAAACGATACGCGCCTCTGCACGAGCGTATTTTCACTTGAATTGCAAGGTAGGAGAGAGAGAAAGAAAGAGAGAGAGAGACGGAGAAAGAGAGAAAGAGAGAGAGAGAGAGAGAGAGAGAGACGGAGAGAGAGAGAGCAAATTCCTCGCAGGTTTACCCGGTTTTTTAGTGCCTCATCATTGCCAATCTCGTATTTTACATCTTATACTGTGGCAGCGTGATATTGTCTTATGTAAGCTGGTTCAAAACAGTTCTTTTTTAGGCATATCTGGGTCAAGCCAACATTTTCAGATGACCCATTTCTTCCTCCTGTCCCTCCATCCCGGGTGTTTCTCGCTTTGCGGCCCGATATTTTGTCAATTTATCAACTTTTTCAGAAATTTTGGACAGTATGTTCAGCTGATTTTGAATTTATCTTTTCTACACATACGATTTTGATTGTTATTTTGCCATTTTCAGATACGAATTCTCGCTCCTCCACCTCGCCCTCGCCTTTGAGCGAATCCTGGCCAGATGCTATGGATCGGTCTATGAGAGGAAGAGCGGTTTTTATGGGTATTTATTGGTGGTGATTACGGTAGTTTTCTCACTACAAATTGTTAGTTTTTTGATAGATTTTTGTCAATCTCAGCCTCTACTCATGGGTGATTTCTCATGAAGATTGGAGACCAAGCAATGTCGTCCCATTTTGCTCGCTGACCAATCCGTATGTAACACCTTCAGCCTGGCTTTTTCAATGCTGTGGTCAATTTTTGCATCCTTTTTTATTGATCTTTTTTAGGCAAACAATGAGCGAATACAATTTATTACTAAACGTCAGCCTGGGAATCGATGTTTTTGGGCTGTGCATAAGTTCTGGCAGTTTTTTATATGAAAGAAGAAGGAATCGGTTTGTCTATTTTAATCTATTACTTTTACTTTGCTTTAAAGGGTTAATGAAGCCACCCTTTTTCGCCTAAAATACACACCTGAAACTTGAACAGAAGCACATCTTTTACTTTGTTTCCTATCCTATAGCTCTCTGTCTTTCTCTGTCTCTCTTGTCTCTCTCAGTCGCCCTCTCTCTCCCTCTCTCTCCCACTCTTTCTCCCTCTCTGTCACTCGCGCTCCCTTTCTTTGCCCCTGGCTAAGTTACCTTCCTCTTGCACATCGATAATCGGTCGTATCATACCGTGTTCATCAAGGCAAAATAGCCAAAAATACTGTAGCTTGGACAGCACAGTTCCCTGGAAATGGAAGTGTCTTTGAAAATACCGTCATTCCAAAATGCTAATTAGCAAAGACCAATAGGTGGCCTTAAGTTTTTCAGGGTAACCTACAATATCTCCCAACGATTCTCGGCTGTCGAACGCAAAACAGCTAATGGCGTTTTATTGGCCTTTTCCGGGATGCACTTTCTGTATTTCATGATTGCCGAGATTTACCTGTTCTTTGGTGAGACCTGGAAATTCTTTTCAAAGCTTCTTTTAGTTGGAAAATACATGACGAAGCCCGGAGAAGCGGTAAATCCACCAACGCGAGCTCTCTACGTTGGCACAAACGTGAGTTACTCTGTTAATATTTTAGGGCGCGCTATGCAGCCAAATTCAGTAATCAATCCCATTTTCTTTTACACAATGCGCTGATTGTGCTGCTGTTACGTAGGCATACAAATGACGCCATAAGTACTTGTTTTGTTTGGGTGTGAAAGCCATATGTCGCGTAGGTATTTGCCATTGGCGGATGGAAAAGACTGGTTAACTTTTGGAAAAATAGGAACTTGTAGCAACGGGATCCAGAATTCTATAGTATCTATAATTGAATAACTTTTACATTTTCTATAAATTACTGTGTTTAAAATCGCCGTAAACCTTTATAAAAAGGCTGACTTAAAGTCAGCATCCCCCACGCTAACAGCTCAGAACCTAAAATCCATACGCCACAGCGTCCAGCATACTAAGAAAAAGGTTCGCCGGGCGGGGACAGGATGGGGCGAGGCGAGAGAGTGGGCGGGGGTCGAGAGCCCAGAGATCCTCTCTGTTCTCTGCGTCTCTGCCCGGCGGCCTCCAGCCTCTTTTAGCCGGCGCCTGCCGCCTAAAGCCTGCCCCAACCACCATTGGCCGCCCCCAGGGTGCCTGCCATTGTGTCTGCGCTCCGCATGGCGTACCCTTGGGCCGCCCTTTTCTGAACCATGTGAAGCATACCTTGAGCATCCCTTTAAACTGATGCAAACTTCCAGATCGGCACCCTCTACTCGATATTCTCTAACCTGATGTTAATGTATTTATTGCGACGTCTTCACTACCGCCGAAAACAAAACTGGCGCCAAAAAATGGAACGATTCAACGACCCGTCAATCGCTCGAATCTCGTATATGGTCGGCTGGGAGGGACTACCCAAATAACAATCAGCACTGGTCAGAAATTTCATAGCAAGTCGTTGAGAGTAGTAATAAATCGAATCTTATGAGAATTTTGCGTGTATGACTGGCACATAAGCAAAAAGAAAGTCTATTACCTTCCAAGTAAGCGTTTGATTGGGTCAGAAAATAATTAAAAATGGCCTCTTCCGTTTTGTAAGTTTGTGAAAATGAAACAAGAGTTAATGTTTTGAATATAAAAATTGCGCTGTCTGGCAAAATTGACGTTTTTTGACCTGCCGAGATTTGGGTGCTCCCGGTTTTATAAATGGAATTGTGTGTATTTTGTGACGACTCTTCCTTTTCTCGAACCTGATCTATGTCTGCTTATCCAATAAGGCGACGGAAATCCGGGCCGAGAAACCAAATAGCAACCCATTTTCGGGCCGCCCGCAAAGGGTTTTTTTCACTTTCGCGAGCCGGCGCGCGTCAGCTTTTCCCAGAATCTAACTCCAGATATTCTTCACATTCCCAGGGCTATTAGAAGGCCACAGAAACGCAAGTCTGGAGAAACTTTTTGCCAAAACATGCTTACAAAGATCTACCATTTTTCATAATTAGGATTATGGAGTCCTTCACGGTGTTTGAAAATTACAGGTTAAAGAGCGTTTCTGCTGATTTGAATTTCTCGCTAATGATACGTTTTCTATACTTCTCAAAGGCTAGAATTTCGCAAAAAAGAAGTTGATCATCACGGGTTTTTAGCACCTTTCGAACATTGAAAAATGTTTATATCGCAAAAAACTTTTTGCGTGGTATTTTTTAGAATTTTCTAAACTACCCCAATGTACTGTCGATTTTAACTTTAATTTCATTACTTAAAATTTTATTGCGAAAAACTAGTAGACTAGGTCTACTAGAACTTTTTAGACCAAACAGAATTTGCACTTACTGACTTGCTTTCAATCAAAACACACACAATTTCTTTAGTTTTGCAGTTTTATGATCCCATTGAACGCTGGTGCAAAATGTACGAGACGCCCTCGGATCATTAAAACAAATTGGAGATAGAACAGCGCCCTTCTGGCCGCAATCTATAATTTACGTCCCTGCCCAATCTGCACAAGCTATATTTCCGTTACTAGAAAAAAATTATTTTCAACTTTTTGTCGCCATTAGAGTTGTTATTCGACCCGGGTCGAAACGGTCGAAACTTTTGTAGGCTCCCGCAGCGAAAACTTTGTAAAATTCATAACTTTTTTCTAAAGTAGAATTCCGCGATTTCGTCTTTATTTTTGATTATGTGAGATCATTTCCTACATTTTGAGTCCTTAAACTATAAGTTTTCATGCTAGAATCATAAAGAACGGCCTGATTGCCTTGTTCCGCGCGCGGCCATTTCTCGGAATCACTTTCCGCTGCCATGGTGTGCCGCTCTTTGTGATTCTAGCATGAAAACTTATAGTTTAAGGACTCAAAATGTAGGAAATGATCTCACAGAATCAAAAATGAAGACGAAATCGCGGAATTCTACTTTAGAAAAAAGTTATGAATTTTACAAAGTTTTCGCTGCGGGAGCCTACAAAAGTTTCGACCGTTTCGACCCGGGTCGAATAACAACTCTAGTCGCCACACATCCTCATCGGAAGTGTTTTTCCATCATAATGATCCGAAAAATATCGTAGAAAAATAAGATACGCTATTGACGCGATTACGCTCCTGCTCAACTGCAAAATTGGGGTTTTCCGAGCTACGGTTTTTGGAGGGGGAATCACAAAATATCGAAATTTAAAATACGTGCCTGCCGAAATACCGAACTTCACTTGTCGGGATTTTGGTCTGTCGAGATTTTGGCCGTCGGCATTTTGGCTGTTGGTATTTTTGCTTTCGGTTTGGCGGCCGGGACTTCAGCTGATGGGATTTTGGCTGTCGGGGTTTTCGCCTGGTGGGATTTTTGCTCTCGGAATTTTTTAGTGTCGGGATCCTGGTTGTGGGCGTTTTGGCCTGTCGGGATTTTTGCTGCCGGCATTTCGGCTGTCGGCATTTTTTACTCTCGGGATCTTCCTTGTCAGCATTTTTTGATCGGAATTTTCACTGTCGGGATTGTGGTCGGAATCCATTTGTGGCATTATTACTTTACTTCGCTAAGACATACTTTAACTGTGTTGTTTACCCCTGTTTATTAGCCATTTCACACCTCCTAACGGCCTCAATTTTCTCACGCCAACGATTTTTTGACAATTCACACAAAAATTTCACCTGGGACCGCATTCGTTTTTATCGAAGAGCGTGTTTCGCTGTTCCCTAATGACCCTCACATTTTGGACTTTCTATGCCCTGGCAGTTCCTGCACTTTAAATAAGCTGATTTAATTATAAAAACAATTATTTGACCTTTGAGCTACTATAATTAATTCAGCTGGTATGGCCGAAACTTGTCGGAATTTTTTCCCATAATCAAACCTTCGAAGATCCGCATTTCGGCCGCCAGGGACTCCAAAATTCAAAAAAAAAGCCGTGTTTCACAAATTGTAATTGCTATCGGGTTCCTGGCCTTCCATTTCCTTGTTAATTTTTATTTAAATTCTTACCCCATAAATATGTTTGATGTCTCTAGATATCTTTCTTCAATATCTTTGCAGTTCTCATGGTGCCCTAAGTTTCCTGGGAATTCTCGTCTGGCTCAACTTTAAAACATGCTTACTAGATCGCGCGCTATTCTATGCCCAAAAGATTTCCAAAACACACTGTTTAAAAAAGGACTTCCGCCTCTTGACTAAAAAATTTAGATAATGGATGATGAGGAATGCGTGGCCGTCGCCGAACCGCTAGCCGATTTTCTACCTATTCGATTAATTTTATTATTTCAGGTAAGACCTTCATTTTCTGTCTTTCTAGGTTGAAGCTCAGCAACGAAAAAGCAGCCAAAACCAAATCATTTTCTGAATTTTCGCAGCTGTTATTAATAGAAAAAGGGGGATCATATTTCAGGCTGGCTGTGGTATCTCCGTTACTCTACAATCCCTCTATACGATTCCAAAATACGCCAGCTCACATTTTCACGTGAATTCCAAGGTATCTTCTTTTGAAATGGAGCATACACATTAGTATTTCAGTTACTCGTCATCCTCTTGCTGGCAATGTTCATCGGAATGGGTTGTAGTATCGCGGGTACCTTTGTAAGTTTTAGGCATTAAAATCCGAATATCGATTTTTTTGGGCTCTTTCTTCGTATAGAAAAGTTTCAAACTGAGGATGACATCAGTTATAATATGCGGGTATCTCGGTTAAACATAATTTCATGACGTGTATATATAAACCCGGTCTATTTTAGCTATATCACGTCGTGATGCTGTCAATGCCGCCAGGCTGCCACACGTTGGCCTCGCCCCTACAATGCTTTCTCATGCGGGGATTCTCTAATTTTTGCATGTAGGTATATCTTCGTACTGATGAATTCAAAGGGATAAATACGAGTAGTTCAGCCTGGCTCTAAATTTAGCAAAACCCAACCGGTTACGCTATGCAAAAAAGTGAAGGGTGCCCAGGCCACAGCGGCGGTCTCCTAATAAAAATATAAGGTTTTCAAACGAGGGAAGACCGCAATGCAAACGCGAAAGCATGTCTGGGCAGCTGAAAAGTTGTTGCTATTCCGCGCCGCCACGCACGCATCGCGCCAAAAACGTATACAGTACGCCTCTCTCAGCGCATCAGATCAACGGAACCCATGGGCGGTTATGAGGCACGAGAGAGGATGATTTATGAGGAGGCTCGGCGATTTGCGCGTTTCTTGTAATTTCCTGTTTGCTTAGAGGAGTCCCATACCTTCGCAATACCAGTAACGCTTTTTAGGTTCGCCTATACCCCGATGCACTTTGCGTTATCCCTAGAGCGGTTAGCTGCCAGGCATTTTGGGTCTAAATATGAGGAGATGGGCTGCTGGCTCGGGATTTTGTTAGCAGTAATGGCGGTATTGTTAATGCACCTTTTCATATCGAAGTATCACTTTCAGTTAACTGCTTCAGCCGGTATCTACTATTTCATAATGTCACACGAGAATTGGGGCGCTGAAAATTCGGTGCCGTACTGTACGATAGGCAACAAGTACGTTTTGATGGATTCAAGTTGCATGTCGTAATCGATTACGATATAAAATTACTAGGTTTAAGGTATATTTTAGATACACCTCCTCCAGCGCCTCAACTTGTATGCTAGTGCTCCTAGGAATCGACATGGTTGGATTATTTTTAATGGGATTTGCATATTGGAAAGAGTTCAAGGCTGTCAAGTAAGGGTGCTTTTTTTTGTTTAAAAGGACCAGTGAAGGTAAAACTTAGGTATATTTTAGAAGCAGAACCTTTGACCTGCGACGTCGATTCGCTAATATCGAGCGGCGGGATGCCAATTCGCTATTACTGCCCTTTTCGGGGCTACACACGACCATTTATTTGTGCTACGAATTTCTTTTTTTGTTATGTAAGTTTAAACTATTAAAAAAAGTGACTTTTGTTCCAGAAAGCAAAGAAAAAGCAAAAAGGCGTTTTTCAGGATATTTTCATTAAATTCGTTAATGAAAATACTCCGTTATTATAGAACTAAAACAAAATAGAACGATAAAAATAAGTCATTTTACAACAAATTAGCTACAATATGAGAAAGTCTGATTTTTAAAAGGAGTTAATAACCTAAATTTTTAGGCAATTATGTGCTTATAAATACCTTGAGCGACGCCGTTTATAAAACGGTTTTTATTTCGATTAATGTAAGTTTTTCCCGGGTATCAAAAAATCCATATTCTTGTAGACGACGCCATACTACGGTATTGCTTCAAACATTATGCTAGTGCAGTTATTAAAGCGGAATCGCGACAAGAGACGGTTGAAGTGGTCAACCGATTTTCGGCATTATAACGACCAGGAGAATGCGCATGTCATTTATACCAACGGGTGGTAGACAAGAATAAAGGCTTTGATATTGGCTACAAAATAACGTGCCAAAACTTATTTACCTCTCGCAGCACCTGGTCTCACGATTTTCCCAATACTCACTATTTTTTTGAAGTGTTTTCGACGTTCGATACTGCCTCGAAAAAACATACTAAGAGTTTTAATTGCAGCCCAAAATGCTAAAGTATAAAAACATTATGGCAAGAACCTGTTGTAAACGTGGTTTTCATACAGGTATACTAGTTTTTGCGATGTTTTACATTGACGAAATTTTTAGCGCGATTCGATCGCGGATCAAAAAATATACAAAGAAGACCAAATAGAAGTTAAAAAAACAAGAATTGAGAAAACCTGTTAAAAACAAGTTTAATGTTACGATTTTTAATACACATTTCGGGACTTAGCAGGGGAATTACGAGTTCGCGGCACCAATTGACATGTGTATGTTTGGACCGTTCCAGCTTGGGGAGAGTGGGTTAAACTTAAAGCTTAACCAGGCTTTAATTCGTCATTTCCTACCCATTCATTTTAAGCCTCCTTGCATCCCTTGATCCCCTGCAGAAAAAATCCACGCTATTCGTACAAAAGAGTGCTGTCTCCAAATCATTTCTCAGACAAATGCACCCAAAATGACAGAAATCCCCCCCTGGGGAATTGCGTTAATCAAGCGCCTAACGGAAATTTGGATCTGACCGGACACAAAATGATCGCAATGGTCCGAAGAATATCTTCTTTGTGCACCACAAACCCTGAAATTTGAAACCCCGGCAATTAGAAGGAGATCTTGGGTGCGCATATCACACTGTCATTACCTATTTTTCATACTTCGCTCGCTACCATAAAAACTGTTTCCGAGTTGTTTGGAGCATCTTTTTGAGCCGAAAATCTGGGTATCATTTTCTAGGGCGGTAATTTAGAAGGTATTGACGGTCATTTGTCTGACTATCTGTTCGGTCTTACCGTAATGAATCGATCCGGTAAGACTACGCCTCCCAGACCAGTCCCACCTTTGTATCTCGGCTCCCTGTTGGACTACAGATGTGTAAAATATACCAAAATGTTCCTCTGGATCTGACGAGTGATTTAGTACACTTCACAGGCCCGTAGGACAAAGGCGGGCCGAGATAGTATAGGCGAGGGTCGGCTAGGGGAGTGTCATGAGCACCTTACAATTTCATTAGCCATTTATCGATTATCAAAAGAGTTTATTTAAATTCTTCTAAGAAAAATAGCATCATTTGGCTTTTAAGAAGTAAAGTACGAGTAGCACGCAGTTAGAGGAATCACTACTCGTGGAAAATATTAATTTATAAAAATGAGTGATTACAAAACGGTACCTGGATTTTCATGTTGTATTTTACGCTTTTTTCCTCTAACCCTTGAGGCAAAATTTCTAATTTCTTTCAAAATACGGAGGACTACAAAAATGTTCAAGTTGTGGCCAGACTTTTGCAAGCCAAAACGTACTTGACAAAATCCAGGACTATAAAACCTTATTAGAAGAAGGGGTCCCTGCGGACATTAGCGGATCATACTTACCAAAACACTCGTCTAGAATGGCGCATGGTACTGCAAAAAATATACTTATTGCTCTTGCATCACCCACCTGAATTTCATTCAGATTAGAATTGTCCAGCCAAGTTATCTACTTGGCAATTCCTGCAAACGCCTTGCCACAAGTTTTTGAAAAGGTGCTAAAATTCTTGAATTTTTAGCCGTTCTTCACTGCCCTCCAAATTTTCTACTGTTTTCAAAATTCTGGTAAAATGTCCTGCCACCAATTTTTTAAACACTCATCTGTTGTGTTTTTTTTGAACATTCATCCGTGAAAATTGTGCATTGCTCTTACGTAATTAAATTACTTTAAATCCGCGTAAAACCGCCTATTTTTTTGCTCGTTGTTTCCAAAATAGTTTCTAGACGTTTTAAAAACATCGTTGCATACTGTGCGTAATTCTATAGATTTCTAACCTCCAGTCGCCGATCTAAGAAATGGATGAAAGCTCCTGCGTTTCGATCGCCGCGCCAATCGCGCAATTCCTGCCGATCCGCCTGATGTTGATGGTCCAGGTAAGAGGGTTCGGATTGATAAAATGTTTTTGGTTAATACATCACTTGCCAAAAAAAACCCAAAGTAAAGGTTTTGGTAGTCACCGCTGAAACGGATTTTATCGTACCCGTAATTCTAACATTTGTTCGTTTAGGTATTTTTCAGCATGACTGCTGCCGTTCAGTCCATATACACGATCAAGAAATACGCCAAGGCCTATTTTCACGTCAATTGCAAGGTATCGGTTCGCCACGTGGTCAGTTTACTCCTATCAAATGTTTTAGCTTCTTGTCATCCTCCTTTTAAGTCTATTTATTCTGATGGGCATCAGCGTTAGCATCACTTTGGTATGCTTAAGACAAAAACTTTCAAAAAAAAACTGCTGATTCAGACGTACCACGTTATACTGTTATCTCTTCCGATCGGCTGTCAAACCTTGGTACCACCATGGCAATGCTTTCTGATGCGAGGCTTTGGGAATTTGTGCACGTAAGGAACATAGAAAAACCTTTAATTATTCTGAATTTTTCGAAGGATTAAAGATGTTTTAGCTTCACCTACACCCCGGTCCACTTCGCCATCACGATGGAGCGTTTTGCGGCCAGATATTTCGGGGCCAGATACGAGGAAATGGGCTGTGGCATCGGGGTGATGCTGGCAAATGTTGCGGTAAGTTTTTGGAAGATTATTGATCGATTTAGCGAGTACGAATCCGCGTAGAGTATTTATTACGTCATTTTAAGTTTCTTATGGAGTTAAATCACTCTAATACTCTTTTTTAGGCATCTACAGAATCGTCCTCTCCAACGAGCATTGGGACGCGAGCAACTCCGTTCCTTACTGTTCGATTGGAAATCAGTAAGAAAATTTAGATACTTTGACGTTAATTCTTTCAGATACACCGCCCAAAACGCGTCCAATTGTATGATGGTGCTTCTTGGAATAGATATAATTGGTCTGGTTTTGATGGGATTTTCGTATTGGAAAGAGCTACGTGCTGAACAGTGAGTTTTATGACGTTTCTCGAGCTTAGAATTTATTGCTTTCAGACGGACGTTTGACGTGCAGCGCCGTTTTTCCTCTATGGAACGTCGCGACGCTAATGCTCTGCTTTTCCCATTTTCGGCCCTTCATACGACTATGTATCTTGTTTATGAAGTGGCGTTTGTTGTCAGTAAGTTTTAGGCCAAAATTTTGACCCGGTACGACTGTTTTTACTCTTTCTTTTAGCCGCTCAACTCCTCGTCCGGGTGCTCGATCCTTTGACGTACAAGGCTCTGTTTATCAGCATCAATGTGAGTATTTTCTTCGCGCATTTTTTTCGAAAGGACATCAGGCAGAAAAATGAGGCTAAAGCGACGAAATAATACAATCTTAAGCCGAAAGGTTTTGCGGAAACCTTTTTTACCGTTTTGCTCTTTGTATTTTCTGCCTTCGGTGTTGATTTCTCGTTTATTTATCTTTTGAATTTTTTTTTAGTTCACACCCTACTACGCCGTCGCCTCAAACCTGATGCTCGTCCGTCTCCTCAACCGGATGCGAGCCGTGAAACGCCGAAAATGGGATGACAATTTCCGGGTGTTCAACGACCACCCGGCCAGCCATTCGATTTATATGACCGGGTGGTAGTAGATAAACTCCTTGAATAAATATCTTATTATAGTTGGCACCGCAGAAAATGGATCAGATAACTGTAATCAAAGTTACTCTGCAAAATGTTGCAACGAGAATTAGGAAAACTCGCGTGTATTGGAGCACGCGACGCTTTTTTTGTTGGAGGTTGGACAATAAAAGAATTTGAGCACTGATACCAGTTTCCAGAACTGCCAATTATGGGTTGTATGGAGCTCGAACTCATCATTGCCGGTCTGAATAAAACCAATGATTCATCAGAAGATGACAATTCATTTCCTTCTTGTTTTTCGGATGAGACGGATCTAATTGGACTCGTAGAATGCAAGCTCATTGAAAAAAGGTGTCTTGGTTGATCTCGTAATCACTTTTTTCGCGCCCTAATGAAAATCGGCAAAAGGAGCAAACGGTCCCTTGGGAATTCAGTGCGTCTAAAAATTTACCTACAATTCCATCGATTTTCGGGAACGTCATGGTGAGACGGGCTGTGTCATGGAAGTCACTACCTCCAAATCTCTGAAAACCAATTTTTATTTTCGCAGTTAACGTTAAATTTTATGTCGGCAAATTTAATAGTGTTTCCGCATTTTAGGAGTGCTAGCTTGCCGGTAATGGAGGAAACTTCGTGCATCGCAGTGGCTAAGCCGATAGCTGACTTTTTACCCATTCGCTTGATGCTGCTTTTTCAGGTGAGGGTTTTAGAAAGCAGATTTAACCGAAGAAACACTCATTTAGGTAATTTTCTGTATCTGCCTCGTCATCCAATCAGTGCATACCATCCGAATATATGCAAATGCGTATTTTCACATCAACTGCAAGGTATACCTGGTAAATTGGCCATAACTTGTCAAATCTAGCTCCTCGTCATCCTCCTCCTCAGCCTTTTTATAATTATGGGCACGAGCTTGGGGCTATCTCTGGTAAGAATTTACCGTTTTTAATTTTTTAACGGGGAGCAGGGATTATTTTTTTGAGAAGGCGGTTTAGGGCTGAAGTCATTAAATTTAGAAAATTGGCATAGCATTTTACACTATTTTTACTGTATTAACTTACTTACTGACTTTTTTTGCACGAAAACATGTGAAAAATTATTCAAACTGATCAGAAACTTTAAATTATAATGATGTTCGCATAAAGTTCATAGTGTTTTTAGTGATCGAAAAATGCTAAAAATCACATTAAACTATATTTCAATTAATTACTATGCAGGCATAGGCCCAATTAAAAAATTTGCCCTGCTCCCCCGCTAAAAGTTTGCTTCCCCGCCCACACGGAAGCACCAGCTTAGCGATTCATTCAGGCTTATCATGTTATACTGCTGTCATTACCGGTCGGATGCCAGACCCTCATTGGGCCGTGGCAGTGTATTTGGATGCGAGGGCTGGCTAACATGTGCACGTTCGTTTTTTTTGTGTAGCTTAATTAAACCTGTCGTTTTAGCTTCACCTACACACCGGTCCACTTTGCAATTACGATGGAACGGTTTGCGGCAAGATATTTCGGGGCGAAATATGAGGAGATGGGATGTGGCATCGGGGCGATGTTAGCGCATCTGGCTGTGGGTTTTCTAAAGCTTATTTTTATTTTTTTTCTCTATAATCCGATAGATTTCCCTATTCTATTTTTCGTAAACTATCCGTTTTAGATCATCGCCGGACTGGGGATTTACGGCATCGTCATTTCCAACGAGCATTGGGACGCGAGCAATGCCGTTCCATATTGTTCGATCGGAAATCAGTATGAAATTTTGACATCTTAAAGGGATAGCGCAAGCAGAAATCTAGGTGTTAGGTGGACTCTTGGAATTGCGCGGATGTTGCGCATACGCGACACCAAAAAGGCCCTTAGCCGCCCAAAAAGCTAGCCTGCGGGCACGCGTGATGACTTCTGCGCGTCTCGAATCCTCCCATTAGTGCGCTGATTTGATGATAAGCGCAAATCCAGCCAAATCTGGCAAAGTTCCAGGAATCCACGTAACACGTGGACTGCTGCTTGCGCATCCCTTTAAATCCGTAATTCTATCAGATACACCTCTCAAAACGCCTCTAGCTGCATGATGGCACTTCTTGGAATCGATATGATTGGCCTCGTCCTGATGGGCTTTTCCTATTGGCGAGAATTCAAGGCCGAACAGTAACTCATCCAAGTTTTCTGAAGTAGTGTGGTTTAGACGCACCTACGACGTACAGCGTCGCTTCTCCTCGATAGAACGTCGTGATGCTAATGCATTGCTCTTACCATTCTCTGCGATGCATACAGCTATGTATCTCGTTTATGAAGTGGCGTTTGTGTTTGGTAAGTGTTTAACAAAATTCAGTGCCACGGATATTTTTTAGCTACACAATTCCTCATCAAAGGATTGGAAGGGCCGACGTATAAAGCAGTTTTTATCAGCATTAATGTAAGTGATTTTTACTGGTTCTATACTACAGGGTGTCCCAAAATTATCCGGACAAAGTTTCAAAGCGGTTTCTTCCTATTTTTTCCCTGTTTTCGCAGACCATAATATACGTTCTATGAATCTTTGAAGTGTATTTAAATAGCTGCTAAAGAAAACTGCGCGTGAATCCATTATATCTCTTCGGCACAAATCTAGGACGGTTGAACGAAATTCCTTGCCCCCTTGCAAACGCTGAAAAAGCGCGTTGTTTCCGATCCCATAAAAAACTTCAGCATGATCGGACCAACTAAGAAACCACAGGAAGAGTTCGGAAATGATCAGTCAACACTCTAGTCGACCCAAAGACCCTAGGTTTACACCAGAAAAAAAAACAGCGGACAAAAAAGTTGAAATCAAGGTACGCGCCGCCCCAGTTACTTTAAAGGATTTGCCCTGGAGGAACCCTAAAAACGCGATATTAATCTTGTCAAAAACCAGAGGATAAACTTTTGACGGCAACGATGAAGTACAAGCTATTTAAATTAAGCCAACTTTGGTTTTTGAGGAGCTTGAGCACGAGCAAGCATCGAAACACCATGACCGGTAATGGGACTGAAATCGGTTTTGAACGGAACAATGACCATTAACATGATGGAATCTTGGCGGAGTTAGGTCCGTTTTGCCAGAAAACGTCATTTCTAGCCCACAAAAATGTTTGAACACATTTTGAAAGCTTACCCCAGTTTTTATGTTATTTAAGAGGCGAAAAATTTTAACACGGTCTTCTCTTGATTGCGAAGCTATTAATGCGTTCTCCAAGAATTTTTTTTTTTGCACGGTGCATCGAAAATGCCTCAAAAAATATTATGAAATACAATGCGGGGGCCGAAAGCAGCGGAAAAATTGAAAAAGTCAGTTTTCAGTTTTGTCCGGATAATTTTGGGACACCCTGTATTATCGGGGGGGGGGGGGCTATCCACCGAACCTAGCAAGGTTTTTAAACGTTTAATTTTATTTTGTGTATTTTTTCAGCCGTAGAAATAATCAGTTCTCGTAAAAAAATCTTAGATAATTTAAAATACACGGGTTTTTGACCATCTGCGAATTTTTTGACAAAAAGCAGGGCTTTCGGCAATTTTGAGAAGTTTTACAAATTTTCTATTTATAAAAAACGGTGTAAAAGGCCATAAAAATTGCATACAAAAGATGGTTGTTGGATTCGCCAGGAGTCTCCTAAAGTTAGCCCCTGGGTTTATTCTAGGAAATATTAGCAGTGTCAATTTTTATTATATTGGGAATTTTTGCTAAATAAGAAAATAGCGCAAAATTCGTAATGCAACTAAACAATTAACAAGAAAAACAAAAAAAAGAGGTTTTAACTTTTTTTGCTCCTTTTGCCTCTTTCTAATCGATCGTTACTGATTTATAGCTTATAGTAAAACTTAATTTTTCTAGTTCACGCCATACTACGCGGTCGCCTCAAACCTGATGCTCGTCCGTCTCCTCAACCGGATGCGCGCCACCAAACGCCAAAAATGGGCCGACAATTTCCGGGTGTTCAACGACCACCCGACCAGTCATCAGATTTATATGTCGGGCTGGTAGTTGGCGATACCCTTAATAAATCGTTTATTAAAATTCGCAATAATAAATAAAACAGCGTGCTTTGATCTAGGACCTTTTCGTATTTGAGAGCTCCCCAGGGACCCCACCACAAACTGCCGACTAACCCCGATCCTCTAAAAAATCAGGAATATTAGCTGTCCATTCCCCTGGGGGGAAATTCTAGCAAAACGCCCCCTTTAGCCTGATGTTCAACGACAAGTTTTTGGACGCAAATTTTTAGTCGTGTCCATTCGACATAACCGCACATTTTCCAATTTCCCGAGAAAACCTAAGATTTTTCGGAGTCGGTTTTGTATCTATTTTCTATGAGGAGCGGCCCCTTATTGGCCGGCCGTGTTCTTAAAATGTAGATGATTTTTCTTTGCGGTGATTTTTTAAAGGAACGAATAACGATGCTTTCTGGACATTTAATTAGTGAAAGGACAAGTTGGATGTACGAGTTTTAGTACTTTCCGGTTGTGCGGACTTGATTTAATGGCGACCAAGACCAGGCCGCAGGCAACTATTCGAAAGCAACGGCGTTAGCCACTGCGCAACCACTGACGGTGGTGGGGAGGGGCACAGGGGGACGCTCTTGTCCCGGGTGTGGATTTACCAGAGCTGCGCCGAGCCATGCGCCGAAATTTCATTTTTAGTTCTTTGAATTTTATAAACTCGGGGATTGTTATTTTGCAAAGTGAATAAGCGTACCTTGTTCAGAATTGAATTCTCTATCGAATGAGCTATTTTTCAAACGTTTTCCAGGATGACTCGAAAAAAGCGCTGCTTATAAGAGGTAATGCTTTCTCAGGCCTAATAAGCGGAATGAAAAGCCTTTTCGGTTAGGTTTTGAATAATTTTTGCGTAAACGGACGACGGGAACGGGCACAGGCACATCAGGCACAGGCGAAGGCTAATTATCTAGTTTCGAGTTTGGCTTTGTGTTTCCGGTAGTTTTCGCATGAACGGACGTTTTACGGCTCAGCAACTTTACGTCTTACGATTAACGATGTAAATTTACTGAAGCGTGTTTTCACGGTTTCTCCTTTTTCCCAGTTCTTACTAGGGAAGTATCTGAACTTGCCATCCACCCTTGAAAAGTCAGATACACCATTCGACGCGCCGTGACGCGAGGATTCCAAATATGTAATAAAATCAACGGGAGCGCATAACGGAAAAAAGTTATGAGGGTTCAAAGTCTGCAAAATGACGAAAAACAGCATCTTTGAGACCCTGTATTATCCCGCGGAATGGAATTTAATCGAAACTGATTAGTGCTCCTTGTTCAACAAAGAAAGCTCTTTCAAATGAACTATATTACATACGGCTGCCAAAAATTTCCGCAAAAAATATTTTTGGAATGCAGAGTAAGGGTAGGGTATGGCCAGCTAGCCGAAGACTTTTCGAGAATTTGGCGTAAAGCGCAGGTAAGATAGCTCATCCGAAAGGGAATTTTCTGCTGATCAAGATGTACTGTTCCATTTTTGACAAATTAAATTCTTCGAATTCGCACAGAGCCGTAAAAGGGCGGTTTCCGACGATTTTGCCAACTTTGAGATAGAGAGCGTCCAATCCTGGTTTTGTTGCCGGAGGTTATTTTATCATCACTGGTGCTTTTTAGGGGCCACACAGTCAATAAAAACTTATTCCCGAGTTTGGACATGCAATAAGTAGGATCTGGTCAAAAAGCAAAAAATAAAAAATCGTGAGGGGATCCGAACCCTGGTCATACAGACCAGAGACCCATGCGCACACCACTAGGCCACGAGACCGATGGACAGGGTGCGCTGGGAGGGGCTCTTCTCGCGGTGGCGGCTTTCAATGTAAAACTTAAAATGCTCATAACTTTTTACCGTTGTATGGTGTATCTGAGTTCTCGAAGTTCGATGGCAAGTTCAGATACTTCCCTAGTTAGTTTGATTTTAAAGACCGTCAGAACGATGAAAAATCGTTTTGAGCAAGAAAGTTGCTCACCGGGCGGGGGTCGAACCCGCGATGGTTCGCTCGACAGTCCGACGCGCTAGCCACTATACAACAGGGCCGAATGAAGAAGAGAGTCAGAGGCGCCCCAAACCCCAGAGGGTCTTTGCCCAATACGGTACACCACTAATGACGACCCTCTCTGCGCGTTCTTGGGGGCAGCACCCTCGGGGTGACAGTGCGCGTTCCATCGTTCTGGTAGTCTTTAAAGCGCACGTTCAGGGAGGGGCCGTGTACTCGTCCCAACGTCTACACCCTATGGACGTTGGGACCGCGCGCACTGGCTGCCCGTGGCGTGGCAGGCAATTTCCCTCCTTTGCGGCGTGGGGCGCCCCTCGGCGCCTCGCCAGGTTGCACCTGTGGCTGACTGGTATGCGACCGCGTCTCCCGATCGGGAGGCCCGGGTTCGACCCCCGGCCGCGGCGAAATTCTTTGCTTTCTTGCCCAAAAACGTCTCTGAACGTGCCCTTTGAAGCTGGAAAAAGTAGCACTTCTCACAAACTTTCCAATCCACACCCGGAAAGCTTCCAGCTTCCGACTCGTGGCTGGGCATGCGTCGCAAACCTAAGTTTCGTGTGCTGTAGTTGCCTGGACATGTATTTTTAATATTTTTTATAGATATGAAGTCTCCGTAAAACATAGAACCAACGTTGATGGTTTTTCCCTATCATCACTTTAAGTCCCAAGCCGCTTGGGACTTGGGCCAAGCGCATTTCCATATTTCTGATTGAGCATGGATTGCGTACTTGACCAGCTCATTTTGTTTCGGTGGATCTTTTTCCCTTTCAACGTTCTTTATTAACGCTTTGGAGACAGATTGACTGTTTCAAACTGACAGCCATTTTACTGCATTAGGAAATTATGACACAATTTTTTTAGGATTTTCGGATCCAATCTGAGATCCTAAAGATAATGGAAGAAGCCGCCTGTGTAGCCATAATCGGGCCAATGGTCGGATACCTACCGCTTCAACTCGTCCTCGGATTTCATATCGTAATCTGTTTGCTCGCTACCGTACTTTCCATCTACACGATTGGAAGGTATTTCAAGGTGTACTTCCACTCGAATTGTAAGGTAAGTTTGTAAATTTCCAGTTTCTACGCCAAATTCTGTATGTTAAATTTAATAGTGCCATTTAGATGCTCATAATCACTCTTCTAATTTATTATATTGGGCACGGGATCAGCGTTTCAGCTACATATGTAAGTGTTTTATGAATTCTCGGTTCGGATTTGTGAATTGAAAAGCATGATTTTTCTTTATGAATTTTTATGAATTTATCAACCATGCACAATTTATTGTCGTATCTTTTAGCTTTATCAGTTAATTATGCTGTCCCGCCCGGCTGCCTGTTCATCCCTAATTGGCCCCATCCGATGCCAGCTTTTACGTGGATTCGGAAACATCGGGATTTACACCTTTCCGATTCTACACTTTGCTCTATCTTGTGAACGAGTGATAGGTAAGTACAAGCGGAAATTTCGATGTCTTGATCTGAATCTAACACATTTCGAATTGAAACAATGATTTTCAGCCCGTCACTACGCAGCGAGCTACGAACGACAAGGATCCCATTTCGGATTGTTATTGTCAATCGGAAGTGTAGGTTGTTTTTGTGGCTATACTCGAGGGAACGAACGCATGAATTCGAGGATCGTGAACGCATAAATGATCGCAGGATGAATAATTGGACCATGCCACAGATCCTTGAATGGTCTAAATGGGGCTACGGTAGCGGGCTCAACACAGGGTCCAACCGGATGCTATAAAAAGCACGAATCGGTGATAAGGGAACGTCAGCAAATGTGCTCTAGGAATTACCCATCTGCAAGCTCTACCAACATTTAGCATCGATATCGTGTATTGGTAGCGAAAGCTCTAGTTTTTCTTGCGTGGACTTGGCAGAAGGATTCCTTGGGAAATTTTTGGTGGATTTTAGTATGGATTACTGTACTTTATTCGACTTATTTTTGTTCTCGTGCTTGGGAGACTACCAACGTTAAAACTCTCTTTGCATTCCCCGAGATCGTAATGTCTGAGCAGTTTTTTTGGAAAGTCGGCCCTGTTGAGAAGTTCGAGATTCCTCCGATACCCTTTCCACTTTCCTGGCAGACTTCCAACTCTTACAGGGGGAGTTCCAGCTCGTTCGCTACCGTAACCGCGTGTCAATTTTTTTTGAGGAACCAGCTCTAGTTGTGAATTTTAAGGGTTTTTATTAGTGCCTAAACCCCCTCTGGTTGAAAAATACGCAAATCGTACTTTGCTTTTCACCAAACAATTTTCTAATTGATCATACGGTCCTAGCCGCCTAGTCATCGCTCCAACTCCCCTACACTTCACTCCACTCCTCTTTCCAGGTGCTGGTCGGGTTCGGCGTGTACGTCTTCGTGATGTGGGACGAGCATTGGGGCCCGGAAAACTTGGTGCCCACGTGCAGCATTGGCAATAAGTGGGTGGTCCCCGGGGGATTCGGATTACGGTAGAGCCCATCTAGAAATTCACACTCTTTGAGTGCTATACAAACCTGATGAAATGTGTGGCAACTTAGAGATCACAAAAACTGGGAGGTTTTGACAACATTCCAGAAGTGTTTTATGAACCGAGCAGAGCTGAATTTTTGGTACAAACAGGCGGATTTCCAGCCGGAGTTGTACTTTTTGAGATGTGATCAGAACGGCTGGAAATATTGCGGATCACAAGGTTCACAATCTGGTACTCGTTCTGGTGCACGTTTTGCTCTTTATCGACAAAAATAATTGCTTGAGATCAAAACGCAACTGTTCAAATCGTGTTGTTTTGGGTGAGTAAGCGGAGAAGCTGTGGAAATTGGCATTTATCCAAGATCGGAAACAGTGAGAGAGAGAGAGAGAGAGAGAGAGAGAGAGAGAGAGAGAGAAAGAGAGTGAGTGAGAGAGCAAGAGAGAGCCGGAGAGAGAGTGGGATAGAGAGCGAGCAAGAGATAGGGAGAATGAAAAAGAGAGAGAGTGAGAGAGCAAGAGAGAGCCGGAGAGAGAGTGGGATAGAGAGCGAGCAAGAGATAGGAAGAATGAAAGAGAGAGAGTGAGAGAGCAAGAGAGAGCCGGAGAGAGAGTGGGATAGAGAGCGAGAGAGGCAGGGAGCGAGCAAGAGAGAGGGAGAATGAAAGAGAGAGTGAGAGAGCAAGAGAGAGCCGGAGAGAGAGTGGGATAGAAAGGGAGAGAGGGAGGGAGCGAGCAAGAGAGAGGGAGAATGAAAGAGAGAGAGAGTGAGAGAGCAAGAGAGAGCAGGAGAGAGAGTGGGATAGCGAGCGAGAGATAGAGAGAGAGAGATATTTCGTTGGAGGTAAAAGCTTAGCAACTTTCCGTTTAAAACCTTTATGAAATGTCAAAGCGTTTACCTCGTAATTAAAAATGCTAAGTTTGCTACAAATAAAAATATTATAATTTTATCGATAAAACTTTTAATTTCCAGGTACACCGGCGAAAACGCTGCCCGTTGCATGGCGCTCCTGCTCGGCCTCGATTTTCTCGGCTTTATCTCCATGTCCCATTCCTACTGGCGAGAGTTCCGGAAAGACACGTAATTTTGTTCAAATACCTTTGAGACTAGTATAGCGGCCCATTAATAGCTTTCGAATCAGAAGCCCGACCTGAATTTACAGTTACAGGAAGAGCTACGACATCCGAAAACGATTTACGGTGATGGAGCGCCGGGAGACAAACACGATTCTGCTGCCATTCACGGCCATGCACACGATATTCTATTTGATTTATGAGATTGTCTACTTGCTTTGTAAGCATTTTCAATTGTTTGGAAGACTTTTAAAATTAGTTCCTTTGATTTAATCCTAAATTAAATCCAATCCTCTTAGAAGTATTAAAAATTATTCCAAATTTGGCAGGTTCTTTAAATTTTAAAATCTAGTTTTAAAAATTAAGAAAAATTAATATAAATATAAATATAAATTGTTTAGGTACCCAGGTCTTGGTCAATATTTTGCCGCCGCTGGTCTTCAAAGCCGTTTTTGTGTCGATTAATGTGAGTTCCAAAATTATAGATTTGATCCAGGGGTAATTCCATATGCAATGAAAACGCAAGCATAAAAAATTAATAAATAACTTTTTTTGCTTGAAAGATCAAATTTTTTCAGTTTATCCCGTACTACACGGTCCTTTCCAACATTTTCCTGATCGCCCTCCTCAACCGCGTCTACCGCACTCGCCAGACGAAATGGCGCTCCAATTTCCGGCTGTTCACCGACAAACGCCAGATCCATACTTCTTACATGAATGGGTGGTGAATAAACATGATCAAGGTCGTACTTCTGGCGCCAAAAAGGCCTAGTCAGTAAATCCAAAAGTCAGAAAAATTTACCACTAAATTGTGGAATCAAAAAAATACTTTTTGGTTAATTAAATCAATTCTGATCGACGGAAAATAAGCCTGTTCAAAACATCAAATGTACCTCACCAAATTTCTTTTTTTCCTAACTTTCATGCACTAATTTAATCATCCTATTTTCCGGCTGATATAATCGAATTGGACTTTCTTGTAGTGGGACTTGTAGCGTAGGACTGACCATAATTTTTTTTGCGGCGTCTTGAGTACAAACTTAATTTTTCAAGAAATATTTATGCGTAGAAAATCACGTAAAAGCAATGGATGAGTTGGTTTGAAAATTTAAAGCTGTACACGTATTGTGAAGGGATCATCTTTGGGTAAAAATGATAGCAAAAATCCCTAAGTCGTTCTGCGCTTCGCAGAAACTGGGATGCCGTCAAGTGGAGTGAGCACAGCCTCGGAGCCGGTCCGCAACGAATCGAATGGACGAGTCGCGGAGAGTTCAAATGATCGAATCATCCAGCAGATCATCACTTTGGCCTCGAGGAGGGCGAAGCGTTGGCCTGAAATCAAAAGATTTGTTTTTAAAGGGGTAAGAACAGCCTATATCAATTATCGTGAAGTCTCTGACTCAGTTTGTTCCCTCTTGCCAACTTCTCTCTCGCTCCCTCGCTTTCTCAAGAGAGCACGAGAGAGGGAGAGAGAGTGTGTGAGAGAGGGAAAGGGGAGAGCGAGAGAAAGGTCTCTCCCCCGTAATATTCATAGCGTAATTCGTTGGCCTGGCACCAATTTTCGGTGAGCCTGATCTGTACGAATCATTCTTCTCCGTTTCTCCCCATTTTTGAAGGTTAGCTAGCGTGTACAGAATAATTCCTTGTCCCCGCTAAACAAAAAAAGGTTAACAAACTTACCGATACAATTCCTGGGCCCCGCCGAGAAAGGGATATAATCGAAGGCATGGCGCTTCACTTCACGCTCGGGGCTGAAGCGCTCTGGGTCGAACTTGAGGACATCGTCTCCCCAGATCTGAAATGGGGCGTCATTTGGAGCAGTCATCCTCGATATTTCACGAAATTACATAGCCTGCATGACCTCTGCATCAGGTTGGCCATGCTCATAAATAACACCAAAAACTTACACTCCTATTTCGGGCCAGAATAATTGGTGCAATCGTGACGATGGCGCCCTTCGGGAAGATGTAGTCACCTTAAAAATTTAAGAATACCTACGATTTTCGTTTGCACCAACCGCTCTTGAAATCGCCCTGCAGGCGTCTGTTCACTTGGGGAACTGGGGCGTAAAGACGGAACACTTCTTTCACCACCTAGGAATATAGGAATTAATAATAACTTATCTTATACAAAAAAAGAGCAATTAAAGCGCACGTTCAGGGAGGGGCCGTGTACTCGTCCCAACGTATACACCCTATGGACGTTGGGACCGCGCGCACGGCCTGCCCGTGCTGTGACAGGCCATTTCCCTCCTTTGCGGCGTGGGGCGCCCCTCGCCCCTCATCAGGTTGTAGCTGTGGCTGACTGGTATCCATGCGCGCCTCCCGAGCGGGGGGCGCGGGTTCGACCCCCGGCCGCGGCACAAAACCTTTGCTTTTTTCCAAAAAAAAACGTCCCTGAACGTGCCCTTTAAGTAACTACCTGATCCAGATACGTCATTTCTTTCAGATGCTCCGTGGTGATTGGCTCATCGCCTGACCCTGAAATTCAAATTTATGGCTTTTTTTGCGGGGGATAGCGCTATTAAATTTTTTGTGCTTACTTATTTTATGAACTTCCCATTAAGCACCCACCAGCGATATCACAAATTTCCTGGTACAACTTTTGCTGTACTTCCGGGTGTTTGGCTAGGCACCAAACTGCCCAAGCCACGCCGGAAGAGGTAGTGTCGTGGCCTGAAAATTCACAAAATATTCGTTTCTTGAATTATCAAGTTAAAGGCATGGAGCATTTATAACCGCATATTATTCAAAAAAAGCAGTTCTTAAAGCTAAATTAGACTGTCGGATCCCTTACCTTCAAACATAAAGGTATCCACCTCCTCCCTCACGCCTTCATCGTCAATTTCCCCGGCGTCGTACACCTAAAAAGTTATAGTTTAGCCATACAAATACGTATTTAATTTACTCTATCGATTGACAAACTAAAAGTTCATTAATTTTTGCTTTACCTCCAACAACATGTCCAAGAAGTTCGTTTCATTCCCGGTTGTCTTATCGCCTTTCGCTCTCCTTTCTTTCCGCTCGGCAATCACCTAGAAACAAATTCAGTAGATTTTAGGATCCCCATCAAGTATCACTCCATCAATAGCTCATATGTTAAAAATCTTACTTTTTTAGTGAAAGTGTGAAGAACGTCGAGGGACACATCATAGGTTTTCTTGTTCCCAGAGAAGTAGTAATACGGGTAGAACCAGTTTTGGGCCTAAAAATTGGCTGATTTAACGTGCAAATTTAAGATATAATTAATGAAAATAATTTTGATGCATGTTAATGTAATGTAGGAAGATATTATACCTTTAATGCCTTTTCCGTGGTGACCCAGAGAAAATCACGGAGTGCAACCAGAAACGGGTGGGATGGATTGCGCTGCACGTTGACGCAAGTGCCCATTGCCGAGTCTAAAAACTGCTGCATCTGACCTTTTTTGTATTTATATAGTTGTATATTAAAGAAACTAATATCTTTTACGTACCGCAAATTACGTCCAAGGCGCAACGCTTCACATACGGCATGGCATCGAATTCTGCGCCGTTCAGCTCGCTGACCACCTCGGCGAAGACCTAGGAAGTGTTAGTATATCATTTCTCCCACGCTCTCCCTCTTTCTCTCTCTCTCTCTCTCTCTCTCTCTCTCTCTCACTTTCTCTCTTTCTCTCTCTTTCTCTCTCACTCTCTCACTCTCTCTCGCTCTCGCTCTCTCTTTCAACCTCACCTTCGAATGATTGTTGAACGTCTTCACATAATTCTCCAAATGCCGGAAATGAAAAGTGGGAGTGATCAGCCTCCTTCGGTGTTGCCATTTTGAACCGTCACTAAATGCCAACGATTTTTTTGCCAGACCCCTTAAACTATACCTCAACAGCAGCCCCAACCCCAGCCATTCCTTGATCTCGTCGTAGCCCAAGCCCTTGGTGATTTCTTCCTTCGAATCGATGATTGGCTAAAAATAGGCTTATTAGGTCCTCTTTGGCTTCTTATACGAATACGAATTATACGAATTACACTAACCTTAATGGCTTCTCCGTTTATCGGGATGATAAAGACCTCGTGGGCAAAGTTGGCCCTCATGACATTATGGCCCTGTTGTTGAATCTTTTCGGACGTGGCCAACTCCCAGTCCAGGATCTCTGAAAATTAGATTTTCATTGGAATTGGCCCAAATTTTACGATAAAAATTTGCAAAATTAGAAAGAGGGCAAGAAAGACGGAGAGCAAGCGAGAGAGAGAGAGAGAGAGAGAGAGAGAGAGAGAGAGAGAGAGAAAGAGAGAGGGAGAGAGCGAGAGCGAGAGAGAGAGAGAGGAGATAGAGAAAGAGAGAGAGAGAGAGAGAGAGAGAGAGAGAGAGAGAGAGAGAGAGTGAGAGAGACCAAGAGAGAAAAAGTGAGAGTGAGAGAGATATATTCAAACCCACGAGAGCTATCCATTCGAGCCCATGTCAACGCCATCCCGAAACCTGGCAGTTCCTCGTCGGTGCCTGAAATTATGAAATTTTGGTTGTTACCCCTGTTGAGTCTCGACTTTCTAGTTCACGCTCATTTTTGTTGCTCTATTTTTCATAATCCGATGGCTTACCTGGAATCAGGGCAGCAACCCGTTTCATGCGGGCGATTTCTGAGAGCCATCTGACTAGCCGATAGCCAAAGTAGACGCAGAAAATGGCGAATATTGTGGAAAGCAAAGCGGGCATTTTTCTGAAAAGTTATGTGTTAATGAAAGAAATACACACAAAAAAGCAGTGCTATGTTAATATATACGGAAAAATTGCGAAAAATAAGAATACGCAATCCACTTGCAAAAAACGAATGACGAATGACTAAACAAGACAAAAAAGTTAAAATTTTTAGATGAAACGCGAAATACCAAGTTAAAGAGTAGAAATTTGATTTGTTCGGGCTGTAAAATAAAATAGGGAATGTTTTGAGGAAGTAGTTAAAGGGAACTGGCCAACTAACATCTATCGTTTACCCTCCCACCCAGTCGGCTCTTTAAATAGAGATGCCACTGATGTAATGGCCAAAGTGAAAGGGGAGTTTTGTGCGTTGGAAGGAGGCGGAATAGCTGGGGGTAGAGATTAGGGCAGGGAAGTGATCGAAAAGGGTATGTTTGTCTCTCACTCTCTTTCTCTCTCTCGCCACACGTTCCGCCACAAAACTACAGTCGCGAAGCAACCCACCCAATTCGCGGGGTTGCGTCAAATATTTACGGTAAATTATGCCTTTTATAGAAAACCTAAAGTCGGAAAATCCGCTACCATAAAAGATAAAAAATTGATTTATTTTGAAAATTTAGAACTATCGAAATTTAAAGATGCCAAAATTGCATAGTACCAAATTTTATAATTGCCAAATTCCCCACCGGCGAAATCTTCTAATGACTAAACTGCTATATGTCGACATTTTTTGAATATTATTTTGGGTGATTCTGGGTGATTTGATCATGTAAAATTAAATAAAATTTGTACCGCACCAAATTTCGGAATTTCGGCATTTCGACACTTTGAAAAAAAACCAAAAGCCACTCAATCGATGAAAAAATTTGTATTTTAAGATCCAGTATACATATTTTACTTTGGATGCTGCGCAATTTATTTTATTAAAAACATTTAGCGCCGGTGTTTTTAGCAAATTCTAATAATTCCAGTGGTAAACATAGGTAAAATTGAGAAAAATAAAAAATAAAAAATGAGAACATTTTTATGAAAACCAAGTAAAGCTTTCCATTAAGCAAATCCGAACCATTGCCTGAGTTAATTGGATATTGCAATAAACGAACCATTTTCTGCTCGATAAAAACGTGTAAAAATCGTTAACTTCCGATACTTCTTCATTAAGTGAGAGGGTGTTTCTCAACGCGCTATAGGCCCAGCCAATCCAGAAACCATTTTCACGGATAAATTCTAAACTCAAAACGGAATCCCGGCGCCAGCCGGTGGCCCAGGGCGCGCTTTTGTAGTGGGGCGAGTCTGGCGAGCATCGAAACTGGCGTTAAGTGCTTCAAGCCCAGGCCACACAAAACAAACGAAAAAGGAAAAGCCCCCGGTTTCATGGCTTGAGGAGAAATTTTTGAAAGTGCCTGTCAAATTCCACTTTATTGTTGAATGGCCAGACGTGTTAAGTGATGTCCAATAGACATTTTTGCGCCCGAAAAGCCGGCTGCAATCTTTTCCTGCAATCAATAGTGCAGGGGCTCGCACTGTTTGGGGCCATAATTGGGTGGGTTGCAGCGGGAAACTATCACACACTTGAAATCGGGAAAAAAGACGCATGTACCTACTGTTTTTAGGTGTATTTAGTCGTAGTTTGTAGCTAGTGTTCTCATTAAATTTCATAATATATTTCATTGTCGTAAAATTTAAGTTTTAAAAGTTACAAAAATGTATTTCTCTACACTTAGTTAAGCGAAGCGATTACGCAATGAAAAACGGGCGTGCGGACGCGGTGCGTACCCGCGCAGCGACAAATTTCATACTTATGAGGTGTCTTTTTCATGTTTTTGCGATTGTTCAAAATTCCGTAGTTAGTATGTGATCGTAATAACGTCTCGAAATTCTTAATTCGATGGTCGTTGTAGGTGTTCAAGGATCATCTCCAGTTATCACGCTTGTTTCAAGGATTTTCAGGCTAGAAAATGACGCACCGCTCCGCCGGAACGATCGTTTGCACTCAAATGATGATCTCCCGAAAGACGCTGTCCCCAAGTCTACCTTTCCTTCCTCTCAGCCTTTCCTCCTTTCCCGACACTTGGCTCTAGGAGTGTAGCCGTGTAGTTTTCTAGTCCCGCCCCAATCTACCCTGATAGTGTTCCCCCCACTCACCATGTGCGCCCTCTAATCAAATGCCATAAAAAGTCTGCAGCAGAGGCTCGGCATTCAACAAGCAAAAATAAACAATGGAAACATGGGAGTTTTATTTGAATCGATGAAAAATGCTCCAAAATCTGAAAATAACGATTTTAGAGAAAAAGGATAGCCTCCACTTTCTATCCCTGTTTTGCTGTCGTAATCCATTCATTAAACGATTTTTGCTATTGTTTTTGGGTTCTTTCCTATCCAAGCGAAATCCAAGCGTTATTTAAATGATGACTTTCTACGAGCTCATATCGTTCCGCGCATCCTAATGTACGTGGTGTCTGCTTCAAACGCTTTAAAATCCCATTTTTTGCATTAATTTCACGTAATACACATTTTTTGAGCTCTGACAATCAATATAATCCGAGATATCGTTAAATTCTTCGCACGGCAGAAATCGGGATTCCAATCGTCGGGACCAACACGGCTTCCGTTCCAGTCCGATTCTCTTCGAATCGTCTCGAAGACGAGAAAAGAAATGTGCGCACCAGCCAACAGAACATCACTTTAGTTTCCAAGAGGGCGAATTTTTGGCCTGTAATATTTTTTTTATGGAAGACAAATGCTAGGAGGGCAAAAATCGTGTCATCTTGCCTCTCCCCGACGACTTTCACGTAATTTAGGCGGCTTTAACACTCTCAAAGTCTTTCAAAACGCACCAATACAATTCCTGGGCCCAGCCGAGAACGGAATATAGTCAAACGGTCCATATTTCAGGCCTCGCTCCTCCGAGAAGCGTTCCGGGTCGAATCTTAGGGAATCCGGGCCCCAGACCTAAAAGTATAGAGCGTTTTTGGATAAAATATCGACAATTACAGTACCTTCTTGTTCCTGGACAATATAATCGGAACGATACTGACAATGGCTCCTTTTGGGAAGACGTACGGTCCTGAAAAACTAATTTCATCCTTTATTTTTTCACGTATGAAAAGCAGAGAATTGACTGACACAAAACGATAAAGTTAATTTCTTTGTTTTCTACAAAATTGAAACTCCGTACCGCTCTGAAAATCCGCCTGAAGCCGCCGGTTGACGGCTGGAACCGGAGGGAAGAGCCGGAACGTTTCTTTCAGGACCTGGAAAAAATTTAGGGCAGTTGGGGAGCCTAAGAATGGACTATTCCAGACTGTTTTGACAGCTACTAGGTATCGCGTCAATTCTTGTACTTTTCAGTATTTTTAAAGGGTCCACAAAACGGAGTGCAACACGGAATAAAGAGTGCGAAGTTCAAAAAGCTTTACCTGCTCCAAATAGGGCATGTTTTTCAGATGCTCGCTAGTGACCGGCTCGTCGTCTCCTCCTGAAAAATAGCAAAGTTTTGGAAATGAAAATGCGGAAGCCGAATCATCGTGAAAAAGGAAACCTACCGACTATATCGCAAATCTCCTGGTAGAGCTTGTCTTGAACTTCAGGATGATGGGCCAGCGCCCATATTCCCCATGCGACGCCAGCAGAAGTTGTGTCGTGGCCTGAAATACAAGAATTTTTAGCTCTTGCTCTCTTTCTCTCTCTCCCTCTCGGGCTGTCTCTCTCTATTGCTCGTTGACATCCTGTCTCCCTCTCCCTCTCCCGCTCGCTCTCTCTCTCTCTCTCTCTCTCTCCCTCCATATCTCTCGCTCTCTCTCCCTATCTCTCTCGCTCGATTCCTTTTTTTTCAGCGATTCACCAACCTTCGAACATGAACGTATCAACCTCTTCGCACACGCCCTGATCGTCAATGTCCCCAGCGTCATACGACTATAATCCATAGAAAGCCAAATTCGTACTAGCGTACTAGGTACTAGCGTACCTCCAACAACAAATCCAGAAAACTCGTCTGGTTCCCGGACGTCTTCTGGCCCAGCGCACGTTTTTCCTTTCGCTCGGCGATTACCTAGGGAATTTACGGGTTGCTTTGCACTTTGTTGTTTAGATTCCCCGGATTTCTAACGATTAAAAACAGTTAATTCGCCTACTTGTCTCGAGAATCCATGCAGCGTCTTCAGCGCGTCTTTGAAAAGCTTCTCCATCCCGGAGAAGCGATAGTAGGGGTAGAACCAAAGCTGCGCCTAAAAATGGGAAGTTCTCTCTCTCTCCCGCTCTCTCGCTCTCTCTCTCTCGCTCTCTCTCTCTCTCTCTCTCTCTATCTCTCTGTATCCCTCACCATACCTTCAATGATCGATTCGTATTAACATATAGCAAATCGCGAAGCGCTGTCACGAACGGATGCTTCGTGTTGTGCTGCGCGTTTACGGTGGTTCCCATCGCCGCATCTGAGGTGGCCTATTCGATTACGACATCATAAACCTACCACAAATAATGTCCAGTGCGCAGCGCTTGATGTACGGTAGCGCGTCGAATTCGGCGCCGTGAAATTCAGAGATTACTTCGGTGAATACCTAACATGTGTTTTTGTATCTCTCTTTCTCTTTGTTTCTCTCTCTTTCGCTCTCTCTCCCCTATCTATCTCTCGCCTTTGCGTGATGATTAAAGCTCTGCACATAGCTTTCCAAATGCCGGAAATGGAAGGTCGGCGTGATCAGTCTTCGTCTCGTATGCCATTTTTTGCCATCGCTAAATTGTGCTGTAGCTACAGTATCCCAATCTACATACCTGACCAAGAGACCGTTATTCAGATACTCCCGGATATCATCGTAGCCCAGGCCCTTGACGATTTCTTCTTTTGACTCGAGAATAGGCTAAAGTTCGTGATTTGGAGGCTTTAAGGGCATGATGACACCCGGGTCTTGAAACTAGAGGCATCAAGTTGTTTTTTCTTGACGTCTCAGCCCCTTAAACTCCAATTTTTTGATACCGATAGAGTACCTTAATAGCCTCCCCATCGAGCGGAATCACAAAGACCTCGTGGGCAAAGTTGGCCCTCAAAACGTTGTGACCGTCCGCCCGTAGTTTGTCGGCTTGTTGGAACTGCCAGTCGAGGATCCCTAAAAAGTGCTCGGAATACCGTAGCCCTGGAATTACCCGCCGTGTCCATCTGCGCCCATATCGTCGCCGTGCCGAAAATTGGGTTCTCTTCGTCGGAACCTGAAAATGCAATTCACTTCAATCTCAAAACGTCTCTCCTAGTTCCCTTCACGCACAATGACTTTGAGAATCCCAAATAATTACCGCTAGCTGGCCCTAAGAGTTCAGGTACTTCCTGCCAATCCTACAGAATCTTTGCTAGTTGCCCTCGAATCTCAGAATCTTTGCGTCGAGCGGTCTTTAAACCCCTAGAGCTAGCTCTCTCTCCGTCTCTCTCTCTCTCTATCTCTCTCTCTCTCGCATATCTCGTGGCTCCACCCCTCAAATTCCTAATGAATCTCTGCCAGTTAGCCTTATCCCATAGAAATTTAAATATCACGCCTCTCGCTTCAAAGACTACCTGGCAAAAGTGCGCCCATCTCCCTCATCCTCTTGATATGCGCAAAGAATTTGTAAATACGGTAGCCATAATAGGCACAAATCGCTGCGACGACGATCCCGATGACGGACGGCATTTTGAGGACCAGGACTGGAAAAACTTGACTTTTGAAAACTTCAGATTAGTGGCTGCAAAACGTGTTTGGCTATGGCCTTGAAAATCCGCAAAAGTCCCGCTAATGCAAAATCAAACATCCAAGAACGGCACCGGGTAGAGATCGAAACCTTTTAGCTAAACGTTAAAACAACCTTTAAAACAGCACCTTTTAGCCCTAAAAATGAGAAGAATGGATGGAAATATCTGTACTTAAATGTCAAATTTAACCGCCTGAATATTGATAATAAACTCATAATAATAATAAGTGGTCAAAACCCAAGGAGACGTTGGGAAAAGTGGTACCAAAAGTTAAATTTAAGCCCGTTTTGTCTGTTTTAATTTAGTTTATTATTTTATTTCACATTTAATTAGCCCCTTTCCAGTCATATTGATCCTCTAAATAATTTACAGTGATTAAAAAGAAAAAACCAAAAAATTAAAAGTAGAGAAATTAATAAACAATGGCTTTTCGAATCGCCCGTTTTAAAAGGGAATGAGAAGGCAACAAATCGACCCTTGCATCCATCGCTACGCTGCGTTTAGACAGCTACGCGCGACTCCAAATGTGAGGCATGACAATGGGAGAGTACCTTCCACAGTTGGTTACGATGAATGTGTCATTTCGTATTTCTTGTAGTTGTCAAAACCTCTCGGTTCGAGGGGTTGATTTGAGCACTCAATAGGCATCCACAGTAATAAATAGTGAAAAACTATACATGACGGGTACTTGGCCGGCCCGCCTCACAGCCACATTAAATTCCACCCGAAACTACAGTTACACTACTACACAACGCCAACAATTTTGAGACAGGTAAATAAGACCGGAACCCGCCGAGTTTCGGTCCTTATATACGAATCCGCATCGGCCCTCTTTTACCCCTTTTCCAAGCGTTTTTCTAAAGGGACCACACACGACGGACGGCGGACTCTCCAAACTATTAGCCGCCCGGATTGGTTTGGCCGGGCCATTTTTTGCCACCCTAAAACTCGCCCCTGTAACCACACAGTTTGACACTTTTTGCTCAACAAAACTATTCCCAGTGCGCGAAATTGGGGACACGAGCGAACGGCTGGAAAGGCAGTGGAATTGGAGGCCAAAACAAATACAGTTCCGCTCCGATCTTTTGAAAATGTACTTTGATTTCGAGGCGGGATTTGTCAGCAAGTTCAGGGGTCCTGGAAAGCCTGAAACTAACGTTAACGTTTGGATAATTACGTAGTTTGGAAAGGCATCTGCTCAACAAAACCTTCCCCCTTTAAAAAACATCGGTTCGACCTGGAATTTGGAAAAAATCCAACAAAAACCCTCTCTCTCTCCCGCTCTTCCTCTCTCTCTCTCTCTCTCTCTCTCTCTCTCTCTCTCTCTCTCTCTCTCTCTCTCTCCCTCTCTTTCTCTCGCTTTCTCTCTGTCTCTCTCTCTCTTTATCTCTCTCTTTCTCTCTCTTTCTCTCTCTCTCTCTCTCTCCCTCTTGCTCTCGCTTTCTCTCTCTGTCTCTCTCTCTCTCTTTCTCTCTCTCTTTCTCCCCCGCTCACTCACTCTCTCCCTCTCTTTCTCTCGCTTTCTCGCTTTCAACTTGTGCAGTGAAAAATCGCAGCAGCAATTGTCGAATAGGCTTCATTTCCAAGATTATCGAAAGAGTAGAAGGCTTCAAAATCGGTGCCAAAAGCTGCTTGTCTACGTCCAAAGTTAACGATTTTCTTTACAAACAATTTCCCTGCTATGGATTTTGGGGTCTCTGGCCTTGTATCGAGCCTGGCCTCCCGCCGATTTGCATCTAATGTAACGTCCGCAAAATTTTCTCAAAGTATAATCATTTTTCAGTCAGTCGTATTTAGCTGTTTGCACACATCGATTTTTGGAACGCCCTATTGAAAGAAACCTAAAGTGAAGTCAACACCGACCCTACTCAAACGACACGATCCAGTTCTACGCCCAGAAATGGGAATATTGATTCAACCTTTTTCAAGACAAAACTTTTTGTCAAGTATTTTTCCTTTTTTCTTTTTCTGTTTATTTCTTTAACCTATTTCCGCTTAATATCGAGGCTATATAAAATTGGCATATGAGAATTATACATACGCATTACCGGGAATCGGTATTATGAGGTTAAAGCGCACGTTCAGGGAGGGGTCGTGTACTCGTCCCAACGTGTACACCCTATGGACGTAGGGACTGCGCGCACTGCCTGCCCGTGCTGTGACTGGCCATTTCCCTCCTTTGCGGCCTGGGGCGCCCCTCGACCCCCTCGCCAGGTTGTAGCTGTGGTTGACTGGTATCCATCCGCGCCTCCCGAGCGGGGGGCCCGGGTTCGACCCCGGCCGCGGCAAAAATCTTTGCTTTTTCCAAAAAAACGTCCCTGAACGTGCCCTTTAAATCTGTGCCCTCTTTCGATACTCCTATTCCTGTTAACGTAACAATTTTTAGTTTCATTAACCAATGTATGCCAATTCAAGTCCATGAATCATGGTTTTTTAACTTTTTTAAAGTTCTTTTACTAATCCTTGAATTTCAGGAATGGCCGTTCGTCAAGCTTTGGTATTAAGCCAGCCCCGGCTTCATAGAAAGTCGACTCCTTAGAAAATAATGCAAAAATCTGACTAGAGTAAGGAAAATTAAAAACAAACCAGAATAATTTTAATTTTTTAGGTTTTTGTTTCGATACCGATATCAAAAGCAGCTTCCTCCTCCGTATCATATTTGTAATCATCTGGCTAAATTGTATAGAAGAATAGCCATCCCGACCTAAAAAGGGGCTATGAAAATGGTCACCCGGATGCAAAAAAAGAAAATCAACTTTACACCGCACTTGATAACTACCAATGCGACCCGATCTTTGACGAACTAGAGTCGTAGGCCATTTTAGGCCCAAATTTCACAAAAAAAACATATAAAAAAACCATTTGCGCACCTTCTCGCTCGAAAAATTTGCGCTTATGCAGGGTAGCTAAGCAGTCCCGCTGCACCCGAGAGACTTGCGACAACAAAAATTTGCCTGAATGTTTCACTTCTCCTCACTGATTTTTGACAGTGGTTATTTCATTCGTCGCCAAATCTCAAAAATTTAAGTCTCAAAAAACTAGTTTCGCTGTATTTTTCAAACCAGTTTAATTTTTTATTCCATTGTTCCCGCTCCGTTCTGGCTGAATCCTTCCATCCGACAACTAACGCCCTGACCCGATTTAATTATGAAAATTTCCTCTATTCAAATTGTAACATTTTCTTTACATTTTTACGACTCTATTTATGTGATCGCTCTATGGAAAATTACTAAATGAAAACGGCATTGCACCACGTATTTAATTCGCATGTTGCTTCCGATATCCAAATTAAATATGATGTTGCTATATATTAATTCAGGTCAGCGTGATGCGAAAGGTCTTTACTACTTCGAAATAGAACAAAAAAAGGATGGAGAAAACAAAAATGCAAAAACCCGTCCAAAAGAATAGCTAACAGGAATTAGATGATAACAATTAAGCTGATACAAACGTTTCCCAATGGCTTCTCCTCGTCGCGATGACCGGTATTCCGTCCATCGACTTTAGTACTGCCTCGGAGCCAGTTCGCAACGATTCAAATGGACGGGTGGATGAGAGGGAAAAGGCTCTGACAGTGTGGCAGATCAGCACCTTGGCTTCGAGGAGGGCAAATCGTTGGCCTAAAAATGGGATGATTAGAGCGAGAGAGAGAGAGATAGAGAGAGTGAGAGATACAGAGAGATAGAGATACCTACCAATACAATTCCTGGGTCCGGCCGAGAACGGAATATAATCGAAGGGGTGGTACTTGGATTCTCGAGTTTCTGAGAATCGCTCGGGGTCGAAGGAAAGTACATCGTCGCCCCATACCTAGAATGAAAAAAAATTAAGGAGAACGCGAGGGCAAGCGAGTGAGAGAGAGAGAGAGAGAGAGCGTGAGAGAACGCGATAGAGAGCGTGAGAGAAAGTGAGAATGACAGAGGGTGAACCAGAGATCACGCATCACCTTCTTATTCCGTGCCAAAATTATGGGAGCGATGGTGACGATGGCGCCTTTAGGTACCGTATACTCGCCTGAATTGCAATAATTGAATTCATCAGACTTTATTTCTGCTATACCTAGCTGAAAATCGGCCTGCATCCGTCGGTTCACTTGGGGTACTGGGGCGTATAGGCGGAACGTCTCTTTTACGACCTAAGACTACAAATGTGGATGAAATTTCGGTTGTAAATGGATGGTGCCGCAATTTTTCATAAAAAGGTTTAAAACTTAGAAAAATACTTCAAAATACCCAAAACATCATGTCATCATCCCGTTAAAATGGGACTGACAGGAGACCTGGAAACTGACCTGGTCCAAATAGGTCATCTGCTTCAACTGTTCTGTAGTCACCTCATCGTCGTCGTAGCCTGGATTTCATCAATTATATTTTATGTTGTTTCCACAGTACCTAGGACGTCGATGATTTCGTCGTACAGCTTTTGTTGAACATCTTGGTGATGTGCCAGACACCAGACCGCCCAGGAGACGCCGGTTGAGGTGGTGTCGTGGCCTGGAAATATGGATGCGTTGAGAGAGAGCGGGAGGTAGAAAGAGAGAGAGAGAGAGAGAGACGAGAGGGAGATAGAGCGCGAGATAGAGAGAGAGAGAGAGAGATAGCGAAATCTTTACCTTCAAACATGAACGTATCCACCTCCTCCCGAAGTCCCTCATCATCGATTTGACCATCATCGTAGGACTAAACAATTTCTATAACTTTATGCTGTACTTTGTTTCCGAAAAGCCTATCCAGAGACTGTGATTGTCCCTTGAAATCTAAAATCCACCTCAAAGAGCATATCCAAAAAATTGGTCTCCTTTCCAGTTGTTTTCTCGCCATGAGCCCGTTTTTCCTTTCGCTCGGCGATTACCTAGAATCAGAATAGGACAATTTAAGTGCTTTTAAAGGCGTTTTCGTTAGTAAACTGCTTGTGTAACCTCTCGTCTCGTATTCAAATTCGATACCTTTCTCGTAAACGTGTGGAGAACGTTGAGGGAATCCTTGTAGAGCTGTGCCTTTCCGGTCCACCAGTAGTATGGGTAGAACCAGTTCTGGGCCTTCAGCGCGTATTCCGTATTCAGCCACAACATATTCCGGACGGCCAGACAGAAGGGGTGGCTCGGGTTATGTTGAACGTCGACCGTAGCTCCCATTGCCGTATCTGAAAACGAAATAAAACCGATCACGCTACTTTTATATCTATCCAAAACTTTATTGAAAATAAAAACAATTTTAACTTTCCATTTATCCTTCTTTTGATTAAAATTTGCTTTTAACTAGGCATGAAAACTCACTAAAATCGACTGCTATTGTACATATGTACACTGTTTACAGAACTAATCCTGGTTCCAAAAATATAAACATTGAACCCTACGGTAAAATCCAATATATACTGTATATGAAAAATTGATACCTAATTGCCAATTGTGAAAAAAACTCAAATTTCATCAAAATTAAACTAATTTAATTTTCCATTCTTCATTATTCAATTGCTGATTTACCCTTTCAACAAGTCGAAAAATTTGTTAAGAACCTACCGCAAATTATATCCAGTCCACAGCGGCTGATATACGGTAGCGCGTCGAATTCCTGGCTTTTCAGGTCGGCCAGCACGTCAACAAAGATCTGAAAAATGATTTTACGATTTCTGATTTTTTCTGTTTTTGGTGTGTAGCTCAGAAAATTGTCGATTCTACTCTACGCACCTTGGCGTGATGGTTAAACGTCTTCACGTACGTCTCCAAATGTCGGAAATGGAAAGTCGGCGTGATAAGGCGACGACGGGTTTGCCATTTTTGGCCGGTGCTAAAATACGGTTTTCTGGCTTTTCCTCAAAGATTTCTGCCAGTTCTTATAGTCAAAAAGTAAGCACGTTTGCTCCGGGATCTCTGCCAGCCGTCCCTGCCCCTTTAAAACTCACGCAATCAACAGGCCCAACCCAAGCCATTCGGTGATGTATTGATAGCCAAGGCCTTTCGTGATTTCTTCTTTTGACTCGAGGATTGGCTAAAAAATATATACTGTACATAGGGCACCAATTAAAATTCGATACCTTAATGGCCTCTCCGCATAGTGGCACCACGAAAACCTCGTGCGCGAAGTTGATGCGCAGGTAATTATGACCCCTCTCACGTAGCTCGTCCGCTTTTTGTAGCTCCCAGTCGAGGATTTCTGAGATCGTGAAATTTGCATATTTTTTGCGATTAAAAAACTAGCTGTCTTTTTGAATAGGCAAGATTGAAAGGTTACCTAGGAAGATTTGAGATGTTTTTTTTAAACAATTCTAGATGATTTAACTAACTTTTTTAAATTTTGGCCACTCTCTTACAAGGTAAATTTAAATTATGTTAAAAAGGAATTAAAGCTATAATTGTCATAGTAATATATGTGGCGAAACTAGAAATTTTTTTAATTACGAAACATTTAATAAATTAGAGTTTACGGTTTTTTCTTTCGCTTACGCAAAACGTGGATTGAATTTATATTACAAAGTCAAAGAATAGATTGTTTTTAGTTTCTTTGTAAAGTCGAATTTTAGGCCTGTTTTCTGTAATTATGAAGCAGTTTAAGCGGCTAATTGTACTGCAAAACACAACTCACGAGCACTGTCCATTCCGGCCCAATCCTTTGCCGCCCCCAGGAAACCATCGTCGCTGAGAGCACCTAAAGATTAATTGCTCATTTTCTATACCATTTCGATACCTGGAATCATATTAGCCATCGTTTTCATGCGCAACAACTCGGTGATGTAACTGTAGCAGCGAAATGCCGCGTACACTAATACTATCACCACAATTGCGGCGAGCAGCATTTTCTGGAGGAAACTATAGATTTAGTAAATTGAAAAATTATAGAGAGAGAGAGAGTGAGAGAGAGGAGGAAAAAGTGAGAGAGTGAGAGAGAGAGAGAGAGAGAGTAGGAGAAAGTGACAGAGTGAGAGGGAGGGAGTGCGAAAGATAAAGATAAAGAGAGAGCGAGAGAGAGAGAGAGAGAGAGAGAGAGAGACATTTATTATCAGACATAAATATGCATAGAAAAGATAAGATAATACGAAGCCGACGATAGGATCAGAAATCAGTAATAGCTGAACGGCGATGCTAAGAGGTTTACATCCTACATTTTTTAAATCTTGTTTTTTGTACGGTTTTATAAAACCAAAAAATTTGCGGACTTTCTAATGAATAATTTGGGAAGCAATTTAAAAGGAAGCTTTTTGGATGTAATCTAGCCATTTTAAACGTTAAGAATTCGACGCAATGTGAAAAACAGGCTGCGCAAACTAATTCGGACCGCCCTTTACCAGGCCAAAAACGTGCTCGCCCGGCCCTCAAAATGATCTCTGAAGGCCGGCGAGCCCGTTTTCCGGGCGGCTCAGCTGTGTTTTCTGTGCTCGAATGTCAGCAAACGATTGCAATGGCTGGGGGAGAGAGTAGACTGGGGGAGGGAGAGAGAACAAGAAAGAAGACAGACCCAGAGAAATAAAGCGATCACTCGACCAAGGTAAGGGAAGAGGCGTGGGAAAAGAACGGCTTAGGTCCAAAAAGGCACAAACACTATCTGAGGATTCGGGGCGTGATAAAAGTAAGACTCTTGTGATTTATATTCAAAGGTCTCGACGAAACTGTTTATCAGAAAACGTGCAAAACCTTTCAAATGGATTCTTTCGCGTTATCGGGGGGGCTTTTTTGCTGAGCATCCAATTTTTCGAATATAAATAAAGAAAGTGTTTTTAAACTGTCTTTTAATTTTTTTAAACGGAAATTTTGTTACAAACATACGAAAAATATAGCTTTACGACCATTTGAACGAAAACAATCTTTTCTAAGCTTTTCGTATTGTTTATCTCTTAAATTTTACTAAAAATACGATTAATATACTAAATAATTAATATACTAAATAAAACGTTACTAGACATTTCTAAACAGTCTGAAAATTCGGTTTCCCGCAGAAGCAAAATTAAAAGCCGCCTTAAAAGACATTACCCTGATCGGCAGTGGAGGGTCTAAGAATCCATTCAAAAGAAGCAGGAACCGCAAAAATGGGTGGAGCTCATTTACTAGGTATCGACCGCTACGCAGCGCTCCTGCGGCGCTACGCACGACGACAGGCGTCTTTAATGACGTCGGTTGTTCCTTTGAAAAAGAAAGCTGCACCTTTTGAGACAAAGATTTTTGCCCGTCTTGCCCATTAAAATATACTGACGCGGGTAAGTTTTATGAAAAACATAGTAGCTAGGATTATTTTTTCTCGTTAAAAACTAAAGAGTTTTTTGCTCGTTCACGGCCCGTTCTTTGCTACCCTGATAAGGCAGTTTGCGAATGATTTATATGGACGCTATTTTCCCATAAAAATAATTTTTTATGTGTTTATTTATTAACAAAAAGCAGGGGTTTTTTACTTGTTCTCTGCCCGTTCTTTGCACCTCCGATAAGAAAATTTACGAATTCGTCGCTCTCTAGGTCATCTCTTCCCCGCTATTCGCCTCGCTACTTTGCGATAAGCATCTGAGATGCCCGACTACCGATTGACGGCAGCCAGGGTATCGATTTGAGATATCCCACCCAAAAAGTCGGGACTCACTTCACCTCACAACTCTTGACACCCGGCGCTCATTTTCTATACAATGCCCGAAAAACTGCCCAAATCTGTTTTAATCACCGGAGCTAATCGAGGGATTGGCTATGGTTTGGTCAAGGAATTTCTGAAACATTCGGAGGTTTTTTGGCTTCAATGACCCTTTAAAAGTGGATTTTAGGTGGAGTTTGTATTCGCTGGCGTCAGGAAGCCCGAATCGGCAAAGGTACCTTTTTTTGCTAGATTTTGAGCCAATTTTTCGTTTTTCAAAGGATGATAACAGCTAGCCAAAGCTTTTAACAAGCACAAAAAAATAAAGAAAGCTACTTTTTGATAGATTTCTGCTGTCGTTTCATTTGATAGATAGGTTTAAAAGCACTGTGATTTTTGTATTTTATCATTCCAGGAGCTCCTCGAAATCCACGATTCGAGGCTTAAAATTGTGAAGTTGGACGTGACGAGCGATGAATCGATCAAGGCTGTGGAGCATCAGGTAAATTTGCATAGCTCTCGCTCTCGCTCTCTCTCTCTCTCTCTCTCTCTCTCTCTCTCTCTCTATCTGTCTCTCTCTCACTCTTGAACTGCTATCATTAATGCCCTCTCCTAGGTTGCCTCAATGGTCGGTGATCACGGCTTGAACTTGTTGATCAACAACGCCGCCGTCCTCATCCCCTATTGGCTGAACGAGGAGCCGAATCGGGCTAATTTACTAGAGATGCACAACGTGAATTTGGTCTCACCAATTGTGGTGGCTCACGTAGGTATTTCAAGATTTTCTTATTTCCATATTTTATTCAAAATCCGAAATCTACTTCTTTGTTTCTAGGTAAAACCGGATTTCATTACATCGGTTTAGATGACCAAAATCCAAACCTTTTATTTATTTTTTAATTTTAGTTCTTCTTACCCCTCCTCCGAAAAGCCGCCCGCTCTGGCACTTGGGGCATCTCCACTTCGGCCGTAATTAACATCTCTTCGGAGCTCGGCTCAAATACTCGATGCCAGGAGCCAGGGTCCGGACGCCTCGGGTTCATTCCGTATAAATCGAGCAAGGTGAGGCGAATTGCTGTTGTCCGTCTCCCTTTAAAGGAACTAAAACTAGAGAATCTGCCCTTTTTCCACAAGGTCTAGACAATTGCGCTGCAGTTCCACTGGCAAGCGTATTTTGGCCGGTAACCCAATCATCTTCTAAAGGCTTTGAGCGCGCGTACTGTAAAAATTTACTATCAGAATTTTCGCTTAAACGCGACAATGATTTTAAGACGGCAAAATCGACCTTCGGGTTGACTGGGTCTCGACAGCTACGTGGCAATCCAAATGACTGGTTCGCACATTTAAGGGCGTGATTTGGAGCGCTGAGTAGCTGTCGATACCCAGTAAATGAATGGGGTTGATTTCCGCGCTTCCTAGTCCCTTTAAACCCCCACTTCCAGGCGGCCATGAACCGATTCACCGCAACGCTGAGCGAAGACATCAAAAACGACGGAATTCTGGTGGCCGCTTTCCACCCGGGTTGGGTTCAAACTGACATGGGAGGACCGGAAGCACCTACTCCGGTAGGTTTTATCGAAATTGGCTGGGTTTTCTGGCCAAAAATTTTTGTTATTGCTTCAATAATGTGCTCTCTCTAGCTAGCTGAAAGTGTCGGAAACCTGGTCAAATCGTTCGGTCGGCTCGGAGAAGAACACTGCGGCGGCTTTTTCGACAATGAAGGAAATGTTATTGAGTACTAGGCACAAATTTTTTGATTGTACAAATAGAGATTTGTACCGCCGTACGTTGTCAAGTATTACACTGAAGACACAAAAAATATTATGGTATTGAAAAATAACACTCGAAAAGCCGTTTTGACAACGCGAGCCTTGATTCTACAAGTTTTGACATTGTATGCGATTTTGAAAACCCGTTATTTCCTATAATGGAACGCCGGGCCGCATTTGGGGTTTTCTTCCAGATAATTCAAGTTCGTTAAAAATATGAAACTTGCCTCTGATTATTCACAAAAAAATTTTTGTTGTAGTCCGCTAAGCAAATAAAAATTTCAGTTCCTTTCCTAAAGCTACAGTTTCTAGGGAAATTTGGCAATTTTCTAGGATCAGGAAAATGCTTTGAATCTACTATGCTCAAAGTAATTTATAATCTAACTAACTGAAATGACCTTGCGTGACTCTAAAATACATATACCTAAAAATATAGCAAAAACCCAGCCAGGTCGACGGCATAGGTATGTCCAGAATAAATTTCTTGCCGCGGCTGCCCGAAGATTATGCGTGGTTTGGGATTCGGGGCAACAGAAAGACAGCGGCCCATTTCCTTTGAAAAATACAACCTTTTCGCATCGATTTTCAATGGATTTGTCGATGAACAACAGGGCCCATTCGGCCGGTCTCGAATATCTCCTACGGCCCTCCATCATTGCCCAACAGATCAAGAAGAAGATGAGGGCCGAGAAGTGCGCATTTTTGAGGTGAGATTCTTTTATTTTTCCCTTATCTTACACTACATTTACACTACACTTTTTTATCCTATTTTAAAGGAGTTGGCAAGCGCAAGAATGGTTCCTTTGAATCCGTTAGGTATTGACAGACACCCGACGCGCCTAGGTAATTTAAAAAAACCCAATTTGGCCAGCCTGTTTTGATGTATTTTTACAAACTGTCGAGACCTGGTCGGTGGTAGGGACGATTTTTGAGATTTATCGTTCCTCTAAAGATGCTCGGAAATGCAAGAATTACTGATTTTTAAAATATTTTAGCTACATCTCACACTGTGAAGGCGAGAGGCCCAATGGATCATTGCTTATTACTGATTTTTAAAATATTTTAGCTACATCTCACACTGTGAAGGCGAGAGGCCCAATGGATCATTGCAACGAGATCCAGGTATTTATTGAGCAATTTAATTTAGTTATTAATCTCATCATTTTTGACCATTTTTAGTCCATATCCGGAAATTAAAACACCCAACCACCGCTATCATTCAGCTCACTTTCGGTCTCGCAATAATTTAACGCTTTTTTTTTGTCAGATATTTCCGATGCAGTCAATTGGTGCTTGAACAGGGGCTCGTGTTCTTGCATTGAAGAGGTACCTTTTCTAATTTTCTTGCAGACGGCCTCAACGCGTTGCGGGCGCGATGCGTTACACGAACTCAGAATCACCAAAAAGATCTATGCAACGCGATGTCTGTCCGGAATTTTTTAGGCTCCAGAAAAAAGTTGGAAATCTCTGGTGAAACGCTTTCCCTTCAAGGCAACCTAATCACGATTTCAGTACTCCGATGAGACCTTTGAGGGCAATGTGGAAAGTATCGTCTACACCTTCCATCACCACATCGCATCAGCTCGAGGAAAAGAAGTGGTCTTCAAGAGGCAACAGGTAGAACTGCAACTACAAAAATACCACAGGCTTTCCTTCGGATTTAGAATTATACTGTTAATTATAGCACTGGCGACCACACGACGGCCACTACTTGTTGAGTACTGATAGATTTGCGCTAATCGAGGTAAAAAACCAGTGTGTAGCTTGTCTAAAAAGTCCTTGCAGGCCGTCGATCGGGTAGAGGCGCTGCTTCGCCCTTACATAAATCATGCAGAACGGAACAATTTTGAATGGTAATGGTTTGGTTATTTTTTTAAAGGAACGGGCAAGCAATAAAATGAATGGAAATCGTGGGACAATACAAAACTTTTAAGCTTCATCAAACACTACAGCCCGAACGCTACTTTAACTGATGTTAGTCGAAGGACCGTCTTCAGCGGCCTGAAAGGCATCACCTATTTTTTATCGCTTTATTTTTATTTTATTTCAGAAATCAAAGCCTTCTTCTCTTCATGCACCTGCCAATCGGGCCGTTTCGAGTTTCGGGTTCGATAACATATCGAAACATTTCCACAAGAAATTTATTTTAGGATATTTTACAACCATTTTCCGGCTCCCCTCAATTGATCCGGTACCAATTCGTACGCGAGTATACAAATAACGGCCTACAGACGATGCAGAGTCAAAATGTTGTGCAGGTAAATGAATTAAAAACTCCAAATTTTAAACTAAAAACTACAAAAAAAAAGTGAAAAAGCTTTTTTAGTACTGGCGTCGCGTCGATGGCGTCTATAGCATCGAATCGGAAATCATCGATTCCGGGCTGTTTTGAATCGTATAAAAACTTCAGAGAATCCAATAATGTTTTTTTACCGCTCACTCTCTCTATCTCTCGCTTTCGCTATCCCTCGCTCTCTCTTTCTCGCTCTCTCTCTCGCTCTCTCGCTCTCTCTCGCCCTCTCAAAACACACGTTTATTCACACAGCACAACGCCGAATATTCTCGAAATTCAATCAGGCTCTAACGCAATTCAAAGTGACCGTAAGGATCGCAGGAGATGAACAGCAAAAGGAAAGAGGGCAAGCGGGTTTAAGGGAAAATGTTCAAATTTTTCGGGCTTCACAGGTTGCTCGGCTTGATCGGGCGGTAGACGAGCTGGGCCTGCTGGGTGCCATCTTTGGTGCGGATCAACTGGAAGGAGTACAGTAGAGAGTGTAAAGACAGAGAGAGAGAGAGAGAGAGAGAGAGAGAGAGAGAGCGATACCTGCACACAGTCCTCGTCCAAAAACTCGGCGTACTTGATCTCCTTCAGCACCTTCCACCCGAGTTTCGCCAGCAACTGAAAGTTGGGGTGTACTGTAGCGTAGCCAATCGTATTGTAGCGCAGCGTATCCCAGCGTGGCGTGTCCTAGCGTAACCTATCGTAGCGTGGTGTCACGTAATATAGCGTATTGTAGCGTAGCGTATCATATCGTAGCCTAGCGTATCCTAGCGCGGCGTTTTTGCAGCGTAACGTAGCGTATCGCATTCTAACGTATCGTAAGGTAGCGCAGTGTATCGTAGCTTAGCATATCGTAACGTATCGTAGCGTAGCGTACGTATCTTAATCTACCGTACCTTCTGCGTGTGCCAGGCCGTCGCCTCGCCGATGATCCCGTCGAAGCCCTGCTCGCGGCCGACCTCGTACATTTTTCGCAGCAGGCTGCAATTTGGAGGTTGAGAGAGAAAGAGAGGGAGAGAGAGAGCGAGAGAGAGAGAGAGAGAGAGAGAGAGAGAGAGAGAGATAGAGAGAGGCAGAGAGCGACGCACCTCGTCCCGAGACCGCTCCTCCCGTACTTCTCCTGCACCGACAACACCATCGAGTGCAGCAGACGGTCGTGCCCCTCCGGCACGCGGCTCCACATCTAAAAAGGACAAATTTTCAAGGCTTCGAAAAATTGTTACATCTCCGCCCAGCTTCTCCATCAACAGCTTGACGAGCAGACTGACGTTCGGGTCGAAGCCGGACATGTCCTGGAGTTGAAATTGACGATGTCGGTTCTTTTGCATTAAAGGGCACGTTCAGGGACGTTTTTTGGAAAAAAAAGCAAATATTTTTGCCGCGGCCGGGGGTCGAACCCGGGCCCCCCGCTCGAGAGGCGCGGATGGATACCAGTCAGCCACAGCTACAACCTGGCGAGGGGGCGAGGGGCGCCCCACGCCGCAAAGGAGGGGAATTGCCTCCCACTCCACGGGCAGGCCCTGCGCGCGGTCGCTACGTCCATAGGGTGTACACGTTGGGACGAGTACACGGCCCCTCCCTGAACGTGCGCTTTAACGGGGGGATTTATCAGGGGCAAAACCAACTTTTGCTCTCAGATCAAATTTTTTAACTTTGCAATTTTCCTAAAAATACACAAAAATTTCAAGGGCCCCCCGATACCGCAAAAGCCCCCGAGAGTGGGAGAAAGAACGATAGGGCGAGCGCCTTACTGTAACCCTTTTATGGTCGAAGTGGAAATTCGTTTCGTGAGATAGCACATCTTGTGCAGAATTTTTCGCTGATTCCGAATCCGTTTTCAAAAGTTGCGGAATCCCTCAGATTAAAAAGTTACAAGCGTTTTTAATACCCAAAATGCCACAAATCGCTTACTTTAAAGTGTTCTAAAAATTCCGTAAGACACTTTTGGGAGGAAAGTAAGACATTTTCCGGGGTAAAAAAACGTGCGCTTTCGAATGGGCTATCTCACAAACCCGTAGCTCGAAATTTCGAAAATTTCGAAAATCGACCATCTTGGGCAAGGGTCCGCCAAAAAAAACTTTTTTTGCAAATTTTGAGCTACCGGTTCGCGAGGTAGCCCATTCGAAAGAGCACGTTTTTTTACCCCGGAAAATGTCTTACTTGCCTCCCAAAAGTGTCTTACGGAATTTTTAGAACGTTTTAAAGTAAGCGATTTGTGGCATTTTGGGTATTAAAAACGCTTGTAACTTTTTAATCTGAGGGGTTCCGCAACTTTTGAAAACAGATTCGGAATCAGCAAAAAATTCTGCACAAGATGTGCTATCTCACGTAGGGAATTTCCACTTCGACCAAAAGAGGGTTACAGTTAGAGAGAAAGCGAGCGAGAGAGCAAGACTGAGAGAGAGAAAGCGAGAAAGAGAGAGTGAGCGATAGAGAGAGAGAGAGAGACAGAGACAGCGAAAAAGAGTGAAAAACGGGTTCACTCTTACAATTTCCGGTTGCTTCACATCCCCAGTCCCTGGACGCTGCTTCGTGCCAACCAACGCCATGGCGATCACCTTCCCCTCCGAATTCCGGCCAACCATCGAGTACCCAGAAGCCAGGCCCTCTTCGATCAGGTCTAAATGATCAGCTTCGTCACGATTCTCGAATTCTCACATCGAAAGAAGGCGCCCGAATTCTCGTGTGTCAGCCCGAGCGCCTGGTTGACCGGCTCGCGCAACAGGAAGTCTGAAAAAAAACAGAAATTTTAGCCGCTTCAGTTCTATCCCACCCTCCTGCATGAACTTGAGCAGCTCGTCGGCGTCGCTCGGCTCGGCGGGCTCGAGGAACGCGCCGGCGTTGCCTGGAAAAAGAGGTCAGAGGGGAGCGAGAAAAAGAGAGCGAGTTAAAGAGATAAGTAGCGAGAGCGAGAGAGACAGAGAGAGAGAGAGAGAGAGAGACAGCGAGAGAGTGAGAGCGCCAGGGTGAGAGAGAGAGAGGGAGAGCCAGAGAGAGAGAGAGAGAGAGAGAGAGAGAGAGAGAGAGAACCGACCCCTCTGCTTCTCCAAAAACGGGCTCCACTCCTTGGCGGAGACGCCGTGCAGGAAGTTGTTTGGGTTGAGGGTATGGCGCTGCCCACCGTCCACCGTAATGCACTAAAAATCCGCTCGAAAAATTTTGGAAAAGCAATTACCGCCCCCGTCATGGCGTTCGTGTAGTCGCTGCACAGGAAGGCGGCCGTGTAGGCCAACTGGAAGGAAGAGTGGAGTGGGAAAGCGGTAGCTGCTCACCTCCAACGCCTCGACGTCACGGCCAATGGGGAGGAGGACGTGCTCGGTCTCGGCCAGCTGGTTCACGGACTTGAATTCCTGAAAACGGATTCATTTTGCGTTGAAAAATAAGTTGCGATGACGTAAGTTTCTGCATGCTTGAGTACACTAGCGTGGTCACTTAACTGTACGCTACTGTACGCTACTGTACGGTACTGTACGCTACTGTACACTACTGTACGGTACTGTACGGTACTTTACCCAAACGTTACCCAATCGTAAATCTCCAAAATTATACCTTGTACCGCTCCGACGCCGGCGCCAGCGCGTTGATGCGAAGACCGCCCTAAAATTGGGATAAAATACCGTATCCAGCCACTCTGACCTTGGCGAACTCGTTGCTCAACGACTTGGTCATCGCTTCGACGGCGGCCAGCGCCATGCTCGAGACGGTCGAGAAGGGGACGGCGCTTCTGATGAAGGAATTTTGGGATCCTAGGTATCAAAATCTTACTGAGCATAGTTGCTGGTGACGTTGAGCACCGTCGTCGGCACTTTGTGCCCATTCCTGGCGTAGAGGGCCTTTGTCATCAGGAAGGCCGAGGTGGCGATGCTGTCGCAAGCTCTCTGGAAGCATGGAGATCGTAGGAAAGTCCGTAACCCCCCCCCCCCCGATAATGCGAAAGTACCCATCCCGCAGCTCCCAGCTCCATTTCTGCTCCTAACCCTTGGACCCCCAATAAAAAAATTTTCTAGCCCCTGGCGCTGCTACCAGCATCTCCCAGCTCCCAGCTCCTAGCTCCTAGCTCCTAGGTGCCAGCTCCCAGCTCCTGGCTGCTAGCTAAAAATTCCCGGCTATGCGTTGATAAATCCAACATCTCAACTTCCATTTTATAAAATTCCAGATGCCCGGTTGCTGCCAGCTCCCTGGGCCTAGCTCCCAGCTCCGAGCTCCGGGCTCCGGGATTCAAGATTATAGCTTCAAATTGTGAAGCTTTTAGCGGAACTTCCAAGCCTCGGTATCCAATTTCTAGCTCCTCTCCGGATCAGTCTCGGAGTTACTACTTTCAGCTCCCAGCTCCCAGCCTTCAAGCATTCAGATCCCAGCTCCTAGTTGTAATTTTGAGCTTCCGGTTTTTGCTTCTAGTTCCCAGCTCCCAGTTCCCAGCTCCTTCCACCGCTCACCTGAATATCCTCAACCTGCACCAAATGCGACGGGGCCGTCAGCCGGATCGGGCTATTGTTGATCAACAGATTGCACGGCTTGCCGTATCTGGAGAATTAATGTAACGTCAAATTTTAAGCGTCCTTACTCGGCCTGGATGAACTCGTAGACGTCGTGGATGCTGCTCTCGCTGCACGGGTCGAGGTGAACGGCTCCAACTTCTCGTCCCACCGCATCCGACACCTCCTTCGCCACGTCGCGTGGCGGTTTCTTACTAAAAAGAGGTTGGAAATGTTCGTATGCTTTTTCAACTTAAGAAAATAAACTTTAAAATATTTTAGGAGTTTTAGGATCAGAAACTTCTAAAAATTAATAAACAACATTAAAATATATGTTAATAGTATAATTGAATATTAAAGGTCTTGCATTTCAACCTGTCAGCTATAATGACGGAGGCGTTGTGGTCGGCAAAGCAGTAGGCGATCGCTTGGCTCAACGATGACGCGCCGCCGGTGACCAGGGCTACCTGAAAACGTGGGTACTTTTACCTTATCGGGGGGTTGTTTATCTACTGGCGCAAAATTCTCTGCTAGCTTGCCTTCGTATTCCCAAAAAAAACTATGAGAAATCATTACCTTTCCCTCGAGGAGATTCTTCTGGAAGGGCGACTCCTTGGGGGCGGGGAACATCTTCTGCGAGTTCTTGCACCCTGCTGACTAAAATCGCGAAATTTTAATTTGCAAAATTAGCATACCGCGAAGCCGAGCAGATTCTTGATCCCGGACATAACAACAACGAGGAGGGTGCCCGTCAGAATCTTGGCCGATGGGTGAGGGGAGGAATAATGGCTTTTTTCTCGATCAGAGCGGCTCCGTGTAGATATGCAAATTAGCTAGTGGCTAATCGCCGTCATGTAAATTTTTTATGCAAATTTCCATAAAGTCCCATCAACCTCTGACGGTCCATTTCGTAAGTAGCTTTAAATTAACATAATTTTTTTAATTTTGCAGTTTTTTAAATATTATAAATTTTTAATAAAAACTTTAAAAAGAAATAAAATTTTCAGATAATTATACACTTTGTTTTTATTCATATGCTAATTCCGATTCTTTTTTGGTTTCTCAGTAGCTTCGAAAAAGGATCTCTGCTCGCTTGCCTTCCATGATCCTTGAAATTCGTAAAATCCAGAAAAACTGTTTCCAAAAGGTAATAAAATTCCGCTAAACAATTAAGGGCACTTTGTAGCCTTTAGCAACATAGTTAAAAGTTAAATCTATAAAAATTCTGGTTCTTTTCAATATCCTAATTTTCCGCAAAACTCTCTGCCTTTTCTTTACCGTCCTTTAAAAACGTAAAAACGCAGATAACCCTTTCAAAGTTTATTTACAAACAAAAAAGGCTAATTTAATGCAGTACAAAATTAATTAATGACGACGAATGAGTCCTTGACGATAGAGGCAGCCATTGGCGGTTCTTCCTCGATCACTTCAGCAGTTATCATCGCGTCATCAAACGAGCTAAAGGTACGCTGGTTTTAACCAATTTTAGGTTATGGATCTGCAAAGCTTACCTGTCCAATGCCGAGTCATACTCCAAGGAATCAGAGTAGAAGATGGCTGTCACTTTTTCCACCACCACGTCGCCATCGGAGCCTAAAATTGGGATTTTCCGCAAGGATTTCTGCTAGCATGCCTAGCTATTGAGTAAAATTTTGATCATTACTATATAAGTTAAAGAGGTCGGAGATCGAGCCAAAAACCCGACAGCCCAAAGATCCAAAGACAACGAAATTCCCGACACCTGGCCTGGTGGGATTTTGGCTTGTAGGGATCCTTGATTGTGGTGATTTCGGCATCTCCACGTGCTTGCCTCCAAGTTTTTCCCCCTAGCCTGCCTCAATAAAAGCTCTGATTTTCCCTAACGGATTTCCCCAGTGATCTCTGCTAGTTTGCCCGGGGCTTGAAGCCGCTTACCTTCAATAATGATTTCATCCGAATAAGAGGGATACGACGATTCGTCCGAGGTGTCTATTAACATTGGTTTGGCGAAGGTTCTAAAAATTGGGCAATCTCATACTCTCCCTCGCTCTCTCACTCTCTGTCTCTATCTCTAGCCGACTTCTTTCTAGCTCTCTCCCTCTCTCTCTCTCCTTCTCTCCATCTCTCTCTCCCTCTCTCTCCACCTCTCTCGCCCTCTCTTTCCATCTCTCTTCCTCTCTCTCCGTCTCTCTCGCTATCTCGCCCTCTCTCTCTCTTCCTATCTCTTTCGTATGGAATCAGTACTTCCTTACCTCTCCAAAAGACACATCAGAAAAACCGCCAACATCGTCAAAACGAGAGCATAGTTGAGGGCCATTGTGAAGCGAATCTATTCTCAAGAATACAATGAAAATAAAGCGAAACAATAACAAATTGAATTGAACCAACAATTGTGGCGAATGAAAATCCATTGCAGCTGTCCTCTGGGGGATTACCGCTACCTGCCCGGCCTCGTTATTTCTGCCCGAGCCTACCGGATTTTGGACGAGTTTTCGGCCCAGTCGAAATTGACGAAACTAATGGTCATTCGGGAGCGGCGGGGGGAAAAGCCCGAAAAAGCTTGTGATGAATCATGCGAACCCAAAAATCGACAATTTGCGTATTTCTGGGGCACAGTCTGGGTTCGGAAAAATATTTTTTCGTGTTTGAATTTGAAGACGTTCAAAATGCCGAAATTCATAATATCGGAGTTTTGTATAAATAAATGTTCTGGAAAATGCGTGAAATTCTATGCAAAAAAGCGACATATTTAAATTTCGACAATATTAAATACCGACATTTGGAAATATGGGCATCATGGAGTTTCGACATATTAAATACTGATATGCAATTTCGGGCATATTTTTATTTTGACATTATAAAAACCGCACATTTGGAACAAGCCAGTATTAATGCTGACATGCTGAAATTTGGTCATTCTGAATCCGAAAAATTGAGAAATAGCCATGATGAATCATTTGGACCCAGAATCAGCGAAAATCAGAGACTTACCCAACAAATTGAGGTACAGTCAGGGTACTGAAAAATAATTTTTGCGTGTAGTCACAGTCCACAAAATAATGTTATGGTGTCTGTAGTTGAGTCAAGTACGGCTTAAAGCGCATTACAATTTCGTGTAGTTTACAACGTCTGATGTCTGCATTTCAATTTATAATGTAGCCCGCTCTCTCCGGATAACTTGATAAGTTCAAAATTTTGTTCAAAGGTAAAATTTTGCTAAAGATCTCATTCCGAAAAGAAATTAATTATGAATAAAAATGGAACATAGATGAATCGGAAAAATTTTACCTGAACGTTGAAATCCCCCTCTTTAAACTTAAAATTTTAAAGGTATGTGCAAGGCATACCTGGGTTTTTTATCTGTTTTGGTCGCGTCATTCAGCGCCGAGACAGAAAAAGTATAAAGCGTTTATTGAGCTCAATGAATTTGTAATTTAAAGTCACGGCTGGCTACCAGTTTAACTGTTGAAAATAGCCATCTTGTGATATTTTGAGGGTGACCCTCTTGCCGAGGGCATTCTTGAAGGCAAGGCCGGTATCGACAGCATCAGCTATAGCATTCCGACGACCAATAAAAACGCAAAGTGGTTTCCTTAGTGTCCGGCTTAGCGTGAAGATGAGAGTTGGTATGCTGAGGGTGATGAGTTGGCGAATCTGCAAAAGGCCCATTATTGAGAAACACAAAGAAAAACAAACTTTCAGGACCGAAAACTCGATTTCAAGGTTTTCTACTGGGAAAAATTCGCTTTGAGCCGGTGAGCTAATTTTTCTCATTTATTTTGTTCTGAGCATAAAACGAAAAATCTGGCGAATTTTTCACGGTAATTTTTGGCGAGGAATTATCAAGGATCGGAATTCAAAGCTTTTTTAAAACTTTAAAAAGCAACTCACGATAAGGTATCCAAATTGCAGCGCCACATATCCGCCGCCTTCTCGTGCACATCTATTTCGGTCGAATAACGCATTAATGGTAAATACGCCATTCCAGAAAATATCGTACAGCTTGATGATGTTGTCGAGGAGCACGTAGCTCAACGAGATTTGGGCTGCTAAAACGAAAAACCCAGTTATCGCGATCTATAACGTATCGCAGCTATCAAAACAATAACAAAAAAAGCCACACGAAAGTCCTTAAAAAACTCACTTCGGATATTTTCAGCCAGTTGAAACCTAGCAGTTAGTCCATTTGTTCCGGCTTTTCCGAGTTGTAGCGTCCGGTAGACGTTGGTCGCAGCGACGATAGAAAGTATCTAGAAAATTCCTAATTTTCCGCTTTGCCAGTTTTTGATAAATTTTTTCATCTGATTGTTAATTTTACCACTACCAAAACCTTTGCAGCTAAATTTAGAACATGCTGTTGGTAGCCGAAAGTTAGCAAATTTCCATACTATTAGGTTCTGGGGAAGCGTTCCATTCCAAGCAAGGCTATTGGGATTCCCCCTGCTCCGATACCCCCCACTAATAAACTAGAACCTATTTTTATATGGAAATCGTTTAGAAAGGACCATATAACAAACCGGTTAATTTAGGATTAGCATCCGGTTTCTTGAACTACTAAACTTACCACAAATGACAGCCCGGAGCCGCCATAAACGGACCAATTTATGAAGGCAGTAGTGGCGACGCCTAAAGTTTTTAATAAAAAACACCTAGTGCAAATTAAACAAAAACTTTCAAAAGGCCAAAAACCTTTATTAATAAAACCAAAAAGTTAAAATTAGAAAATCCACCCACCAAATATTCTCCCGATCGCCAGAAAGGTGTAGACGGGCTAAAAATTATTTTTTCCTGCATTTTTTAAGAGTTTTTAGCGTACCACAACAATCCCCGGGATCAACAACAGCGCCCACGGTCTCATCCGCTCATATTTTGCGTAGTATACGGTAGCTAATAGACGTTCTAGCGTGCAATTCACATTTAATGGCACCATAATATAGTAGATTGGCCACCAGATTTGCTGCACCACCATGTTGATCTGGGTCCACTGAAATGGACCGAAAGTTGCATATTTATCGTCGGAAAGTTTGTAATATTGACACGATATTTAATGCATCTTAAATATCGTAAATATTACTTAATCTAAATTTATTAATTGGCTAATTTTAAATTAAGTAAAAATATCGAATTAAAAATCGAAAACGAGATCATTATTTTAGCTGAAAAAGACAAACTTCTACCTTGAGCTGCGTGAAAATCATGAAAATAAGTTGAAAGGTGGGGTAGAGGGCGTAGCTGAGGATGAGCAGCCCGAAGGAGATCCTGGAATCCAAAATTATCCCAAAAAGAGCAAAAGATTAAAATTAAAAATTAACCCATTTTCAATATCGGCATTTTTTTATTGAACGTTTAGAACCCGGAAAAAATAACATAAAAGTAAGTAAATGGTAATTCTTACACAAAAAACGGGTGAAAGGCTCTTCGTTGTATGAATAAGCAAATTAATAAAATGTAGAAGTAGGCAATAATCATGATGGAGGCAGTAAACACTTCCCAGAGTTGGATCGTCGCCAGGGTTGCGCAGAAGGCAATTGCGTTCTGCAAAATAATTGTTTTCTTCATCATTACATGTTATGTTTTTAAAGGTATTTGACGAAAAATATTTGTAGTAGAAAATTATCAATCACTGGCCGCCTTCTTCTGTGGGTTTTAAAAAGGGTATTAAATTTGCTAATAAAGAGATATCAGCCATTTTTGTTGTTTTCTAAACCGTTTTCAGATATAAAAGTACTGACAAAACCTAACAACTTTTGTGCATATTTTATTTGTAGACCAAAGCGTTCGAAATTTTCAAGTTTTCAAAAATTTTTGATACCTTGTTCACCTCAAAATCAACACAAATGCAAAAAATTACAGAAAAGCTTTAAAAAGACGTCTTACAACACGGATTGATACATATGGAGGTGCAATACGCTAAATAGCCCCCTATTGCTAACAGTGCAGCTCAAAAAAGCCAACAAAGTGAAGCTTCCGTGCTTTGTACCGTATTCCTTAGTTTTTGGTTCCACGTTTTCGAAGCAAGATCTTTGAAAACTCTTCAAGAGCAAAAAAATTAGGCAGTTAGGTTGTCGAACATATTAAATCTTTCTTAAATCGAAAACCATACCTGAGTCGCGTTTTCCATGGCAGCACCACGTCAAAGATTTCGAAAAATAGGCGGGAGGGCAAAATTCAAATCGTCAGTCTTGTATCTTTTCAGGAAGAATGACCAGGGTGGTGCTAATTCGTGGCGTCCTTTCGTGATACGATTAACAAAAAAAATCTTCGGATCTCTTTCAGGGCGCTAAAAATCAACTTGGAGTGGGGACAGAATGTCCCGCCATTTTCTTCTCGTCATTAACATGTTTTGCCGGTGAAAATAAGACTGAACCCGGGATGTCCCCAGGGATGCGCCATCCAATTTTTCGGGTTGTTTTGACGTTAATTCCGATCTTTCCAAGCTGTTTTTAAGGGTTTGGTTTGTTCAAAAATCCCGGTGGTCTCGCGGAATCTACAAACAACGGATTCGGAGCGAAAATCCAGAAAAATAGCTGGCCAGAGGCCAAGAATTTTGGAAAATAAGAATTGCCCGGGTGGCTGGTTCTGGAAAATAGAAAAACGGCTTGCTTGTATTTTATCGGGGGAGGTATTTTCATAACGATAGCAACCTTTTTGAATTTATTGCTACGTGATTAGGAAAAACATCTTTATCATGTTTTTGATAGTTTTTGATCAATAAGAAATAAAAACTGAAAGGTTTATGAGAAGATCTTAAAAATCCGTCGTTTTTGACTAGTTTCGATGATGTTTCATATGTTTTTCACTGGAAAAGCCCCTTTTAAATTTTTGTAATTGTTTAAAAGGGTCTTTAGATTAACAAGCGACGAAAGTTATTAGCCTTGTTGTCCAATTAAAAAAAGCACCGAAAAAGCTTCGAGAGAATCAACTTAAGAAAAAAATGGTAGACGCATGCGAAGGTACCACTACAAGATAAATTTTCCAAGAATGCGCCTGTGAGCGCGTATTCTACCATGGAGGCAAATTTCACCGTAATTCCAAGCTTAATACGGTTTCCAAAAAGCATGAGAGTTTCCGACCTGCTACTTTTTTAACTGCTGGGTGTAGGTTTTGCGGAAGTTGTGCCTTGATAGTTGTTCTTTACAATTCGCATTTTTTTTCCTTTTTAGTGATGCGTTTATCCTATGTATTTTTTTTATTTCACCACTGCCTGTGCAGCTGCTCAAAGTACCCATTTTGCGAGGTCGAATACGGGATGCGCTTGCCCAAAACGTTTTGAAAATCGGATGATGGTGGCATCTGGTGAATCCGTCGGGGATGACCAAAAATACTGGCAAATGCTGCTAAAATGCGACGTCGAAGTGGGCTACTACAGAGGAATATTGAGGTCGGCATCATGAAGACGATGAAGTGTTTTACCTAAAAAATAGGATATAGTTACATAGAGTTAGATACAGGGTTTTAAAAGATCCTCGCTAGCTTGCCGTAGGCTGGTAAGGCTTGCCTTTGCCATGTCAAAATTGTCGAAAATTTCGCTATTTTTCTGGTATTTTTCCAAAGTTTTTGCCGCCACTCGATAGGGCATCGAAAAATATAGTAGGACTCTTAATTACAGCCCAAAATAATTAAATTTAGAAAAGCCATGACAAAAAAAATGAATTTTTCGAGTGGGATGGGGAGGTAAAATACGTCGTAGCTTTTCGTTTTATAGGAAAACAACAAAATTGAACTCACCAAAGCCACTGTAGTAAATATCGCCAAATAATGGGGTTCTGTCTCGCAGCGAGCCCCCTCGAATTTAGACGTAATTTCAAAAATATACTTCGACGCTAGCGATAATAGGTTTGCTAGGCAATCGCAAAACACGTAGGGTGTGGAGATTTGAGCAGCTAAAAGTAACAGATAAATAAAAACATTGGCAAATACCGTAAGTTAATGAAGCAGTAATTTTTAAAAAAACTTGCCTTTAATATTCTCCGCTAATTGATATTTAGCCGTTAACCCCAAATCGATCGATTTTTGGCGACGGATGAGAAGGTAGTTTGTCGTGGCGATCGTAAATGCAAGCTAAAAAATCATAATAATAAGGCAAGGACGATCTACAGGGTGTCCCAGACGTGCCCGATTCTCGCCGTTTAGGTATCTATCGAAAGCTCTCAAAAAGGCGAGAAAACAAGGAGGTTCATTTCCTTTATTATGTATTTTTATTGGCGAATTTTACCTCCAAAATCCAGGAAAACGGCAGATTTACGCGAGATCCGCATGCTAATTGCGAAATTCCTATTGAAAAGCTACGTGTTTTTTAGAAAAACGCTGAATATCGGATGAATCAGAATAAATCTTAAAAAATGTAGCCCGCTGGTTTTCTCGCCTTTTCGCGGGCGTTCGAATGGTATAAAAATCATCCTGATCTGAGCTTCCCACGGACCGTTAGAGGGGGGGTTTGGGACACCCTGTATATAAAGAAAACGGTAAAGCCTAGAGCTTGCTGATACTTACTATCGTGTTTAAACACGATGCGCCCAACATTATTAACTGCAAAAGCGCCGGGTGAATGACGTCAAGCTGGAAGACGACGCCGTACATGTAGATTGCCTGTAAAGTCGATATTTTATTCATTCTTTTTGTTTTCATTTTTAATTTTTTAGATTGAGATTGGATCTGATTTTTTTTTGCTTTATAGATATTTCGCTACTCACCAAAATCGTAGCCAACAATGGTAAGATCGCCCAAGGCCTCATCCGCTCGTATTTTCGAAAGAATACGGTAGCCGCGAGCCTTTCCAAAGAGCAAAATAGACTCAGTGGCAATGCAAAATAATAGAACATGAACCAGTAGTTGAAGAAAATGTTGGTAAAGTCGCGTAACTAAAGAAAAGATAATTTGACTGGGTATCTTTTTTAACTGCATTTCACAGCCTTATGGCCTTACTAATTTTGGGATCGGTGCGGGGAAAAGGATCCCTCTCCGATCTCTTCCCCTCGCCGTCTGTCCCCTCTCCCCCGCCCCACTCTCTCACCCCTCCCCGACGCCTAAAGCGCGCCCCACCCCAACCATCCTTGCCCAGAGGCAACTCCGTTCCATATGGATGTTATTTAACTTTTAACGGTTTTGCTCGATTTCTCTATGAAAACATTACAATTTGCCAATTCGAGCGCTTTTTTTTAAATCCAGGCTGATTTTACATCGATTATCTTTTTTAATCACCCAATTTCACCAGAAACCGTTCAGAACGGGGTTTGGAGGTGACGACAGGAAATTTCAAATTTGAGCGCTTCCCGCCCCACAGAGGCCTTCAACGTACAGGGTTCGGGCCGCAGGTCTATTTTTGGTGTTTCTGTGCCCCTTTTTAGACCTCTAAAATCTTTGTGCGAAATATGCAACAAGTTCCAATTTCATTCTAGTCCATTTCAAGTCCAAGCACTGTTTTCCGGACGTGAATTTTGACCTTTACCCACGCTACTCCCACCAGAATCAACTATAATAAAAAAGTAGAGGCGTCCGTGTGTGTGTGTGAAGCCGAATTCAACTCGAAGGAGAAAGGAGCTAGAGCTTAGCTCTCTTCGGATTCGGATAGAGCGCCGTTAGAAACCCCCAAACTAATAAAAAAATTATGAAAAAGTTTTAGTTTAAATTATTAAAATTAACTTTGAAAGTGGCCCCTCTCCCGGGAGGCCACGCCCCTTTTCTCTTCGCCCCTCTTTCCCAAGCCCCTTCGCGCGCCCAGATAGCTTTCTTAAGTTACTTTAATACTTTTAATATTTTTTAATGATGTTAATTTATTATTTAAATCATTTAAATCCATCGGGAAAGTATTTAGGTAGTTTTTGAAAGGGATTTCAGCCATCGGGGGTTACTGAAGCCAAGGAAAGTATTTAGGTAGTTTTTGAAGGGGATTTCAGCCATGGGGGGTATCTGAAGCCATCAGGAAGGTATTTAGGTAGTTTTTGAAGGGGATTTCAGCCATGGGGGGTATCTGAAGCCATCACGAAGGTATTTAGGTAGTTTTTGAAGGGGATTTCAGCCATGGGGGGTATCTGAAGCCATCAGAAAGGTATTTAGGTAGTTTTTGAAGGGGATTTCAGCCATGGGGGGTATCTGAAGCCATCAGAAAGGTATTTAGGTAGTTTTTGAAGGGGATTTCAGCCATGGGGGGTATCTGAAGCCATCAGAAAGGTATTTAGGTAGTTTTTGAAGGGGATTTCAGCCATGGGGGTATCTGAAGCCATCAGAAAGGTATTTAGGTAGTTTTTGAAGGGGATTTCAGCCATGGGGGGTATCTGAAGCCATCAGGAAGGTATTTAGGTAGTTTTTGAAGGCAAGCCTATATTTGTTATATAAATAGTGGAAGTGTTTCTAAATTGTTTATAGCTATTCCGAAACAAAAAACTTTACAAAACTTAATTAAAAAATTTAATTTTAGGTCGAAAAATCAATTTTTTCGGCCCAAAAATCACCAAATTTTCGACTTTTTCAAGCGTTTTTCTAACTTGTTAAAAAGTTTTTCCGATTCAAATAGGCTTAAATTTTGCTAAAAACAATGTGAAAACACTCTATATTTGATTACT